TAGAATGAGAAGGACATACCTGAGCAGGGAGGGGTGCCATTTAAATATTTTCTTCATTGATATCTGTGATTCTAAGACAAGCCTGTTAGATCATTCTCTGCTTTCCTTTGTAACATATTTTAGAGCCTGAAGTATAAAGGAGGAAGGGATCTGAAATAATTGTGAGTTAAATTAATGTAATCTGCCTGCTAAACTATACCACAGCTAACAATGAAAAGCCCAGGCAGATTACATGTAGCTAGGGATCATTAATGATTCATGTTTGAGTATGCTGAATATAGTATGTCACTGCTAGCACATAATATATTGAAGATTATTTTTTTAACTTCAAAAAGCACTCCTATCTGTCATATCATTGACCTTGCCATAGCTCAGGATTATATAAGGCAGCTCTTGACATTCAGCTTCGATGTTCTTCAACACGTGTAGTCCTGGCTTAAACTCAGCAGCTTAGTTCTAAGCATAATACTCAGTTCTAAGTATTCTCCCAAAGTAGAATGATGCTTGCTGTGACCTTGGAATCAAAAGCTAAATAAGTTATGTTTCAAAGTTAGAACTGGATGTGGTGGCATATGCCTATAGTCCCAGCTACTCAGGAGATTGAGGCAGGAGGTTCCCTTGAGCCCAGGAGTTCAAGACCAGCCAGGGCAACATAGCAACATCCTGTCTCTTAAAAAAAAAAAAGGAGCCAATGAGTGTTTATCCTATAAGTATGCATATCTACCCATTTATCCAATAAGTATGCCACTTTCCTTCATGGATATGTAAAATTTCTTTGCAACAAAATCCTGTATTTTTTGCTGTGTTGTTAAAGTATTTCCTTGCAGCAGCTCCCTCCTGCTTTCCTCCTTCTGAAGTATAGAGTTGGAAGACCTTCTGAATCTAATTACCAGTGTCCAGCCACTCCCATGCTAGGCAGACAGCGTATCAGGATCAGGTGTCTGCTGGTTGTCTTTCACAGGTCTGACAACTGATGCAGAAATAAGGACTTGACTTACTTTTTGTGAGAATCCCCTACTGGAAGATGTCCCCCCAAAAGGTGATGGTCTTTCTTATGGTTTGAATGTTTTTGTCTCCTCCAAAATTCATGTTGGAACTTAATCCTTAATGCAACAATATTAAGGTGTGGGGCCTTTAGGAGGTGATTAGACTATGGACGCTCTGCCCTCATGAATAGATTAGTGCCTTATAAAAGGACTAGCCTTTTTTTGCCCTCCCATCCCTTTTGCCACATGACACAGCATTCAAGGCACCATCTTGGAAACAGATACGAGGCCCTCGCCAGACACTGAACCAGCTGCTGCCTTGATCTTGGACTTCCCAGCCTCCAGAACTGTGAGAAAATAAATATTTGTTCTTTATAAACTACCCAGTCTCAGGTATTTTGTTATAGCAGCACAAGACTTTCTTGGATTGGGAGATACCTCTGACCCCTGAAGATAAGAATTTATTTGCAGACTTGAGGAAGTTGCAGAGAAGGTAATTTTCAAAACCCTTTATAGAAGCTTAATTATCACTAAGCCTTGGAGCCATTTTGTCTGACCTCTAAAGAAAAGTCTACACACCTATGGAAGTATTTGCTCCTTCATGATCTTCTAGGTCCCCCAAAAGAGGAGTTACAGGAGAACAGGAGACATTCAGGGAGGGGTGGGAGAGGATAGCCAGCCGCAGTTGTACAAGGACATCTTTCAATTTAACACACATTTATGGAGCAGGGCTGGTCAGATTGCATGGTACTGGGATAATGGAGATAGGTCAGGAGCCCAGCCCTAGAGGAGTTTGAGGGAATTCTTCTCTCATGCTGCGAAGATGGTTTAGAAGTGCTACATTCTCTTACTCCCTGGCCCATAGCTAAGTTCCCCTGAGAATAGAGAAGGGGATTATTCTCTCTCCCATGTAGCTAACCCCAGGTCCCTGGAGGAGGGTTCCCTGTGTGGTGGGGCTGAAACTGGGAAAAATCTCAGGTCTTCATATTCCTGAACAGCAGCAGGGCAGCTGACCACATTGATGACCTGGACTCCATGGAGGCCCAGGGCTGGAAACACAGGACAGCCTCACTCTGACTCCAAACTGCAGGCCTAGGGACCAGAGAGACTGCTCCTCCTCTCTTGTGAGCTGTGGCCACCCAGTGAGGCCAGGACCTCTCTCACCCACTGCCTGCCCTCAGCTCATTCTTTTTCCATCCCTCAGTTGATCTTGAGTGGCTTCTTGGGGTCTGCCTTTTCTGCAGCCCTCCCAATTCCATCTCCCCAGCTGCCCTGCCTCACTCACAGCCCCAGTCTCCAAATCCCAGAGGAGACACCAGAAAAGCTGTTATAGGCCCTGGAGAGCTGAGGCTCTCTCCTTGGTTCTGGGGAGGGAAGCAAGAATGGTTCCCAGCCCTGGACTTGGGACCAGTTTGTATTGCTACAGACCATGTGGAAAGCTCCCATGTCATAGGTTCTAGCTTTAAAATACAAACATCTCTTTTGCAAAGGTGTCATGAGATGAGGAAATGGACTATTGTCCTCCTAAAGCCAATGTAGCTGAGAACCAGATGTCCTCTGGGTAGTGCACAAATGGCTGGATCTCAAGAGCCCAGCACTTTCCAGGTGAGTCACCTCAAAGGAGTTGAGTGAATTTCTTTAGCTTGGACACATTTCTGTTTTTGTGGGGAAGAACAGGTGTGTCTGGGGTTGACAGAAAACAAGATGAAGGAGGAGGGTGTGATGGTCAATTTCATGTGTCAGCCTGACTGGGCCACAGGGTACCCAGATTCAACATTATTCGGGGTGAGTGTGTGAGGCTGTTTCTGATGAGATCAGCATTTGAATCAGTGGTCTTGGTAAACTGGCACCATCCAGTCCATCGAGGGCCTGAATAGAACAAAAGGTGGAGGAAGGAAGGATCTGCCCCTTGTTTTCCTGCCTCACTGCTTGAGTGGGGCCATTTCAACTTCTCTGGCCCTTGGATCAGACTTTCTACCATTGGCTTCCCTGGTTTTCAGGCCTTTGGACTTGACTGAATTATACCACCAGCTTTTCTGGGTCTTCGGTCTGCAGATGGCAGATTGTGGGACTTCTTAGACTCTGTAATCATATGAGCCAATTCTGGCCAGTCTGGCCAATTGGTGGACTGTTGTCCTGGTTCTTTGGCTCCTTGCTTGGAAAATTCACAAGCAGGGCCAGTGCAACAGAGTGACCACAGACAGGAAGCAATTCCACACAAATAGCTTTTTTTTTTTTTTTGAGACAGACTGTCACTCTGTTGCCCCGGCTAGAGTGCCGTGGCATCAGCTCACAGCAACCTCAAACTCCTGGGCTCAAGCGATCCTACTGCCTCAGCCTCCCGAGTAGCTGGGACTACAGGCGTGCACCACCATGCCCAGCTAATTTTTCTATATATATTTTTAGTTGTCCAGCTAATTTCTTTCTATTTTTTTAGTAGAGATGGGGTCTTGCTCTTGCTCGGGCTGGTCTCAAACTCCTGAGCTCAAACGATCCGCCCGTCTCGGCCTCCCAGAGCGCTAGGATTACAGGCGTGAGCCACCGTGCTTGGCCTCACACAAATAGATTTTATTGTAGAAAAGAAGGGAGCTATACAACGCAAGAGTGTGTTCCAAAGAGGAACGGGTCAGTCTCCATGAGTGGAGAAAGACGTTGAGGACTCCCAGGTGGTTTCCTTTTATTGGCCTGGTCTGGGGGAGGGCTTACAGGAGGTGTGGGATGCTGCCAGATGACTGATGCACAGGACTGACAAAGTTGCAGCTCCACAGGTGCGTACGCCTCAAAAGCTCAAGTTCCTGCTCTTTGCGGGTGTTAGCTGCAATTTCCTGCAGTCCCTCTCCCCACTCGGCTTCTCCGCCCCTAGGAACCACCCTCCTGGCCTGTATCTGCCAACTGCAGATTTGGTCCCTGCCTCGCAATTCCACATAACAACTCAATCTCTCCCGCCCCTGGTATATATCCTACTAGTTCTGTTTCTCTGGAGAGCTTTAATACAGGGGCCCTCACAGAAATATCACGGACTCCAAGGATCTTTGGAGCTTCCGTGCTGAGCACAGAGGAAGAGTCACAGCTTCTGTTCCCTGCCCTCCCCACCTACCCAGGACTCATTTTCACATTATGTTTAACACATATCAGAAGACTTCTGTTGAACTATGGGACCATAACTATGGGAAAATATGTGAATGAGTTTTGTGCATTAGGTAAGGGATGGTTTTTTGTAATGTTTGATAATAGAGGCTATATCACCTCTTTTTTGTGTCATCAGTTTTAGGATGGCTGATAGAGCCCCAGTTAAACAGATTAATATTTTGATACCATCTACTCCAGGAGGAGATGTCACCAAGTTGAAATATGTCAACTCCTAGAAGTCATCTTGGAACAGACAGGCAGAAAGGCAACAGATACACAAGGTTGAGTGGTAGAGTTAGAGCTGGTCAATTACATTTTCAGGAATAAATGAAGGGACATAAACTCGGGCAGAGTAGGGGACATGTTGGTCATATTCCCAGTCACACCTCCATGGCAGTCACCTGGGAAGGCTCACTGCACATTGGTGGATTGAATGGAGGGAAGTGTAAGTGCATTACTAGCTGGAGTAGGAGAGCCACCCAGGGGTGGGGAACCTGCAGCCTTTGGGCCACATGTGGCCTTCTGGATCCTTGAGTGGGGCCTTTTGACTGAATGCAAATTTTATAGAACAAATCCTTTTAATAAAAGAACTTCAGTGCTGGAGTGGAACACTTTACAATGGTCCCGCTCCTAGCCCTGGGAGCTCAGCTGGCCACTGGATGTTTTCTTTCCTGCCTCCTATGTCTGTTCTCACCCTGGGTCTTGTCTGATTCTCTCAGGCAGGCTTTTGGGCTTATTTCTCTTCCTTGCCCTTAGGTTTCAGGCACCAGGCCTGCCACAGGGTGGGCAAGTGGCTGAATGGCTTCCTCTACTAGTCCAGGCACAGGGGGGTTCCAGCTAGGGACAGTGTTCATCTTCCAGAATCCAGCTCAGTCTTAAACAAGGTGGAGGCCCAGGCTTCAGTTTAATGACCAACTTCAGAGGGTGTTCTTTGGAGTCAGGCACAGTAAGACGGGGTGAGAAGAGGCGCTCGGGCTTCCTTGTGGCGGCGCTACAGCATACTCACCAGGCACTTTCATCCACATGCTCATTTCCCCTTCATGACTGCTCGGTGACACAGAGAGCAGGTAATGTTTCTGCCTACCCTGCTCCCACATCTCCCCGCCATCCCACATGCATCTGCTGAGGGGACGGAGGCAGAACAAGGTTCAGTGGGAAGACAGCCTAGGGCTAGAGTTTAAATTCAAGGGCGAGAGTTCAAGTCTCCTGCCTCCCCACTGAAGACTTGCTCATTTCCAGCCTGTTCAGCCCACCCAGCTTGTGCTCCTGTGCCCCTCTCCTGCCCCTGTGCCAACGGGGCAGGGTTTGGGAGCTAGGCCCTCAGCTCGGCAGGTGTATCTGGCTGCCGGCAGGGGTGAGACACTTGGAAGGCCTCCAAGGCTAGCAGCGTCTTGTTGATGCGGCTGATGGTAGGGTAGGGGGTGAGATCCACCTTGAACCTGTGGCAGAGAAACACCCTCTAAGCCAAGGTTTTTAGGGACAAAGGAAGACTGCCCTGTGGGCAGTGAGGGGACAGACAGGCAGGGCTGGTGGAGGTCCATGGGCTGCCCAGGGAAGGACAAGGAAGGCAGCCCTGCTAGGGGAGCCTTATTCATAGGTAGCTCTCTGGTATGGGCAGGTCTTGTGCACTATCGTTTGGCATCTCTGTTACCTACTGTTCCTACTAAGCAATGACTATTTATTGAGAACCTACTATGTGTAAGGCCCAGTGCTAGGCATTTATATATACAGAGTGTCTCCTCCCCCATGTCGTGAGCTTCTTGTGGGCAGGGGATGTGTAACACATTTCCATGTCCCTAATGCATAGCGTAAGGCCTTCCACAGAGGGGTACTCATTCATGTCCTATTGGGGGGCTGATGGAGAAAGGCAGAAGTAGAGCTCACTGCCAGGCACAGACACACCACATCTGGGGACAGCAGGCGGGTGCTCCTAGGGGTCCACCAGGTGAGCCACCTCCTCTTAGAAGCAGGCGCTGTCTATACAGGATCGCCTGGGCTGCAGTGGGCATGGTAGGGGCATTGCACTGATTTCTTCCAGGCCGAAGTGGCTGGTGTGGCTTGGCATAGTGCGCTCAGTGGTCGGCTGGGGAAGAGTCTGCATGAGATGCTGCCTCAGTAGCTGAAGCAGGGACCCTGACTCCACAGTCCTGGAGAGCAGGAGAGGAGAGGCTGGTGGGGCTCTCTTACCTTTCAGCATTTGCCACTTGAGGCACTAAACACAGATCAGCCATGGACACCTAAAAGAGGGTTAAGTGGGTTTGCATCAGGGTGAGCACCCTGGACTCATTGGCTGGCCGGGGTGTGTCCACTGTGAGTGTACTGGGGGTGACAGCCCCTGATGCTCCCATCTGCTTCGGCTCTTCCACCCCTCCCCACCACCCCACTCCACCCTCGTCTGCCCTGGGCCTGCCTGGGTCTGTCCCCCAGAACTAAAGGGCTTCTCCCAGGCCACACTCCAATTGCCCTGACAACCAGCTCTGTGGGTGGCCAGAGAAGGTTTGCCTTGGTGGATGTTACTGTGCTTGTTAAAAACTGCTGTCACCAGGCATTTAGTAAGGACCCCCAACAGAGAGGAGAACCTGGGGTAGGGACCAGAATGGAACCCTGGAACCACAGGTCTAGGGCCTCAGCCTGTAGGAGAGACATCATCTCGTCTAGCCCCTCAACTGATGCCTGGATGCCAGGTCATCTCAGAGACGCGGTCTTCTAGCCGAGGACCTCCCTCCCTCTAGAGGTGGTCTGACAGGAGTGAGCGGAGGAGCTCCCCAGGAGCCAGCTCTGCTTGGCACAGAGGTCCCCCCACGGTCCCCTCCTGAGGAGACCGTGCCCGCCTGCCCCGCGGTGGCGGGAGATGGCAGAGGGTGAGTGGGAGCGGGGACAGCCTGAGGTCAGCAGCAGCCGCTGTGGGCGGGCCGGGCGGCTTACCTCGTCGCCTACACAGTACCGGCCAGCCGTGCTCTGCAGGATCTGCTCCAGAGCTGTGGGGAGGCCATGTGAGTAGTCTTACTGGGTGCAGAAAGGGGACATCGGCCTCTCTGGGCCTCAGCCTCCATGGCTGCGGAATGGGCGCCTGTCTGGGTGACAGGCTGGAGCTAGAGGGAATGTGGCGCCAGGTCTGGGGAGAAGTTGCTGGGGGTGAACTGGCGTTTCCTCAGGCTCCTCAAGTGCAGCGCCCGCGCCCTCGCCAGCGTGGATGAGACCGTGCCGGCCTGGGCTTCCTGGATGGAGCGGTGGCGAGGCAGAGGTGGGCCATCTGGCTCCGCAGGGCTGTGGGCCTCAGGCACTGAGGCTCCCGCATGTGCTGGAGCTGAAGGCCAGGTTCGGACGCCGGCCCAGCCCACTGCCGCCCCAGCACTGCCCTCATCCATGCCGCCGTCAGGACCAAAGCAGCCTGGGAGGCCGGTTTAGGGGCACGAGGGCCATTTCTCTGACAGGTCACCTTGGGGCAGCTCACAGGAGTGGGGACTCACCGCTAAAGCCAGAAGTGATGGCGTTCTGGGCCCAGGTCAGCTGGTTCTCCTGTCCCACTTGCTTCAGGACAGACAGGTTCTGTGCAGCCCAAGGGAAATCTGTGATTGCTTTGGTAGCCGGGCTGGGCCTGCCCTTTAGCCAAGCCCTCTCAGGAAAGTTCGTCCCCATCTGGCCCTGGCTGTACACCTCTGAGAGCCCCTTCCTCCCCTCAGGACCCTGAAGCTGGAGGGAGGCAGCCGTCCCTGAAGCTACCTTCCCAGCTGCCCCAGTGGTCCTTGTAGTCTGCAAGCCATGTGATTCTGATGAAGATGTGCAAGAGTGGGGACACAGTACACTGCCATGGCTGCGACAGGTGTAGCCATAACCTGAGGCCTATTCCCTTGCACCCAGCACTTCTCCCTTGCCCGGTTCCTTGTGAGGAGACGGAGTGTGAGCCAGGGCAGGGTGGGATGCGTAGGTGCATGGGAGGGGCTTCCAGAGATTTCAACTCTGCTTCTATCTCTGCACCCCTGGGGCCCTTTTCCTTCCGGACTTCACTTTCCTCATCTGTAAAATGGAGATGTGTGTCTGCTCCAACTTCCTTTGTTAAAAAAACAAGATGACACGGGGGTGAGGGGGGACAGGGGTCCTAGGCCTGATCCCTGCTCTGCTACCACTTAGCTGTGTGACTCGGCAAAGTCACTCCATCTTCCTGGGGCTATTTCCTCATTCTCAAAGTCAGGAGTTAACACAGATGAACTGTTTTTATACTTAATTGTTTTACCAGTGAAAACGTTTTTTAAAAAAAAAGTAAAATCCTATGAGAATCCCAATATATGGCACAGAGCAGATGAAAGGGAAGCTGCTCTGGTTAGAGGTGGGAGGCCCCTCCCGGCCACCCTGGCCCCCTCTCCACCTCAAGCTCCTCTAGATGCATCCTTGGGAACCTAGGGCTTCTCGGAATGCAGTTGGGGACCCACCAGGTGGCTGATTTCTGGATCCCTGCCGCCTTCTGCCTTGTGATCTATAGGTCGAAGCCCCTGAGAATCCCTCTCTGTCCTCCTGCCACCCCTGCCCCACCGTGGGCATCTCACTGTGGGCTCGCCACCACCAGTGTGCGTTTGCAGGTAAGAGTGTATGGGGGTGCAGGGTGCAAGTGCATGAGCGCCACACCTGCAGCGGCTGGATGCCACCAGCGATGAGGTCAGAAATCGTTCGCACGCTGGCTCTCTTCTTTGGGTCCTGAGGCAGAAGTCGCGGAGTGGGACGAGTCTCCTCCAGGTACTCAATGATGGCCAGCTGTCCAGAGGGGAGCAGTGAGGCAGGGAGTGGGCCCGGGACCCCTGGACCAGGGAGGACAGGGCCAGCAAACCCCTCCCTGCTCTCAGCTGGAGCCCTGCAGAGCCTTTCTGGACCTCATCCTGCAGAGCTTGGGTGCCCATGAGCTTGAGTCTCCTCCTCCCCCAACAAGTATCTATCGAGCCCCTCCTATGTGCAAGGTGCCCTGTTGGCCCACAGGCCAGGAAGAGATGTCAGGTGCTCTCAATCAGGGCGCCGCTCTCAGGAGGGGCCCCCCCAGGCCCTGCACTCACTGACTGGCCAATGGTGATTCCATCAATCTTCAGGGCTGGCACCTGCTTCATGGGATTCACAGCCTGGAACTCCTTGGAGAACTGTGGAGACAAGGCCCTGGTGGGCTGGGTGGCCTGGCCTGGGTTGGCCAGAGCAGAACCCTTCCCTGGGGATCCCTGCAGTGGCTCAAACCCCAGCAGCTGCCAAGCTACAGGCTTCATTCCAGTGGTCTGGCTACGTGTTCTTCCCTGCATCTCACACTGTGGCCACCAAGGCAGCTCCTACCCCAGCCAGCCAACAGAGGGCCCAGCATGGGGCAAGGACCCACTCGCCCTCCTGGGGTCTGGCACTGGACAGCCCAGGCTGTGCTACAGAGCCCGTAGCCTGGGTCCTTCCCATGCCTCTTGCTGCTGAACAGTTTGTCACCTCGTCCCACAGGGAGAGCCAGCAGCCTCCTCCAGTCACAGAGACGACAGACGCACCTTCACTTCTTGGGGGCAGACCACCCACATACTGGGTACCTCTCCAAGGCCTCCAATTCCCACGTCAAGGCCTGGGGACAGCCTCCTTACCTGTTGGCCCCCGTCCTTTATGAGGCTGATGGGCATCGTTTCATAGTCAATGCCTTTCAAGGCCAGAGCTAGGAGAGACCACAGAGAGCAGAGTTGGGGGACAGCCTCTAGCTCCACTCCTAAGGAAGGAGCCCTCTGAGGGTGACATGAGGCTGCACAGGGGGAGGTTTCTCAACACCCCCTTGTGATCAAAGCCTAGCTTCTCTCCAGCTTTCCTTGTCACCACCCACTCCCCCACCCCAGGTGTATGGTGCTCTGCCTCTCTCACCCCTGACTCTTAGAGCCCTCATGCCCCCTGGGTGGTGCTAGGAAGGTGTGTGCCCTGGCACACTGTGGGCTCCTAGAGGACAACAGGGGTGTGTCCTGTTCACCTTTGTCCCTCCAGGGCCCTCTAGGGCCTTAAACAGTGGTGAAAAGAGTGTCTTCATTGGAAACATGCAATTATTCCCTCAATAGGGCATTTAAAGGCAAAGATCACTCAGGTGACCACACAGAGCACACACAGGCAGATGATGGAGAATTTCTTTGCAATCCACTCTCTCTGTTCTCAGAGTTGTTTCCTATAAATCCCAGGTGACCATCAGGCTCATCAGTGGTCTTGGAGCATTCGCTATGATCTCAGTGATCAGATTTCCTCTCTATCCCCTTTCACAATCTCTCCCCTGGAAGCTGAGGGGAAAAACGCTTAAGTCAACCCTAGTGGAGAAAGAAGACTGCACATGTGTGCGTGCATGTGTGCATGTGCGTGTTGGGAATTAAAACATGGTGATGGCCAGTGTTGGGCAGGGGCAAAGGGGCGAGGGGAGTGTGAAGAGAGCCTGGGAGACGTCAGGCTCCTCCCCGCGCTGGTCAGCTCCACTCTGGAGAGAAGGTGGTTGGGGCCGAGTGGGAGAGGCCAAAGCAGGCAGACAGCACCCAGCAGACAGCACTCAGCCAGGGCAGAGGCTCTGGGGCCTGGGATGGGGGTGCCTTTCTGGAGGAAGGTTCCTCCTGGCACCCCAGGCTCATGCTACTGCCTCCAGCAAACACCAAGTGACTGTGGGCTGGGGGAGGGTCCCAGGATGGCTCTGCGGTTAGGGCCTGGCTCTGGAGGTAGGCTACCTGGGTTCAAATTTTATCACGTTCATTTGTTAGCTGTGTGGCCTTGGGCAAGTACCTTAATAGGCCTCTGTGCCTCAGTTTCCTCATCTGACAAGCAGCCTAGTGTAGTAATTAAAAACATGGACTCTGGAGCCAGACTGTGAAATTCAAGTTCCAGCTCTGCCTCTTAGTAGCTGCACAATCTTGGGCAAGTTATTTAACCTCCCTGTGCCTCAGTTTCCTCATCTGTACAATGGGAACAGTAATAGTCCCTCCCTCCCAGGGTTGTCGAGGTGGAATCACACACACAAAAGCACTCAGCTCGAGCTACTCCTCAGTATGAGCTGCTACGACTATGACCTTTGCCAAGGGCATGTTAAACTGAGGGAGGGAAGGGTCAAACAGGGACTAAACCAGAGGGCCCTAGTGTTTCCGCAAAGCCTCTGAGGTGGACACTGCTCACTTCTGTTTAATTTGCCAGAGCAAATAAGATAAGAACTGAGGGAGGCCAGCTGTTCCCCTGCCAGTTACCAGGGACCTCTGGATTTTGTGACCCTGCTTTAAGCATGGTTGCCAAGGGTTCTGGAGAGCAGTGTTGGGAGAAGTGGCAGTCCCAAGAGAAAAAACAACCTCCTTCCTCCCACCCCCACTTCCTGGGTGGACGTGCCATTCAGGGATGTGGGCTCCAGGAGACAAGGGATGCTGGTTGCTGGGGGGAAGTCCTGTCTGACACAGCACCCCTTCCAGCCCAGGCCACCTTTGCACCTGGGGCTTCTCCACCCCCATCCCACCCAACCCAGACACCCAGCTGGGTGGAGGCACAGCGCTTACCAATTCGAACTCTCCATGAGCAGGAGCTTCGGAAATAGGAATAGAGGATGGGCTAAGGAGAGAGCAGGGAGGCCCACGTTAATCCATGCTGGGTGGGTTCCCAGCCTCAGGAGCCTGCTGGAGAGGAGGAACCAGCCCCCAGGCAAGGGGCTCCGAGCCAACACCGTTTCTCCCCATTCTGCCAGACCTCTGTCCTCAGGCCTGCGTCTCAGCAACTCAGGCCAGTCTTGCCTGGGAGTCATGTGAGATCCCTCAGCTCCAAATTGTGCTGGCATGAGTTCCTGAGGTCCGAGTGGTCCCCAAAGGGGCAGTTAGCCCGCAAGTGCCTTCCTTACCTTGCCAGACTCAGTCATGGTTCTGTGGTGACCCGTGACCTCCCAGGCAATGTCCCCTCTCACAGAGCTGCGGGGCAGGGGAAGGAAGCCTGAAGGGGCGGATCCCATGAGCCAATGGGGAATCTGGGCTGGACAGGCGTTAGAGGAACTTTGACTCTGGGTAGAAAGGGCGTGTCTTTCCAACTTCTGGGAAGTTTCTTATGCTCCTGGTGGAGCCAGGCTTGGTGTCCTGGGCAGACAGTGTGGCCTGATTTTGAGACAGTGGTTTGTGTGATAGAGCGGGCTGGGAGCTGGCATACGTGCGGTCTGGACCCAGTGCAGGAACCAGCTCTGCAAGACCTCGCACAAATCTCTGCCTTCTCTAGTCTTCAGCTCTATGATGGCATAGAATCCTTCCAGCAGTGGCAGAAAGACTAGAAATTCCAACTTTTTGATGCTTTGGTGCTCATCTCCTTCAATCCCACCCCCACCCCCACCTATCAGTCCTCCAGGCTCTCAGCTGGTCATGTAAAAAGAGCTGGCAGATGTGCCCATTCACCCCAAAGGTGAGGTCACAAGCTGGCAGCCCACAGGGACCCTATCTGGCCCTCAGAAGTGTTCTATGTGGTGTACATCGAAGTTTAAAATGTTTCAATTAGTATCCAATGTTTATAAATCAGGACTTTTCATATATAAATTCTATTGTCTGTTTTCTTTTTTTCCCTAAGAAATGAGGTCTCCTGCTCTGTCACCCCAGCTGGAGTGCAGTGGTATGATCATAGCTCACTGTAGCTTCAGACTCCTGGGCTCAAGTGATCCTCCTGCCTCAGCCTCCCAAGTAGCTGGGACTACAGGTGTGTAGTCCTCCACACCTGGGTTGTTTTTTCTTTAAAAAATCTGGAGACAGTGGATCTTAAGTAGCAGTAATTGACTGGAGCAGATTAATGGCCCCTATCAGTCAAGGTATGCCCGCTCTGGTCTGCCATCACCCACACCTGGCCCACTGTTCTCATTTTTGTTACCTTCAAGCCCCTGGAGGCAGCCGAGTGTGTGACCTCTCTTCTAAATTTAAGAGACACAAAGTTAATTTCTCTGGTACTTCTTGGGTAACCAGCATTTCAAAACAGGACCCAGAAAAGAGTCCCCAGTGATTAGCACTCATGAATCTTCCCACAGACATATGTATCCACCCACGAGGGAGAAATTGATAGGATTTCTCAGATTACCTCTGTCTACTACTCTTCTGACTACAGACATTTCACTCAAGTTCCCTCTTCCCTCTGCTACCCCTCTTCACTGCACACCAAGTTGCTATCTGAACCTGCTTTCACTATCCCTGCACTAATAACTTACTCTTCCAGGTGGGCAAGGGCACAAGTGGGAACCCAGGCCCTCCCAAGGTGGTTCCCAAGCCCAGGAGTCCCAGCCTGTTCTGTAGGCACTTTTTATGGGGAAAGTAAATATGGTTCTGGCACAGAGATCAGGCAATATGTGGCAAGTGTCCTTTGAAGAGGAGAGGTTGGGTGGCCACAACTGGATATTCCTTATTTGGAGATGCATCTCTTTCCTTACCTAGGCAGGCTAGTAGGACCCTTGGGGCCAAGAGACAGGGACTGTTGGTGAGGGACAGACCAGTAGAGAGTGGCAGACATTAGCTTAGAATCCCTGAAGAAATGTCTTACCTAATGACTAAATGCTACACCCTTGACCTGTACTGAGGGTGACCAGAGGCATGGTAAATGCCACTGCCCTCCATTATGGCCCTTATGTAGGAAACCTGAAATCTCTTATGCAATTTCTGCTCTTTTTCTCACCAGTGATAACTACAGAACTCTCCTGTATTGCTTTTTGCACTTGTAGAGCTAAATTTTAAGCCCCAGTATCCATCTCGTCAGAACTCCTGGAAGGATTCTGTTTCCAATTCAACTATGCATTCTGATTTCTCGAGTTGATTTTATTTTTATTCTATTTTTTTCTTTTTTTTTGAGACAGAGTCTCGCTCTGTCACTCTGGCTAGAGGGCAATGTTGTCATCATAGCTTACTGCAACCTCAAACTCCTGGGCTCAAGGGATCCTCCTGCTTCAGCCTCCAGAGTAGCTGGAACTACAGACCCAAAACACCACACCCAACTAATTTGCTCTATTTTTAGTAGAGATGGGGTCTTGCTCTTGCTTAGGGTGGTATCAAACTCTTGACTTCAAGCAGTCCTTTTGCCTTGGCCTTCCAGAATGCTAGGATTATAGGCATGAGCCACAGTGCCAGGCCTTGATATTATTTTTAACATATTGACTGCCACACTAGAAAAAAAATTTTTCCTTGGAGCCATGGTGTTTTATTACAAAAATAGAATAGAAACTTAAAAAACAAAACAATCCTTTATAATTTAATAAAAAAATTGTCATTTTTTGTTTTCTGTGCATAAGTTATATGCGACTTGAAAAATAGTCCTCCTGGCTTCCGAGGTGAAGAGCCATGGGAGTTACATATGCTTCGCGAGGCCTTGGGCTCAAAACTAGCGTGAGTTAAATACAACTCACACGACAGTTAATGTATTAAAGTCTCTTGTACGTGATTTTAGAAAAAGACTCCTAAAATCCCATTTGGAAGTGGGAGGGTTACACATTATTAACGTGACACAAGGTCCCACCTAATGTGCCACCTTTCTTAGTGCTACAACAGTGGTTCTCAAACTTAAAAGTGCGCATAAGACTCATCTGGGCCGCTTATAAAAGCGTGCAGATTCTTGGGCTGTTCCACAGTAAGTTAACACGGTGGCTCTGGGACGGACCCTGGGAAGTGTAAAACCAGGAAGCTCCCCAGGTAATTGCGATGACTGCTCTCCTCGCCCCTGGTGCTCTCTTAAAACGCAAGCATCTCTTGGAAGGCCATCCGTAGTTAGGATCGAACGGCCAAAGAGGACCACGTAGGGCTGTGGGGAACAGGGAGGCGAGGAGCGACGTTTGGAAGGGGAACAGAAAGGGCGGAGACAAAAGTGAAGCTCGACACGTGGTAAAGACTCGGTCCTGCCCGGCACGCTCTACCACGGGCCTCCTCCGGCCCAATCCAACTGGGACCACGGGCACCAGCAGGCAGTGCGCAGACGCAGAGCGCCCCTAGCCGGCGCATTGCACACTGGGAGTCGTTGTCGGCGCTGTGGGCGGGGCGAAGCGACTCACCTTTGTCCTCACCCCTCCGCCCCCCGACTTCTCAGTGTTTGTAACTAGCTTCCCTCTCCCGGATGCGTGGCACAGACCTTTCCCACTTGCATCTCGCACTTCGCGCCTGAGACTCGCCGGCCTGTCGACGACTGAGGCCCAGAGACACCCCGACGAGACAGACCCTTGCCTGTCCGGGTAAAGCGATTGGGTTACAATGATCTTCCCCGTCGCTTCCGGTCGGCCCACCCCTCCCGCCACGCCCCGCCGCCCGGCGCTGCTGGGAGTTGCAGTCCTCTGAGCCCGTCCCTGCTGGGAGTTGCAGTCCTCTGAGCCCGTCCCTGTCCTGCCCGGCCTCCGGGCCTCCTGCCCTCCCGGTCCCGCCATGCTCTGCGCCACCGGCCGCCTCCTAGCGGCCACCACGCTGCCCGCCCCGCCCCGCGCTCGGGGCTCCGCGATCCGCTGCCGGCGGAGGGAACTACATTTCCCAGGGCACTCCGAGCCGCCCTTTAGTGACTTCTTCGCGGGGCGGCTGACGAGACCAAGTGTGCTTCGGGCCCGGAGGGTGATCCTGAGGAGGGGGAGGATGCCGCCGGCCACGGGCGGAGGCCTGGTAGGGTCCGAGCTGCGTGCCCGGAGGGGCCGCTGTGGACCCCCGGCGGCTAGGGCTGCGAGCCGGGACATGGCCGCTGAGGCTGCAGCGCCAAGCCCCAAAGGGTCTACTCTAAGCTCGCAGCGCCTCGAGGCCGCCGGCCGGTGGGCCGTGCTGGCCCTGGTGACGCTGCTGTCCTTCGCCACCCGCTTCCACCGTCTGGAAGAGCCGCGGCACATCTGGTGAATGACGGGAGGGACTGGGCGGGCACCATGGCAACCGGGAGGGAGAGACGCCGCCCTCTGATTGGCCTGAAGGCAGGGAGGGGGCGGGGTTCACTGGAGAAGGGGCGGGGGCCGCAGTGGAGGGGAAATCGAGGTTTCAGGTGGTTGGCCTCTGGCGAAGTGTGGGCTCTGGTTGGGGGCAGTGGCTTTCTTAGGATCTGAGGAAGCGGTCCTCATGTCTTTCAGGTTATACTGGAGTGTCTCACCTGGCTGTCAAATAGTGGTTTTTAAAGGTGCTTTGAACTTTACAAAGAAGAGTTGGAATTCTTGGTACAGAATTTCCCAAGGCCTGAGTTCCTAATCTGAGGGTTTTAAGGCGTCAGCAGAGGGGAATGTTTCTAACTGGGTACCTTCATCCTGTACAGCAGAGATAGTTTGGTGTCCAGAGACGCAGGGTTCTAGGAATCAGGTCTGGGGTTATCCTGTGAGAAGAGATTAATTTTCCTAAAGGCTTTATTTTGTACTGTTGAGATGGTAGGTTGAGGCATAATCAAAGTTTGTTAGTTATGCTTAAAACGTAATTTGGTTTCCAGTTGGAAGGAAGAAAAGTTTTATGCAATCTGAAAATGGTTCATGTGTCTGGCCAACAAGTGATACCATGTTTTCCTAATAACACTGAGAAGAAAGTTACTGGAGAGGATGTCAGAAAGCAAGCAAGAAAACAAAGTGTCAGGGCTGCCTTACTTGGAAATTAATAAATTAACCTGTTATTGCTTCTTGACCACTGGCAGAAGATGTGAGACTCCTGGGTTAGAGACAAAAGACTTTAACTTTATTACAGGAATCAGGACAAATATCAGCATGTTGGAGGCAGTTTTCCATTGCCCCACAAGTCCACAGGGTGACGCCATGGGCTCAGATGAATAACTGCACACAGAGTGGGTTGCACTGAAGCAAAGGAATAACAAGCTTGGGGAATCTACTGTTTATAACATGCAGTAAGCAGACCTACTCTTTTTCCTGGAGGGAGTACATTACCTCATCTCTCAAGGTTGCTTGCTTTGTACAAACACAATCCTGAGAAATGGTCCAGGTGGAATGCAGTCAGGGCCTTGCATTCTTGGCATACCTGGAAAGATGTGTACATGTATGAGAGATCCAACACTCTCTCTCACCCCTCCATCCTACACTGTCTTCGCTTCTAGCAGATTTTCACATGAATATGCAACTCCATTGGCTACTCTGATTGCCTGGGCTGACAGAGGCAGGGACCAGATATGTTTAATTTGTCTCATATGGCATTTAATTAAGGCTGTTATCAATGGGACTCTAAGCAGGAGGATGAAGCCAACCTGCAGTTTACCTCAACCATGCCCTCTGGGGTCCTGGATTCAACCACCTGTAGATAAGTCCTGGGGGAACCAAGTAATCTCATTTCAGATAGCTGGGATGTAGTCTAAGGCAATCTGTTAACCATTAGAACCTCTTCACAGGTTAGATTTACCTCTCCTCTTTGGTGTCATTGCTGATAATTACAACCCACCCCCCACCCTGTCCCCATGTGAAAAAATAAAGCAACTCTTATACCCAATGGAAAGATGTTTCCTGGCCCATTTTTCTTTACATACTAAACATATTACTTGAAGGGGCTCAGGTCACTCCAGGATTTTTTGTAAAATTTTATTTGGATCACCATCAAATTGGATTTAAATCACCATTACAGTGGTTTGGTTAAGCCACATGTGCAATGTCAGTGAATAGTTGGAGCCTCAGTCACTATACAGGGCATAACTTAAGGGCTCCTCTAGGATGTCAGGAGAAGCATATGATTTGTATCAGGTCCATGTTTGGGACTTGATGTTGATGTCATCGGGCATATGGGAATAGTTCAAGACTGGCTGTGTCCACAGGAGTTTTTGTTTTCATAGAGGGATGACATATGCATCCACAGGTCAGAGTGCCAGCTCAGTTGCCATTTGACTTGGGTGGACCATACGAGTGTTTTGCCAGGCTTTGGAGCTGGACCTAGGGGCAAAGAGAGCATTAATTGTTTCCCTTCTTTTTACATTTCCAGGGGTCTAAGGTGTTCTATAGAAAACTTTGAGTATTGGCCCATTGTTTCTTTCCTTCTACTGCTACATAATTAGTGTGTCCCACTCTAGTACCTATAACTTCACCTTTTCTCCAGTTATCCCCTACCAATATCCAGACCTTTTTGCCAAGGACATTGTTAGAAAATTGACAGAGGCCCGTTGTATCTCCTACCTTGACACACGTAGGCCACTGTAGGGGGACTTGAAAAGTAGTGTACTCAACCAAGTCATCGTTATCTTTACGCTTTAGGGCCATGTCACTCCAATAATACAATCCAAACAACTAAACTAGAATTAAATTCGAATTCTGTAGACACCACAACTCCACCACTCCTGGCTGAATCTGGGGTTCCTGATGGGGGAAAGAAAGATGAAATCATGCTCAGGAATGGTCAGGGAAAAATCTCACATGTTCAAAATAGGTTTATATAACCCTCCACCCCTTTTTTCTTGATCACTACCCAGTTGGCGGCCAAGAGTAGAAGAACCCTCTCTGAGGATGACTATATTAGGTGACCAAACTGCTTTATTAAGGTGTGTAGACCAGGAGGAGGTGAGGGAGGTAGAGTCAGAAATCTTTTTGAATTGACTTTTGAGGAGACTATTCAGTGCTTGACAATATCGGACGCCTATGGATGGTAAGGAGTGTGGAATTTCTATCGAAAACCTTGACTATTGGCCCATTGTTGGGTAGCCATTGTGACAAAAAGGTGCACTGTTGTCAGGCTGTGGATGGTTTGGAATGCTGAAAACATGACAAAGTTTAGTTTCAAGGGCCACAATGGTATATCCAGAGTCAGATGATTGGACTGGAACAGCATCATCAACATTGTAACCTGAAAAAGTATCAGCAGTAGCAAAGTACCAATGACATCCCCAAGAAGGCTACAAATTCCTAATGTAGTCAGTTTCCTAGGCGCAAGCAGGGCCATTGCCTATGGTTTTTTTTTTTTTTTACTGCAAGACAGCAGGCCAATCTTTGGCAAGAGTCACAAGTCTGGAATGCAGTGGTGGCTTCTGCTTCAGAAACATGTCCTTTACTTTGTGCTCAGTTTGTGATGATAGATGTGTTTCCACACCTGGTACATGGATGAATCCAGGTGGCAATGGCAGCAATTTGGGTGGTGTGGGCTTGATCAGCAGCTTGATTCCAATCAGTCTCATCAGAGCACTCGCCCTTGCCATGGGCATCTACATGAGTGATCCAGACTGTCTCATCAGCAGGGAGTAGCTCCAAAGGGGTGTCTGTAATCTCTTAGTATTTAGTCTTCCGTGTGGCATACCAGATGCTTCAACCCTTACTTCAGTCAACCATCCGGAGTTGTCAGGGGCTGCATGGCTGCTGCCACCCAGTGAACACCATCAGCTTTTAACTTAGCCTAACCATCAGTGACCAGGCACGAACATTTACAGGAACCCTTGTGGATCAAGGGCCCTCCAGCCAGCGGTTATGCTTCCACTCCAGGTAGTGGAGTGGAAGATAGTTTCTTCCAAAGTGGGAGCTACCACTTCTTCATGTAACACTGAGATGCCTTTAGGGCCAGGTCGGCTATATTCTCGAATAAGAGTCCCGAGGCCTTCATGGATCAGTTAACCAGTTTCAACAAGAGTTTACTACTAGGTTAACTGCTGATCTTTTAAAACAGATGTACTTGGGGCCACGCTCTGTGGCTCACGTCTGTAATGCCAGCACTCTGGGAGGCCCAGGCGGGAGGATTGCTTGAGCTCAGGAGTTCAAATCCAGCCTGAGCAAGAGAGAGAGACCCCCCCTCCCCACCCCGTCTCTACTAAAAGTAGAAAAATTAGCCAGGCATGGTGGTGCACGCCTGTAGTCCCAGCTACTTGGGAGGCTGAGGCAGAAGGATCGCTTGAGCCCAGGAATTTGAGGTTGCACTGAGCTACGATGACATCACCGCACTCTACCCAGGGTGACAGTGAGACTAAGGTGTACTTGGCACCTGTGTCCAGCAGGTGGTGCTGTTATCCTTGTGAATAGCTGCATTCCAGCAGCCAATAGGTTTCTAAGGTGTTGATTTCCCTTTCTCTTCCAGGGATTTATATTTCTCCTGTACCGCCAGGAGGGGACAGGATCACCTCTCTACATGCAGCAGTCCTTGAATGGGATAATCCTCTTTGACACTTATCGGGTCAATATAGCTGTGCTTTCAGCAGTGGAAGCCATAGCAATAGTACCTTGAAGTGGCCCAAAGGGTCCTACCTGCAGGGTCACTTTACGTTCCCTTTGCCATTGGGAACATGGCTCAGACCCTTTCAGCCGAATTTGGAAACTTTCCTCCCTTGAACTAATGAGTCTGACAGGCTCGCATCAGGGGCTGTAGTGACAGCCACCCAGAGATGATGCCATTGCCCAGTTGGAGAGTGTGGGGAGTGTTGGATACAGGGGTTGGGGAGAAGCTTTTTTCATCCTTTAGCCTGTCACTGGGTTTGGTACCACTTTCTCCCCAGTGTTGTTCTGTGTGTCCAGTGAGCCTCAGGGCTTAGGGACCCCTTTTTGTTTAGTCCCTGTACACACTGCTGCGGCTCTGCCTACCGTCCTTAGTGCCTTTGGTGACCCCTGTGCCTAGCAAATCCTCCCGCTCTGGGACTGGGTACAGTGGAGATGTGGACCCTTGTATCCAGTAGAGCCCTGAGTTTAAGTCCCTCTCTTCCCTGGAGTTCCCCAGCACACAAGGGTGGGTGAGTGTGGCCTTCTGTCCCCTTTTTGGGTACATAGAGACCTTGGCCCCACCTTTAATCATCTTATTCTTTTTTTTTTTTTGAGACAGAGTCTCACTCTGTTGCCCAGGCTAGAGTGCCATGGCGTCAGCCTAGCTCACATCAAACTCAAACTCCTGGGCTCAAGAGATCCTCCTGCCTCAGCCTCTCGAGTAGCTGGGACTACAGGCACGCGCCACCATGCCCGGCTAATTTTTTTTTTATATATATATTTTTTAATTGTCTAGCTAATTTCTTTCTATTTTTAGTAGAGATGGGGTCTCGCTCTTGCTCAGGCTGGTTTCGAGCTCCTGAGCTCAAACGTTTCCCCCACTTCGGCCTCCCAGAGTGCTAGGATTACAGGCGTGAGCCACCACGCCCGGCCAAGCATCTTATTCTTTAAAGCAGCTGAGGTTGTGGTAGAGGATGTGGGATCAAGGGGCATAAAGGAGAGAGTGGCTCTGAGCCAGTGGGCAAGGCACATGTACTTTTGGCTTGAGCACATGGCTCACCCAGGGATCTTTTAATGTTTTCATTTTACTCAAAGTTCTGTATTGAATAGCAGGGTCCTTATTGCTGCACCATTTATTGAAGCTTTGGAGACCTCTTGATTCAGCAGCCACGTGCATCTTGCCTCTTGGCTGGGGCTGCCGGGCTTGCTGCGCCGTTGTCATGCTCACATCTCTTCCTCATTTGCCCAGAGGACGGGGAGCAATAACCAAGGCAGCATTCAGACGGCTGGTTTCAATGCTACCTCTCTCATTCGGCCTCTTTAATAGGTGGGACAGTGGGGGACTCTTACTACCCCCATTGCCTGCCCATGGGGGCCCTCATTTGGTAAGCTGTGTCTCTCATCATCCTATGCTTGTCCCCCAAACGGTCAGGGTCTGGGATTTTATTTTAGCTACTTGCAAGTGGATAAGTTAGCCTGTCACTGTTTTATGGATGCCAGCAGAAGACAAGGTCCTGGGTCAGAGACAAAGGACTTTATTTCTCATGGCACAGCAAGCAGGACGAGCATCAGCATGTTGGCATCAGTCTTCCTTGCTCCCAAAGTCCCGTGCAGTGCTATGGGTCTGCCTGAATGCTTGCACATCAGTGGGGTGCATCGCAGCTGAGGATTATTGAGCTTGAGGAATTCACTGTTTAATTAGCAAGCAGTAAGCAAGACTGCTCTCTGTCCCAGAGGGAGACACTAACTCTTCCCTCAAGGTTGTTTGCTGCAAACATAACCCCGAGAAATGGCCTGGGTAAGGATCGGTCAGGACCTTACATTCCTGGCATACCCTACAAGGCCTGTGGGAGTTCAAGAGAGCCATGGAGGACTGTCTTTCCCAACACAAACAAGCAATAAAAGCTAAGAGGAAATAGGAGTATTACTGCTGGTTTTACTTGGGGAACTTTTGAAGTAAAAATCTCATGCCCCTTTATTCGGATGTTGCTTCAAAACTAACCGCAAATGTTGGGGCAGCCTAAATAGTGCCCAGCATGCATGGTACTTTACAGAGATCTTTCATGAGTTGTCTGAGTTGAGCCCTAATACCTCCCTGGGAAGGTGGGCATGGCAGATATGTTATTGTCTTCATTGTGTAGTTGAGAAAAAGAGGTCTGGAGAGAGTGAGCGTTTTTGTCAGATTATGCCATGAGTAAGTGGTGGAGCTGGGACTGGATCTCCCTTCTTTCTGCAACTCTATTTTGTCACACTGCTCTGAAGTTATTTCTCTCTTTGACATCACCATGCCACTGTCTTCACCTCCTGTCACGCAGTGTGCTTAGCAGATGCAGAAGTATATTTACTTTTCTGCCCATCTATTGGATCCACTGAGTTAAAAAAAATAAATAAATTTTTTGAAAAAGCATGTTTTGCCTGTTATATGGTAGGTTGGTAATGACTGTTTATGACTTGGAGATTGATGGTAACTAGAAAGTAACCCTTCTTTTGAGCGGCAGGAAGAGCATAACAAACAGAAATGGCCAGGCTCTGCCAGGTGGTTTGGCTGCCTTCTTAAAGCTCTCATGCAGGGTATAAAGACGTTTATGTGGTTGTATAGAAGAACAGGGCTTTGCATTGTGTTTGAAAGCTGATTAGAATCACATATTTACTTGCAAAATAACTTACACAATGGGATAGGTTTTAGATATGCTCTGAACTTAGTAAGAAAACCCTCAGTTTTTATATTCTATTCTGGTTAGTTCATCATGTTAAGATCAGTCAGATCATAGTCAGCAGGTTACTTTTCGCAAGGTTGATGAGCAAAATCAGGTTCCTGTGGCAATCATGGTTTATAGTCTCTCTCTGATCAGTAGCCCGACAATGTGGGAATGTACCTTCTAATAGCAAACACAGTCTCAGAAGTTAACAGACTTGGGAGAAGACATACTACAAACCTTTCCACATTATAGGGAAACTCTTTGTCCTTTTAAAATAAATGGAAATTCAAGATACAGAATAAGTATATGAATATTTAACTCAAATTTATGGTAACTAACTGGTAAATATTTGCTAATCTTTCTCATCTGTCTAAATAAAGGCTAATGGCGGCTTGAAACAGATAGCCTCTGGTTTTAACTTTAATTTTAACCATTCTTTATTAAGGCAATTTAGTGTTTATGATAATTTAAAAGTTCTTGTTTCTCTTTTTGTTTTCCTTTAGTTGGGATGAAACTCACTTTGGAAAAATGGGAAGTTACTATATCAACCGCACCTTTTTCTTTGATGTGCACCCACCTCTGGGAAAGGTGAGCAGTATGGTAAACAGCAGCTCTCTAATCTGGGAGGAGGGTTCCTGAGGGCTGCAGACAAGCTTCTGTTTTGGATTTAATTCTTGGACCTGTAGAAAGAACTCCCTGACATTCCAGATCAGCTACTTTCATAGAAAATCATTGGTGTTTTAAAGGTCTCTGGGCTCAGAAATGCAGAGAGGGTCCATCAACTAATGGATGGATAAACAAAATGTGGTCTGTCCTTACAATGGAATATGATTCAGCCATAAAAAGGAATGAAGTTCTGATACATGCCATCATGTGGTGGACCTTGAAAGCATTATGCTAAGTGAAAGAAGCCAGATACGAAATGTTACATATTATATGATTACATTTATATGAAATTTCCAGAATGGCCAAATCCATAGAGCTAGAAAGTAAATTTTAGTGGTTGTCAGCTTCTGGGGGGAGGGAGAATTAGGCTGTGTCTACAAATGGGTATGGGATTTCTCTTTGGGGTGATGAAATGTTCTGAAAGTGGGTAGTGGTGATAATTGTACAACCTTTTAAATATATGTAAAACCACTGATTGTACACTTTAAAATGGTGAATTTTATGTTAAGTGAATTTTATCTCAATTTTAAAAAAGAAAAAAGAAATAGAAGGAACGCATTACATAAAGCAGAAGTGGCTCAGGGGAGCTGATTGTCAATGCGGGAGCTAACTGCCCCCCACCCCGCCCCCACCAAGATGCGTATTATTTGACTTGTTCCTCTCACATGTTTTACAGTTAGAAATTCCACCAATTTGAATTCATTTTACTCTTTTAAAAAACAGACACCTCTGAGAAGGCTAGTGGATTGACCCGGGCATTCACTGAACCCTTTCTTCCCAACTGGAGACTGAGGTCTTGGGCACCAAGGGGACAGGAATTTGCCTGTGATGAGTGAGGAAGTGATCTGGAAGCATGTAGCATTTGGGGATGGAGGTGGGGGTGAGGGGAGGCCGAGGTACCCATCTGTGACAGGTGGGCTTAGGGAAGCATGAAAACATGGGGCAGGAACCAGTAGGAAGGTCCCTCCAGGTCAGAGGGGTGAAGAGGAAGGTAGGACAGGTGGCCTATTTCAGAATTGGCTCTGAGTCCAGGAAAAGAATAGAAAATATTAGGTCGGTATAAAAGCACTTGTGGTTTTGGACTGTGAGTTTTAAATCATTATAACTAGGCTCAAACACATCTTTATTATAGCAAAATAGGAACGAGTACAATCAACACCTTTTTGCCAATGAGAAATAAGTCTGTTTATTCCCGTAAAGATCTGTGCTTCAGGATCTGATGAACTTTTGGAAAGCATTTTCTGCATCCTGCTGGTTGTGGAAGCGTTTTTCCTGCAAACAGTTGTGGAGATGCTTGAAGAAGTGGTAGTCAGTTGGCAAGAGGTCAGGTGAATATCGTGGATGAGGCAAAACTTCGTAGCCCAATTCGCTCAACTTTTGAGGCGTTGATTGTGTGACGTGCAGTCAGGTGTTGTCGTGAAGAAGAATTGGGCCATTTCTGTTGACCAATGCCAACTGTAGGTGTTGCAGTTTTTGGCACATCTCATCGATTTGCTGAGCATACTTCTCAGATGGAATGGTTTCACCAGGATTCAGAAAGCTGTAGTGGATCAGACTGGCAGCAGACCACCAAACAGTGACCATGACCTTTTTTTGGTGCAAGTTTGGCTTTGGGAAGTGCTTTGGAGCTTCTTCTTGGTGCAACCACTGAGCTAGTTATCGCTGGTTGTCATATAAAATCCACTTTTTGCGGCACGTCACAATCCGATTGAGAAATGGTTCATCATTGTGTACAAGAGAAGACGACACTTCAAAACGACGATTTTTTTGATTTTCAGTCAGCTCATGAGGCACCCACTTATCCAGCTTTTTCACCTTTCCAATTTGCTTCAAATGCCAAACAACCATAGAGTGTTCGGCCTTGAGTTCTTCAGCAACTTCTCGTGTAGTTGGAAGAGGATCAGCTTCGATGATTGCCCTCAGTTGGTCGTCGTCAACTTCCGATGGTCGGCCACTGTGCTCCCCATCTTCAAGGCTCTCATCTCCTTTGCAAAACTTTTTTTTTTTTTGAGACAAAGTCTCACTCTTTTGCCCGGGCTAGAGTGAGTGCCGTGGCGTCAGCCTAGCTCACAGCAACCTCAAACTCCTGGGGCTCAAGCAATCCTTCTGCCTCAGCCTCCCGAGTAGCTGGGACTACAGGCATGTGCCACCATGCCCGGCTAATTTTTTCTATATATTTTTAGTTGTCCGATTAATTTCTTTCTAATTTTAGTAGAGACGGGGTCTCGCTCTTGCTCAGGCTGGTTTCGAACTCCTGAGCTCAAACAATCCACCCGCCTCGGCCTCCCAGAGTGCTAGGATTACAGGTGTGAGCCACCATGCCCGGCCTCCTTTGCAAAACTTTTGAACCACCACTGCACTGTACATTCATTAGCAATTCTTGAGCCAAATGCGTTGTTGATATTGCGAGTTGTCTCCACTGCTTTACAACCCATTTTGAATTCGAATGAGAAGATCGCTCGAATTTGCTTTTTGCCTAACATCATTTCCACAGTCTAAAATAAATATAAAATAAACAGCAAGTAATGAGTCATTAGCAAAAAAACATAAACCAAGAAATGTGCATTAAAATGATGTATAACATAACCACATTTAAGAACGTATTCCAATATCAAACAGCAAATTTCAACAATGCTAAAACCGCAATTACTTTTGCACCAGCCTAATAATGTGCTCCTTTTTGTTCCTTTATAATATAACAATAAAAATAAGAGTGATTAAATACTTAGTCTATTCTAGTGATTTTAGAAGTATTATGTCATGTAAGCCTCAGAAAAACCTTATAAAGTAGGTATTGTTGTATCCCCATTTTACAGATGGGGAAATTGGGACAAGATAAGTAGTTTGCTGTGGGGAACAAGGCTAGTAAGTGGCAGAATCAAAGGTTTAGACTGGCTTAGAGCCTGCTCTCTTACCACCACACTGCCTCGTGATCTTGCCTTGTCTCAGACTGTCTGTTACTACCGTAGAATTAAGCCACAGACTGTGTTGAATATTTGCACTGGGCTAGCCTGGGAACAAGATGTCTGATAGAAGAGATTTTTCATAGGAGATCCAGCCCAGACTTTTAGCTGGGGACTGACTGGCCTTTTTTTGAGTTTCCTGGTGCTCAGCACACTGTGGACATGTGGAAGAGACTGGCTGATACGTTTAATTTGCTTAAGCCTTCCCTTCCTCACATCTAAAGGGAGAAAAGGGAGGCTTCTTTCTAAGGCACCCCCAGGGAGTGTGGTCCATCTGTACCCCTAATTTATCTCCTGATGGTTCTGTGTTCTATCTGGTTCAAAGAGAGTGATGAGCAAGTTAGAAACCTGCGAGAGAGCAAAGTAGCTTCTGTGGGTTCTGAGGCCAAGCCAGTCAAAGAATCAAAAAGCCCCTCAAAGTGGCAAGTAGGAAGTTTTCTCCTACACTACTGAGGCCCGTACCTGCCACCTCATACTGTCCCCCAGTCCTGCCCCCAGCCCCGTGCACCTGGGTCTCCAGTCAAATAGGAACTTTTAAAAACATAAAAATGCGTGCACATAGTGAAGATTCTGATCAGTACTGAAGGAAGTAAAAGATCAAAAAGCCTCCTCCACCACATTTCTATTCCTCAGAAGTAACTATAGTCTGCTTTGTTAACAGCTTCTTATATATCCTCTCAGGAATTTTTTGTACAAATATATGTATTTTTATACATGTACATATGAGCAAATTATATATACACACATAATCCTTTTTATGGGATCAGACTACAATTGTTCAGCAACTTGTATCTTAAACATGATATATCTTAACTTCTTTCCACATCAGCACATAAAGGTGTGCTTCATTCTGTTTAATGGCTGTATATCATTCCATTGTACAGATGTGCCATAAAGTATTTAATCTCTCTTCAGTTGGTGGGCATATATGCTATTTCCAATTCTTAGCCATTATAAAGATACTGCAGTGAACATCCTTGTACATGCATCTTTGCATAGTTGAATGTCTGAAGGATTTCCAGCAACCAAAGAGTCAAAGAATATGCACATTTAAAATTATGTTAGATACTGCTAAGTTTTCCTGCAAAAATACTGTAATAATAGGTACTCCCACAAACAGTGTATGAAGCTGCTTTCTTCTCCACATCATTGCCAGCACTGGTATGATCATACTTTAAAAGCTCTCAATTGGAGAGTAAAAAATGTTGTATTATTCTTTTCATTTGCATGTCTTTATGAGTTAAGTTGAACATTTTTTCATGTTTATTAACTGTATTTTGTTTTCTATGAATTTTCTATTTTTCTAGTAGGTTCATCTTTTTCTATTGATTTGAATAAATTATTTAGTTAGGAAATTAGCTCAGGGCTACTTTTAAGGAAACTGAGAAGGGATTGAATTTTGAGTGCCTGTTAAGTACTTGGCATAGTGTTAGATGTTTTTCTTACAGCATCACCTCTAATCCTCACAACCCCTTGCAAGGAAGGTTTTATTACCTATAGCTCAGAGATATTAAGTACTGTCCGTGATCAGAGACCTGTGTGGGACACCAAGATCTGAACCATCTGTGTGTTTCTTCACTCCAGACCAGCCAGACAGCTGGGAATTCACAGCCAGCACAGGCAGGCTTGTCCTCTGAGCTCCCAGCTGGGAAGGGGGATCCCCTTGATTGTCGCTTATCAGTTTTAGTTCATCTAGGTATTGGATAGGATGACCCTGTCTTTTCAGTACCTTATATTACTTTATAAGGGTGGGATTCTCTCCTACCACCCACCTCGCTTTCTGAAGCAAACCTTTATCATCATTTATTGCTGAACTTTGACTTTCATACCTTGACTTGGAACTATAGAGAGTGGCTCTGTTTAGAACTACTTAGAGAAAAAAGTGAGTTGGTTAGTGGTCCAAATCCAAGCCCCCACCAGCAGAGTTGCTGGGAGGGGCTTTCCCCACACAGCCTGCCAGAGCCCTGGGGTCAGGCTAGAGCAGCCTGGGGCTGTCACAGATGGTTGGCATTTGCTGACAAGTTGCTTGTGTGGAAAAGAGGATTTTACAATGTCGGTGACCAAAGAAATAGAGAAACGAAGAGGCTGATCTTCTCAGTTCTGAAGGATTCATGACTCACAGTCTTAGTTTATAGTTTGTTCTGGTTTGGGAGGTGCCAAGGTTGCCTTCCTTTGGAATGTTGGAAACAGGAGAAACCAGTCTCTGGCCTGTTGGCATTTTTTCTCTTCCCCTCTGGGAAAATGCATCTGTCTTTGCATTCCTCTCTCTCACTTTCTTCCCTTCTCCCTGTTCTTGGTGTATAGCTACTTGGTCACTTTTCTCCCTCCTCACTGTGACTTGGAACCTCATTTTCCTTTCGAAAGGCCAGTCTCTCTGGAATTAGCCTCTGCCTGTGATCTCAATAGCTGTCATGTATCATAACAAATGAAAGAAGGCTGAATAAGAGAGCCCCTCACTGACTCTGCCCTTCAAATTGTGGGGCATTTTTTCTTCCCAAGTGTTTAGTCTACACTGTTCCCAAGAACTTGGCCATAACACAAGAGAGGGTTTGTGTGGAGCAATGAGATCAGTAAACAAAAGCTTCTTTGCTCTGTAGCAGCTGCAGAAGAAAATGTCACATTGGCAGCTTTTTCTGTTGGCAGTTGTCAAGGGAAGCCAAAGTCTGTGGGTGCAGCTGGAAGGAAGTTCAGGGGACTGAGGAATCTTCTCCCAAAGGCCTCTCATCTTTCTGTTTGTTCTCCTTCTCTCCTCAGATGCTGATAGGTCTTGCTGGCTACCTGAGTGGATATGATGGTACCTTTTTGTTCCAGAAGCCTGGGGACAAATATGAGCATCACAGCTACATGGGAATGAGAGGAGTAAGGCTTCTTAACTTGATATAGATTTTTTTTTTTTTGGAGACAGAGTCTCACTCTTTTGCCCGGGCTAGAGTGAGTGCCATGGCGTCAGCCTAGCTCACAGCAATCCTTCTGGGATTCCTGGGCTCAAGCGATCCTTCTGCCTCAGCCTCCCGAGTAGCTGGGACTACAGGCATGCGCCACCATGCCCGGCTAATTTTTTCTATATATTTTTAGTTGTCCAATTAATTTCTTTCTATTTTTTTTAGTAGAGACGGGGTCTCGCTCTTGCTCAGGCTGGTTTTGAACTCCTGAGCTCAAACAATCTGCCCGCCTCGGCCTCCCAGAGTGCTAGGATTACAGGCGTGAGCCACCGCGCCCAGCCAATATAGATTTGACTGAACCCTGGGGCCACACTCAATCAGAAATGTTACAGGTGGCAGCCCTCGAGTGGTGGCAGGTGTAGATAAAGGGACTTCGGGGTGGTGGAGAGAGAGGAGGAGGATCAGACCATCCCCTGTGGTGTAGAGATTCAGAACCAAGGTGGGGACGGAGGGGAGGAGAACCACGAATAACAGAGATATGACATTGATGAGAGCAAGCATGCACTGTCACCTGTTCCCCTGCCCATGTGCCGCCTCAGACCTCAGGTTGGAAAGCAGCCTGCGACCCAGGCAGTTGGAGTCTCCTGCAGGGCTGACATTGCCTCTGTTCACTGGTGCACTGCACACTTTCCTCCCTGCAGTCACAGCCACTAGAGTCTTGCCTACCCCTGAGAGCCCTTTCTTAAGATTTTGGCTGGACATGGTGGCTCACACCTATAATCCCAACACTTTGGGAGGCCAAGGCAGGAGGATCATGAGACCAGCCTGGGCAAAATAGAGAGACGCCCCTGTCTACACGCACACACACAAATTGGCTGGGTGTGGTGGCGCACACCTGTAGTCCCAGCTACTTGGGAGGCTGAGGCAAGAGTATCTCTTGAGCCCAGTAGTTCAAGGTTGCAGTGAGCTGTGATCACACCACTGTATTGCAGCCTGGGTGACAGAGTCAGACCATGTTGCAGAAAAAAAAAAGAAAAGAAAGAAATTTTGGTATCCCCTCATACCCTCACCAGGTTCCTACTTCTTTCCCCATGAAAGTTTCAAGCACACAAGGAGTATTCCAGCCTTATTTAAAGGGAGGCCATAGTCTGCTCCAGGCCCTCTGTGCCTTGATTCCCAGCAGCAGCTTTGATGGAACATGGCAGAGCCAAAACACCCAGCTCTCTGGGGGAACCCTGTGCCTGTAGCTGAATGGAACCTGCAGAAACTGACCTCCAACTTGGGACACTCAGAGAAGTTTGCATTGCAGACTCATTTTGCAGTGAGTTTCCTTTGCAGAAGGAAAGTGAGATCCCTTTTCCTTGAGGATCTCACAGCATTTTTAGATAAATGGCTATGTGCATATTTGTGCTAATCATTGGATGATTTGCATGGCCACACCATGCCATGTTAAACAAGGAGTGTCCCCTACCCTCAAGTTCATATTCTTCAGTGATTCAGTGTCTTCCTAATGACTTTTGAATACCACATATGTAACTGGTTATAGGTTATAGGCCTTACTCACTGTGGACTTGCTATGGAAATTGAAGAGGCCAAACATAACAGCCTTTCTCACTAGAGCACATTGTTTTCTGTTGGCAAAAAGTGATGACCCAAATGTGAGAATTTTCCATTCTTCTGGGCTTGTCTGTTTACTTTGATGGGCAAAGTAGTGGGGTGGAAGAGGGCTGGTGATTTACAAATACAAAAAACGAAACAACCCTCCAAGTACTGAGGTGTCACGCAGTCTGTTTTCCAAAATCAAAATACATACATCCTATAGATTAAAGAGTGGTTTCTGGTGTGATTGAAGAAAAGATGCAGGGGAGAAATAATGTTAGAAATAACAATTCTCTGAAATGTTAAGATACCTTCAGAGAGGTCTTTCTCAACTTGTACCTATAATTTTGTAATGGAAGCTGATGTTTATCAGCTACATAATAACACTTTAGTGTGTTTAATCTTCAGAGTAAACCTATGAGGTAGGAACTCTTATTTTTCACATTACGCAGAAAAGGAGGTGGAGACACAGAGACGTGATTTTCTCGGGGTCACAGCTAGCAATGATGGGACAGTCCTGCCACACCTTTCTGGCTGAACTTTGCTGATTTTATGTCGGTGTGCAAGTTGTTGCTCGGTTATATATTGCTTGATTGGACTCTTCACTGTTACATCACCCTTTTCTTATTTATAGATACTCTAACTGATTTTGGCTCACCAAAGTCATGCCTTCATCAGGATCCTCCATCTTAAACACTAGTTTGTTCCAAGTCAAGCAGGTCCCTCATGTTTAGCTTAGCTTTTTATTCTCTGTTCCTTCTGTAGTTCTGTGCGTTTCTCGGTTCCTGGCTGATCCCCTTTGCCTACCTCACTGTGCTGGATCTGTCCAAGTCCCTCCCGGCAGCACTACTCACTGCCGCCCTCCTCACCTTTGGTAAGTTGTCTGATACGTACCACGGTTTTTGGGAAATGGGATGCCATACTGTCAATGTAGTTGGCCATCAGTATGTTCACGGGTCCTATCTATGGGCCCAGTTCTTAATTAACTTTAGGATTGGGTAAAATGGATTACAAGTCTCATTTTATTCAATAGTAGTACTTACATATATGAATACTCATATATAGCAAGCCTTTATATTTTGGAGGGAAGAGTTGGCATGGGTAATGCTAAGGAATAGATCATCTCTCAGTTATTCACATTTGAGTTTGGAATGCATAATGAGAAAAATTTGTGTGTGTGTGTGTTTGAAGGAAGCTTGTAATTCTAATTTTATTTCTCTTAGGTTAATATTAAGATTTTGCATTCCCTAAACTAATTTCAACTTAATGCAAAGACAAATGCCCCAGAAGTAGCTGGGTGGCAGGGGATAGCAAATTGGGAACTTGAATATTTTCTGTGGATAAATGAGGGTTGATCGTAGATGTTGATCCTGTAGCTAGCCTTGTTCTCCTGGGGGTGAATTTTTGACCTCATGGAGCTTAACATTTAAAGAAGCCCAGATCAGTTTAGGTGGGTGTTTTGGGGGTTTGCTTTGACAGATACGTTGCTTTGTTTTGACAAATATATTATGAGATTATAGGCTCTCTCTGTGGAAGACTGGTGGCTTTTTCCTTGTATATCTTTAATTTCCCTCTTCAGTTATTCATACATTCAGTCATTTATTTATTTTTCATTCAACAATTATTTCTCAAGCGCCTACCCTGTGCCAGGCCAGTTTTCTTGGCCTCAGAGGATACACTGATGAGATACTCTGCTCTCATGGAGATTCTCCTCCAGTGGGACAGACAGTAAATAAGCAAGTAGATGACTAAGTCTGTGATGTGACATCTGAAGCAGTAAGTGCAGGGTAGAGAGTGAAGCAGGGGAAGGGATAGAGTAATGGAGATCAGTACTGTGTTGGTAGGGTGGTCACGGGAGAGCCTCCTGCGAAGGTAGCTCTGAGTGGAGACCTGAGTGAAAAGGTCAGGCCACGCAGAGATCTGAGGGAAGAGTGTTCAGGCCGAGGGAACAGCATGTGCCATAGTCCTGGTGCAAGGCTCTGTGGATTCAAGGAACAGCAAAAGGGCTAGTAGAGTGAGGGTAGAGTGAGTGAGGCACAGGATGTTGGGAGATGAGATTGGATAGGTAGGGAGACCATGCAGGCTTTGGCAGCCGTCATGAGAATTTCTTAGTCTGAGTGAAATGGGAGGACATCGGAAGGTTTAAGCAGGAACATGATGTAAGGAGATTTAAGTAAAAAAAAAAAAAAGTTAGCCAGATGCACTGGCTCATGCCTGTAATCCTAGCACTTTGGGAGGCTGAGGCGGGAGCATTGCTTGAGGCAAGGAGTTCGAGATCAGCCTGAGTAGCATAGTGAGACCTTGTCTCTACAAAAAATAAAAAAAATTAGCCAGGCAGGGTGGCATGTGCCTATAGTCCCAGCTACTAGGCTGAGGCAGGAGGATCTCTTCAGCCCAGGAGTTTGAGGTTGCTGTGAGCTATGATTGTGCCACTGCACACACTCCAGCCTGGGTGACAAAGTGAGATCCTGTCTCAAAAAAAAGTTTAAAAAAGTCACTCTGGCACCTGTATGGAGAAAAAAACCCCAAGAGAGACATCATATAAAATGATAAGAATCTGTCATAGGTACAGATAGTTTGTGGTTACATAAGCAGGGTGGCAGAACTTTCTTTTTTATGGTGGAAATGAGGAAGAGACCTCATCTCAGGGATGCTCTGAGTGAATGACATGATCCCTTCTTGGATTGAGGGCCCAGAGGCAGTGTGATACTGCTTCTCGTCACTGGGCTTTGATGTATCCCAAAACTGTGGCCTGATAACTCAGGGATGACTCAGTGGCCCATCTAGTCCTAACTGCACAAGTGCTTACATGCAATTAAGCAGCAAGGGGGCCTGTTTCCTACTGTTGGGGTGTTTGGTTTTCAGGGGGTCCCACTCTTGAGTCTACTTTTTCACCAGCAAGCTCATGTTTTTCAGACACAGGATGCCTCACTCTGTCCCAGTACATCCTCCTTGACCCCATCCTGATGTTCTTCATCATGGCTGCCATGCTGAGCATGGTCAAGTACAACTCCTGCGCCGACAGGTCAGAAACACCGTCTTTGGGCGGGGAGGGTCAGAAGCTATGACAGTTCCAGAATTTCTATAATGGCCAGGGCCAGGGTGGGTGCCTAGAGGACTGGTCATGAAGCTGAATTTAAGGCAAGCATACTTTTTGTTTGTTTTTTAACTTAGATTGTCCATTTTAGATCATAAAAATAGATTTTAAAAAATTTTCAATAGATGCTTTTATATTGGTTATACATAAGACCGAGAAAATGTTGATTGTCTTTGTCAGGAGTATTACTATTATGTTTACAATGGGGTACAATTGGGTAGGGGCTTATGGATGTTATGGAGGGGTCCTAATGCTTTCCCCCACCCACCTCTTGTAAGCTGCCCCTCAGCACCAAGGCAGGTTAGGAGATCCCAGGACAAGTTTACCCTTCACATTCTCTGTACTAGAGGGAAGAGCATCAGGTAGATGCTGCCTGGGAACTATTTGTCTCCCCGCCCTCAGTGATTGCATCCAGTCCTGAGCTAATGATGGATGTCAAGTTTGGCTTGAATGGCCCATACCAGTCAAGAGGATACTTCCAGGCCCCGGTCAGTTCTAAAGCTGATCTGGAGGGTCCTGTCTACCTCCAGAATAGTCTTTTCCTTCTGCCTCTGAGACAGTAGAATAAGTCATTCTATTAGACAAACCAAAAGAGTTGTTCCCTCCTAGGCTTTTCCAGAAGTCAATTTGGTTTTACCCATGACCAAGCGCATGAAGCTACATCATGCTAATCAAACCTGATCAGTGCTGGCTGCCCACTCTGGCTTTGGGTTATCTTCTGCCTGTACCACATCCACTTCCATCTACAATTTCTCGAATACATACTATGTGCCAGGTGCTATGCTAGGAGCTAGAGGTACAGAAGTACATAGGTCTTGGCTGTTAAGGAATCACTCTGGCAGAGGAGTTAGCCAGATAATCCGAAAACTGCAGTGCAGTGTGCTTGGTGCCATAAGTGTAGCAAAATGGTTAGGACCACCAACCTTGGACCCAACTGTGTGGGTTAGAACTGTGCCCCACTGCCTGCTAGCTATTACTTCACCTCTCTGTACCTCGATTTCCTCATGTGTAGGAGGAGGATAATTATAGGATCTACCTCATAGGGTTGTAGTGAAGGTTAGAAGAGTTGATATGTGTACAGTACTTGGAAAGGTGCCTGGTACATAGTAAGCACTCAATAAATGCTGCCTTTGACAGGTCTGAAGGTGACACAAAAGAGAAGCCTGACTGAATCCAGCGGGAGTCTCTGGATTTTCCCTTAACTCCTCCTTGATTTGTCACTAGTGAAGAATGAGCCTCGGTTTACCTCAAGCCCTGTACTTAGTCAGGAACTGTGGACCCTCTCCCTAGAAAAATACCCTACTCACTCTTACACTGTGGTCTGCCTGCCCTTTGAGGGGTTCCACAGACCACACATCCTCCTTGGAGCCATGCTGTGGTCTCCTGAGGCTAGGAACCCCCAGACAGAGGGCACGGCATAGCCTCTCTGAGTCAGCGAACCTCTGTCCTGTCCCACTGCTGCTCTTGCTTCCGAGTTTGGTTCCAGCTGCCAAACTGAACTTTGTGTCTTGTTGGTTTTCAGGCCCTTCTCTGCTGCCTGGTGGTTCTGGCTCAGCCTGACTGGCATCAGTCTTGCTGGTGCTTTAGGGGTCAAGTTCGTTGGCCTCTTTATCATCTTGCAAGTGGGGTTGAACACCATTTCAGACCTTTGGCACCTGCTTGGAGACCTCAGTCTTTCATTGGTAAGAACCCAAGTGCTTGTTGTAGAAATGTTTTTGCTTCCCAGGGTTGCTTAGCAAGAGCCAGTGGCCTTTCTCTGCCTCTGCTCTAGGTGGTGGAGCAGCTATATTCTGGGCCCTGGGTGGGCAGGACCCAGCTGCCCTCTGCAGACAGCAGGACTTCATGCAGTGGGCCCGGCTGAGAGGCTGGAGAGGTGTAAAGGGAGAGGATGGACCAACATCTTTGGAATTCTCTTTTGGCATTTGTTTCCGTAATGTCTTTTAAATATTCTACAAACTGCACAGCCAGGGGATTCTGTTGAGCTGGGCACATGCCAGCTGTGTGGCAGACACTGACTGCATGGGACTTTAGGTAAAATGAATGGGATAACTCTCTGAACTCACAGTTTTCTTCTCCTGACCCAGGGTCTCCATGTTTGGAGGCCAGTAAGGGCCTCTAGAGTTTATTATATTAATAATAATATTATTTTTTAAGGGCTGATTCTGTGCCAGGCACTATGTAAAATGCTTTATTTTCATTATTTCATTTACCCCTTATAACAGTCCTATAGGTGGTTAGTTAGTCATTACCCTGATTTTACAAATGAGGAAATCAAGTCCTAGGAAGGTCAATAACTTTCCCAAGTTCATGCAGGTAGTCAGAGGTAGCTCCAGGGTTCATTCTTAGGTAGGCTGACTCCAGGCCTCAAATACTTTGTCATGATGCTTCTCAATCACCTCTGAGCCAAACTTCCAACAAGTTTATTTGTTCATTCAGGAAATATTTAGAGACCATTCATTAAGCATGAGATACTGGGAATATACAGACGAGTAAAACATGATTCCTGTTTCCTGGAGTCAAGGGAGAGAGAGAAATAAGTAAATAGGTAGCTATAGTCCAGCCAGCAAGTGCCACAAGAGCATGGAGGAGGGTACTTGCCTAGTCTTTGGTGATCTAGGAAGACCTCTGGGAGGAAGCTGGGGCCCAGTTAAGCTAAGGAGCATCAGCCATGCGATGGGTAGGGCTGGCGTGGCACAGGAAGCGTTGGGAGAGTGCAAGTGCAAGGAGGCCAGTGGCTGGAACATGGAGGGAACTGGTGAGCAGTGACACTGCCCGTGCAGGTAATGCCTTGTCTGTGGCACAGTGACAGTCTGGGGTCCTGGGTACAGAGCCTCGAGAGGCAGCAGGGGGCTGGCCCATGTTTATCCCCATGCAGTGCTTGGGTAGTGGGCATTATGGAAAGGCTTAGTGTTTCTGCATATTCTTCTCCCCTGTTGGCCATGTTTTATAATTATGACTTATACATCTATGATGCACGTATAGGACATAAGGGCTACTGAAGCCCCATATGCCCACCACGCCACGCTGGCCTCTGTTTGCAGGTGACAGTGGGAAAACACCTGACTGCTCGCATCCTGTGCCTCATAGTGCTGCCTCTGGCTCTCTACACGGCCACTTTTGCCGTTCACTTCATGGTGCTGAATAAAAGGTACAGCTGGAGCCTTTCCCGCATCTCACTTCTGGTCTTCCTGTTGCCCCTGAGCCCATGCATGGGCCCTGTGATTTCCTGGGTCTGCAGTTAGGATGATAGGAGGGGGGCCCTGGGGCTTTTTCCTGTTTCTTTTCCCCTGTGTTCTATCCTTTGGGTATCCCAAGGGCTCAGAAAAGCCAGCACCCTGACCTGAAGGAAGAGGAGAGTTTCCCAATAGACAAACCTAATAGCTCTCATCCCTAAACAAAGTTTCTTGCACTTAGCAGGGACAGGCAATAGTAGGGTGTGCAGCAGGCGTGAGGATGCTAATAATTATAACACCAGGAGCCACAGCTCCCATGTTAAGTAGCTACAAAGTGTCAGGAACTGTGTTCAGCAGTTAGTATACATTATCTCATTCAATCACAGTTATTCCTGAGTTCCTTTGTTTTTTTTTTTTTTAAATCTCCATTTTGTAAATGAGGAACTAAGGCTAAACAAGGTTAGGTGTCTTACCCAAGGTCTCCCAGCTAGTAAGTGGCTGAGTTGAGATTTGGACCCCAGTTTCTCTGACTCCATCACCCACATCTGTCCCATGATGCCACCCTGCCACTGGGATTTGACTTCTTTCATACTAACAGTGGAGCTTTCCCAGGGCTCCTGGGAAATCCCATTTACACTCCATTAACTTGGCTCTCTTCCGCTGCCCCTCTCCCCACAGCGGTCCTGGCGATGGTTTCTTCAGCTCTGCCTTCCAGTCTCGGCTTTCAGGGAACAACCTTCACAATGCTTCCATCCCTGAACGTGAGTGTTTCTTGGCCTTACCAAGGTAGAAGCACAGAGGGGTTTCCTGGGAGTTGAATTGGAAAAGATAAGAGTGATAGATTATTTTAGCCTGTAGATGACAAAGTGGGAGAAAGACCCAGTTAGATCTAGTAAGAATACTCAAGAAAGTTCATCAGGACAGTGCAGAGGAAGCCGTCCTGAGCAGCAAGCTCTTTGACCCTAAGGGATAACTTCTCCTTTGTGTCTGTCAAAGCCAGCTCTGTGGGAAGGCGAGTCAGAGAGAATCTGGTTACAGAACAAGACCTTTCAGAGCCAGTTGTTAGTTTCCACCACAGAGTTCTGAGACTCATATCCATTTGCTTATTCACAGATAGTAATTGAGCAAGTGTTCACCCTCCAGAGATAGAGTCTAGTGTAGAGGATCTTCACACGGTATGACCGAATGTGCGAAGTACACAGAGAGGGAACACAGAGCTCTGGGGATTGAAGGGCGTGAGAAATTGCTGCTGCTGGGCAGTTGGAGGGGATCAGAGGTACATGGAGTGGGTTGCGTTAGAATTGGGCCCTGGAAGGATGGGTGGGTTTTAACAGGTAGGGAAGGAGAGGGCATATCAGGCAGAAAGGATGACAATATCAAAGCTGAAGACGGGGCACAACTCAAGGCACAGCTTATATGCAGAAAAGTACTGGAAGATAAGTTTGAAAAGATAGGTTGGGCCCAGATTATGAGGGTTTGAGGTGTCTAGATGAGGTATTTGACTTCCTTAAATAGGCAGTGGAGACCTGGCAGAGGTCTCTGAGCAGGTGGGAGCCAGAAAGGCTGTGCTATAGGGAGATGACACTGGTCGAAGGGTATAGGATGGCTAGGGAGAGGAAGGCAGGGGAAATCTTCCAGGAAGCTATTGCAGGGACTTGAGCTGGGCAGTGGTGGCAGCCACAGGGGTAAAGCAGACGGGCATATACAGGGGAGTCGGACATGGAAAGAGAGGAAGAAAGATGTCACTGAGTACCTGAGTGAAGGTGATTGTTTGCTGGAGGCAAGGACTACATCTTACTCGATTTAGTCTTCCCAGTGCTGGCACAGTGCCAGGAACACAGTGGGCCCTCCAAGACTGTGGACAGAATGAGAAACAGGGAAGCAGGAGGAAAAGTTGGTTTGGAAAGACACATCCTGAGCTCTGTATTAGAGAGGTTGACTTTGAGCTGCTTGGGGAAATCTGTGCCATGGGACCAGCACGCTCAGGGCTGACGCTGTCAAAGGAGGAATCGGTCAGGTAAAAGAGTAACTGATGCTGTGGCAGTGGCCATGACTCATAAGGAAACTGTAGGAAGAGGAGAAGAACGGGGCCAAGGTCAGGTCGTCAGGGAATGCAAGCGGAGGGGGAATTAGGAAGGAGCCTGCGGAGGAGCAGTCCATGAGCAAGTGTGGAGTCGCGAAGCGGGAGTGGAGTGTCTCAAAAAGCAAAGGTGGTCAGCAGTGTCAGGGTTCCAGGCGTTGGCCTGGCTGAGAACCTAGGAAAATGGAGCTGTGGAGTTTAGCAAATTCCTATTTGTTACTTAAAAGGCCCAGCGCAGCTGCCGTCTCTTCCATCAAGTCTTCTTTTTTTTATTCCTTGGGAGAGAATTCATCCACCCTGTTCAGGGCTCCTACCATGTCACACATTGTCACTTCTTTGTGAAGCACTTGCCTATTGTCCTATACTTGTCAGCATGTGAAGCTGTCTTCTTCGTAAACAGGGCTCTTCCAGGGCCACAGGCGGGCCTCCTCCACCTTTGGATCCACTGTCCAGATCGATACATTCTGTCGATCGACTAATGAATGAAGAAAAACAGGACTAGGCCATCACTGGTGGAGTGAGGGAGCTATTTGAGTGCGGTGGTGAATGGTGGGGCAGCCCGGTCACAGGGGACTGAAAGGGGTACGGCGATAGGGAAAAGAGGCTTCTCGATAACCCAGGGCCTGCAGAAGGAGGAGATGCTCTTGGGAAGCAGTTCACTCTGTGTGGCTTTTCTTAAAATTCAAAGTAAAAATAAACCAAAACACCATGGAACAGTTTATTTCATATGGTACTAAATTCAAAGGATACAAAAGGATATAGAGTGAAAAAACAGTCTATCACAATGTTCCATCTTGGAGAACACTCCAGGCGAAGACATAAAATGCTTCTTTCTTCTTTACTCCATTGAGTAATGTACAGACCTTGACTGAAGGACAAGTTGTTTTTAATCTTTTGCTGTTACACATGGTGCTTTGATGATGACCATGTTAATATCCAGCTTCATCCAAAGTCCTCATGAGGTAGGGCAGGGGAGGGCGCCAGTGAGACCCTGCGGTGAACTTGCTCTTGAATTGGCTCCATTGGAGTGAGAAGGCAGCCATGCTTCCTGCTTTAGGCAGTCCTGGGTCCAGAGGGTTAGTGAGCCTTGTGGCTCCAGGGGCCCTTCCAAGGCAGGCAGGGGCAGCCTCTTGCACTGTGCCAGCTCACCCCTCTGCTGTCTCCTTTCCTCCCAGACCTGGCCTATGGCTCTGTGATCACTGTGAAGAACCTCCGGATGGCCATCGGCTACCTGCACTCCCATAGGCACCTCTACCCCGAGGGCATCGGTGCACGCCAGCAGCAGGTCAGTGAGCTGTTTGCCATGACAGTCGCCATTCGCTTTCTTTCTTCCTGTCCTTTGCTCACACTGTTCCCCCTGCTTGAAACATTATTCCTGCTCCTGCACCCTTCTCTTTCCTCTGGCTAACCTCAGCTTCTTTAGGCTCAGCTTGGGTGTTGTTCTCTGACCACCATGACCCACCTCTCCCTGATACTGGATTAGGTGCCCCTCTAATGAGAAGCTTTCTTGCACACTCTGCATGCCTATGTGGTAACCGTTTTCCTATTGAACTGTGAGCACGCACTTCCTCCTGTCTCTTTGCTGCCTGACTGCTAGCTCCTGGAAGGCTCAGTGCCTAGCACATCACCTGGCACAGACCAATGATGAGTGGATGATGAGTAAAGTGAGGTGGTTGTGAATACAGACCCAGCAACCAGACTAGGGTATCTGGGTGTGAATCCTGTTTTCATTTAGAGTGTGATTTTGGACAAGTTAATCTTTTTGTGTTTCAGCATCCTCATCTTTAAATTGGGGGAAATAAATATTACCTCTCTCCATTATAGGTTTGGTGTAAGGATTAAATGAGATAATATATGTAAAGTGTACATAGGAGGGTTAGCCCCGAGTATCATCTGAAGGAGTGGATGACGCTGTCTTCATGTTAAGGAGTGTTAGGTGTGGCTGTAGTGGATGGCGCCTGAGAGGGAGAAGACGATGGATGTTGGAGAGGCTGGTGGGGGCAGACTGGGGAGAGGCCTGTGTTCCAGTAGATTTGACTTTGTTCCATAGAGCTTGGGGAGGCAGTGAAAATTATTAAATGATGATGAGAGGTGATTAGACCTCTAGTTTAGAAAGGTAACTTCAGCAGGAATGTGATAGATTGCAAGGAACCAGTTAGAAGGCAATAATTATGACAAAGGATGGTAAACAGAGGCAAAGACCATGGGGATAGAGGTGGGAACTGATTCAGGAAACACTTCATAGGTGTAATGTCAGAGCCCAGTGACTGAAGGATGTCACGGAAGAGCTACACCCAGGTCTGTAGTTTGGAGGACAAGGTATGTGTGTGGTTATGCTGTTTCACCATAATCAGAAACAGAGGAGGAAGAATGGCTTTGTAGATGGGAGGGGAGAGTTTTCCTTTGTGTATTTTAGGTGTGGGGCTTGTCTCAGGAGAGGGATCTGAGTGTGTGGCATATGGGTATTAGCACACAGGTGGATGGGTGGCCTTGCCCAGAGGGAGAAGGGCCAGTGAAGGAGTCCTGGGGAGCACCAGCGTTTAGAGCAGTGTTGAAGCCACTCAGAGTGGAGGCAGTAGAAGAGGCTGGGAAGGGAGGAGTGAACAGGGAGGTTGGAGGGGCAGTGGAGGGAGAGTACAAGGGAGAAAGCGGCTCTGGAAGGAGGAGATGGTCAGCAGGGGGTGCTGCAGAGACCTGGGAGACGGTGAGGCCTGGGAGAAGCCTTTGAATGGTAAAGCAGGCCTGTAACTCTGATGGGACAGTTTCAGTGGATCAGAAGGTCGGAAGTCTCAGAGGCAGCCCCTTTAGGAGTAAATGGGAGGTGAGGAAGTGGAGGCTGCAGTGTAGGCTGCTGTTCTGAGAAGCTTGGAAGGGAAGTTTTTATTCTTACAAAATGACCAGTATCTTTGTTTTGCCAAGTGTGCTTCTCCAGATGCTTTATTATTTATTATTTCCTTTTTAGTTACCAGAAAGTTGACTTAGGGTATTGGGTTGTAGTATCAATTTCTCATCCTTGATTCTCCGCTTATCTCTTGCCCTGTGGTTCTCAGCCCTGGCTACACTTTCGAATAAACTGGAGAGGTTTTAAACAATTCTGACGCCCAGGCTTCACTGCAGAGATTCTGATTTAACTGACCGAGGGTAGGGCCCATGCAGTGTGCATTTTTTTAAGCTCTCCGGACGATGCTAATGCATAGCCCGGGCAGAAACAGCTAGCCATTCTCTGGTGATAAATTGCTGTCGGTGTTGTGTAGAAGATCATGCGGTCACAGACGTGGTGACCAGGAACATCTACACTGTGCAAAGGGACAGAAAGGCCAAATTCTGAAAGACCCTATTAAGCCAGTGCTACACACTTGGAGTCCGTGTGTGGGGGTGTGAAGCCGTGGTAGTGGTATAGAGAGAGTGCATTGGGTGAAGGGACAAAAATACCTGGCTTTGTCATTGAGTGAATCACTTAGCCTTTCTCATCTGTTTTCTCATCTGTAAATTGAGAAGATTGGACTGAATAATCTCTAGTGGCCTTCCCTGCCCTGCAGTTTAATGTCTTGTTAACATGTCTAGGTCTTGGTTTTAAAATGTGTTAAAGCATAACATTTAGAAAATAAAATTGGAAAATATGGAAAAGTGTAAAAAAGAAAATGAAAGTACACATAATCCCAGAAGATCAGTGTTTACCCAAATATTTGGTTGTACAACATTCTGCTAGAGGATACCTGTGTTCCTAGGTAAGCTCGTCTTATAAAAAACTCCATTGTAAAAGCAAATGTTTCAATGGGAAAAAGGGGCCATGACTATACTCTTGATAAAAAAAGAATTTTTCTTGTAGGAATTTTAATAATAATGGCTTTTGTAAAAGCAAACAAAAAAACACTCCCCTACCACACATACATATAGAGTTCATGCATGAGTACCACAAAACCTTAATATTCTGAGCTAATCCCGGTTGGATGGACTATATCTAGCATTTTTTCAGGAGTGTGGACTTAATTTTAAATATGGTGGGTACTTACACAAGCCTAGTGGGTATAGCCTACTGCACAGGTATAGGCTATTGCTACTAGGCTACAAACCTGCACAGCATGTTACTGTGCTGAATACTACAGGCAATTGGAACACAATGGTAAGTATTTATGTTATCTAAACATATCTAATCACGGAACAGGTATAGTAAATATACAGTATTATTAATATCTTATGGGACCACCATTGTATGTGTGGTCCGTCATTGACTGAAATGTCTTTATGTGGCGCATGACTATAAATTGGTCATGTTTTGTCCAACTGGGGTTGTAAAAACTCACATTATAAAAGAAATGCCTATATTCCCATTGTTTCCAGGTGTTTCTATAGTCGTTTACATAGTTGGCATAATTGTGCGTATATAGTCTCTATCCTGGGAGCATTGGAGTTAGCTGCCCTGGCTTAAATCCTGTCTTCCCAACTCATAAGCTATGTGACCTTGAGCAAGTTATTCAACTTCAGTTTTTCCTTGTAAGTAACGTGGGGTTAACCCTAGTACGTACAGCACAGAGCTGTAATGATGATTGAATAAGACTTACTTGGTGCTTAGGACAGGGCCTGGTAATACATGGTGGGCCTTTTCAGCCCCAGCATTTCATGAGCCTTTTCCCATGCTGCCGAAAACTACTCTGAGACCTTTTTTGTGGCTGTGTAATATTCTATCACATAGACATACTGCCATGCTATTTTTCTATTACTAGATGTTCATACTATTTCCAGATTTTCATTGTTAAATTAATTGTGTGTGGCATTATAGATGTGTGCAGGTGAACACACACACAATTTTTTTAAATCAGTGTGTACAACATGGCTGTGGGAAACCCTAGGACAGGGTATGTATGGAGCTTGTACCGTTCGAGTCAAAGTTATAAGTGTGCCCATCACCGAGATTTGAGGCATGATCTTAACTACTGTTTTTTTTTTGTTTTTTGTTTTTTTGAGACAGAGTCTCACTGTGTTGCCCGGGCTAGAGTGCCATGGTGTCATCCTAGCTCACAGCAACCTCAAACTCCTGGGCTCAAGCAATCCTTCTGCCTCAGCCTCCCAAGTAGCTGGGACTACAGGCTTGCGCCACCATGCCCAGCTAATTTTTTCTATATATTTTTAGTTGTCCGATTAATTTCTTTCTATTTTTAGTAGAGACGGAGTCTCGCTCTTGCTCAGGCTGGTCTCGAACTCCTGAGCTCAAACAATCCGCCCGCCTCGGCCTTCCAGAGTGCTAGGACTACAGGCATGAGCCACCGCACCCGGCCTTAACTACTGTTTTAAAATGCACTAAATCCTCCTTGTGTGCTAGAGACTGTTATACAACGTAACACAGTTCCTCCTTCTAGAAGGTGGGAACTTTAAGGACAAGATGCAGAAAGGTACAAAGAGACTAGTCAAAAAGGCTCTTGTGGGACTAGGCCTCTAAATGCAGAAGGAAGGAAAGACTCTTATTCTTCCGGGCTACTTCTGAGCCCAGTTGAGAAATGTGGCCGCTCAGGTGGGGGGCTGGGGATTTTTATCTTGAACTCCTGGCTTCAAGGGATCCCTGTGCCTCAGCCTCCCAAAGTGCTAGGATTAGAGGTGTGAGTCATTGCGCCTGGCCCAAGGGCTAGGAGTTCTGAAAGAGGCTTAAGCAACGTTGGTTTGCTATTGATTGTCCTTGGCCAGCTGTACTGATAGTGATGATATTCTCCCTCCCTCTGCCCCTACCCCCACCCCCACCCAGGTCACCACCTATTTGCACAAGGACTACAACAACCTGTGGATTATCAAGAAACATAATACCAACTCAGGTAATGTGGTCAAGAACTGATGCTTCTTGTGTTATTACCCTGAGCCCTCCTTAACACTGCTCATGCCCCCAAAAGAATGATACTGAGATGGGTTTTCCTGAGCATCTTTGATAGCACCTTTATGATCTTAATTATCCTTTCAGCAAGTATTTATTGAGTACCTACTGTGTTCTAAACACTATTATAGGCATAGGGGATAACCAGTGAACAGAAGATAAGATTTCACTCTTAGAGCTGTCATTTTGAAGACAGAGAGCAGGGCTCAGATTTAATCCAGGAATAGGTTACCTGAGTTTGCCACCAGGGGCTGGTGAGTAGCCCCAGCCGAGGGCCCCTGGTGGCTGCTCCCATTTCTAGTGTACAGCACACCAAGCTCATCCTTGCACCAAGTCACTTCTGAGGGCCTGACAGCCCTGTGACTGGACTTTGTCTAGGCTGGTTCCTGGGGCATTACTCAATGCCTGCTGATCTGCCCCCAACTGGCTTGGGCAAAGTAGCTCTGAAGCACACCTAGCTGGTTCTTCGGGCTTTGTGACAAGAGCAAGAGCCAGATCCACATCTTCCTTTGGTTGGTCAGACAGCTAGCTACTTGTAGGCTGTGCCTTCTGCGGCAGCTAGGAAGAGAACAGAGGACATCTTCCTCTTACCCTCTGAGCCTGTCATCATGCTGACGGTCCTGTGCCACAAGTATTCTCTGCAAGTCCTCAGCAAATGCCACCTGGCTTGGCCTGTCCTGAGTCAGCTGCTCCTGGGCCTTTGTGGAAAAGTGGGCAGCCACTTATCTAAATTCACCTTCTTTGTTCTGCCTCCTTTTATTGCCATTTTTAGGCTAGAAACATGGCATACACAGCCTGTCTTTGCATCCTGTGTTCAGTACTATAAATTATGATGCCATTGGGAAGTCTGTTTTTACTCTTTTGTAATACTAGTATTGATTGTGTTTTGATCCAATAGGCCCAACATAAGTGTTTTATCACAATGAGGAGTTACAAGGGAAGACCAGCTTTATTTCTGAATCATGTAGGCGTGAACCAAATCTTTGAATATCCCCCTCTGTTATTCCATCGTGGCTTTTGCGTTAAGAAGGCTGCATTTCACCTAAGTGACTAAAGATTTTGTGGGAACTTTATGGACTAAGGTCATTGTGTTTATGATGATTATAAATGCCCCTCCCCCCAAATCCATAAGAAATAAAACTTCCCTCCTTATTGACTTACTTGACTTGTCATCTTTTTTAAGAGACCTTAAAAGGCAGTATAGGAATGCGCATCTCTGCAGTTGTGCTCTCTAATTCTCTTGAGAGCCAGTGATTTGCACTGGAAAATTTATCTTTCCTGACCTCGATCTGTTTATAGCATGTTGATATCTCACTGTTTGGAATAGAAATTTGCAGGTATCAATTTTGTGTTGCTGTGATCACTGCCAGCTCCTCTTCCATGTCATTGCCTTTCCGAAGGGTCTTGACTTCCAGATGATACAGAAATAGTCCCTTTCATCATTTCATCATTTTCTTCACCTCACACTTAACAAGTCTGTTGCCAGAGAATATAATCACTGGCAGAATTTGTAGGATTTAACATTTGATTTTGAGAAGAGCTGGGCAAATAGTCATTTGCATGGAATTAATTTTTAAAAGATTATATTATTACTACTAAAAGGAAAACCCTATTATTTAGCTTCCCAGCTTAAGCCCCGATGGAGGCTTCAGTGCCTTTCAGAAAGAGGCCCCATTTCCCAGCCTGGCATACAGAGTGTGGCCCCACTTGTTCATACCCTCATCTCCTGTTCCCGCTCTCCTTCCTACCCCCACCACCCTACCAGTGTGAAATCATTTGCCATCCATCAAATGAGTTTTGTTCTTTCATTCTCCTAATACCTTCCCCAACTTGTTCACCTGACAAAATTCTCCCCTTCCTTTAAGGGTCTTTTCAAGCATTATCTCTGGAACACCCTTCTCTAATCCTCTGAGACCGCTAGGGGCCCTCCCTCTTTTGTCCCACAGCACTCGATTAGTACCTCTAGCACACACCACGTGGTACTGTAACTGTTCACTGTAGGCCCTCAGTTAATATCAGTGCCTGTTTCTTCTTGGCAGATCACCTAGACCCTTCCTTCCCAGTCGAGTTTGTAAGACATGGAGACATCATTCGACTAGAACACAAAGAGTAAGTAATTTGCTGTTTGGATAAATGAGTAGTATGGGCACCAAGGCTGGAGAGTTCTTTTAAGAAATAAACAGAAGTCAGATTTGGATGAGGCTCTAGAATTGGAACAAGGCTGCTGTGCTAGAATAGGAGAAGCATTTTATGGAGGTTGATGAAGTAAGCAGGCCAGCCCTTGCCTGCCTGTGTTGACTTTGGGGAGCTTTGAACGTTGAGGGTGCTTTTCAGCTTCCCATTTCCTAGAGGAAAAAAGAAAAAATTTGAGTTGCCCAAAGCTGCTGCTTAAGTGGCTGCCTTTAGGAAGGTGTAGGATTCTGTTTCTGAGAATATGGCAAGCTAGTTTATTTAGTCAATGTTCTCACTGAAAATGACTAAAAATGCTAGAGTAATATAGAGACTTCTTTTTAAAAGCATAAAAAAGCTGACAAGATATCAAACAGTCGCCATGCCCAAATCTAAGTGAAAAGGGGTATCCAGAGAAATACGTGAGACACTGAAGCCACTTCTGCCGTGATCCCACAATCTTGAGTTTTGGTCTTTCATTTTGGCTCTCTTGAGAGAAGAGGTTTTAAAGTCAAAGTTCCAGACTCTCCTAAAGTGATCAATATATTAAGAGATCCTTCCACAAAATTTGGAACCCCAAAAGGCTAGCGTAAAGGTAAATCTGTCCCATCCACCTGTCCCCAGGAAAAGTTACTTTGGTACCAAGCAAAATGTTGGGGGGTTAGGTGGAGAACTATCCCTAGGTCCTGAGAATTCGAAACTACCAGTTGATCTTCACATGGGTTTGCAGCTCAAATTCATGTTACCTGGGTGGTTTCAAAAATCTTCAAGCCATGAATTTAAATGAACATGATCCTAGAGTTGTAATGTCTCCTAGGTGCCTGGCTAAAAGCAAATTTAAGTCCTCTTTTGGGAAAGACATTGTTATCCATTTCCATAAATAGTTTTTCAGCAACAGTGAATAGTACACAGTCAAAAATAACAGAGCACACAGGGAAATAGGGCACCATGTGCAAGAACAAGCAGAAACAATACACAGTAAAAGCAGCCCCACAAAAATTTTATACACCGGAATTATCAGGTACAGATTAAAAAAAAAATCAAGGAGATGTATGTGTGTGTGTGTGTGTGTGTGTGTGTGTGTGTGTGTGTGTGTATATGCAATTAGTGGTTTTTCTGTAGTTGCATTTTGGATAATAAATTTTTATTTTATTAAGTACATTTCATTTTATCTTTAATAAATTAAAATTTATTTATTGTAATTAAATTTTACTTTTGCAAATTTCCAAAAATTTTATAATAAACATTTATCACTTATGGATAAGAGTTGGCATAAAAAGCTAAATAAATGAAAGCTAAATTAAATCTTCCTCATCTCCCACAGATCTGCACTTTAAAAAACTGGTGATGGGAGTAGAAAGAGTAAATGGGAGTGGGGAGGTTCCTATCTTAGGCTTGTGAAGATTACAAGCTTAATTTTCTTCTCCCCAAACCTGCCTCTTAAGTCAGGCCAGCTAAGTGCTTCAAAGCTACTAAATGTGTGAAAGTCATCCCCCCACCCCTCCCCCGCCACACCTAAAGTTAGCCCCTTTCTTGGCATGTAGTTCAGTGCTCCTACCATCTGTCTCTCCTGGTTTGGGCGCATCTCTCTTCTCCAACTCTCTGGATATTTCTTGTGAGTAAATAGGAAACAAGTTCCTGCTATGCTGGATTTAATAGTTCAGATTCTACCTTTTCTTATCCTAACAGATGACTCTGAATATCCTTGGTAAAAGAAGAAACATTGCACATCTCTTTTCTTCAGGATAATGACACTTCTCTCTTCTAGGACTTCCCGAAACTTACACAGTCACTATCATGAGGCCCCTCTGACCCGGAAGCACTACCAAGTCACTGGCTATGGCATAGTAAGTGAGCAGCTGGGGTGTGAGCAGGATGTTGTGGGGCTTGGCTCAGGGCCATGTAGGAGGACACATTCTCCCAGAATTCTGTAATGTTCCTAAGGATTAGAGGTTGCACAGGGACTCTCTTAACATTTGGGAGCTTTTTGGCTAGGCTTTCTGTGGGAAAGGCAGCCTGTAAAGTCTGTCTCCATCCCTCTCCTTGCATCATAACCATGCCATTTGTATGTTCTGATGCTTAATAAATGTCAACCATAAATACTATTTGGATCTCTTTTAAAATCACGTTGGACGTAGAAGGCAAGGACCTACAATATAGCCCCAGGTGAATATGTAAGTTTATCTTTTGCCAGATCCCAAATTCTCATTGGCTTTATTTTTAAGGATCACTTCCCTGTTCTGCAGAGGGATGTTATCCGTATAGCCTTTGTATCACATTTTACTACCTCAAGGAGATGCAGTTAATAGAGTAAAAGCTCTATGAGTACTTATGGCTTGGAGAGAAATTAAAGACAAAAACTACTAGTGGGAAACTATGTTTATGACCATCAGTTACATTCCCTTCGAAGGCCATTGGTGCTTCAGTAAAGATTCTTAAGGTGGATTCCCCCATTCTCTTTCTATTTGCTCAGCCCATATTGTACTAGAGCCAATACTCTGAACTATCTCATTTTCTTTCTTGTGAGCATCTCCTAAGGAGAATTAGATACAACTGTCTGAATTTCCAAAGTGCAATATCCAGGCCAGACCCCTCTGGCTTAGATGAGTGAGTATCCAGATGGCCAGCGTAATAGATGCAAATGGCCTGGATCTATTTCTGTTGAATCAGGGTGATGTCTTGAGTTGGTTTAGAGGCAAAAACATCTATTTAGAACTTAAACTCTAGTCCTGTGAAGTGAAGAACTGGACTTTTATTAATAGTTCTAGGAGTTATACACCTTTTTTTGTACAGATGGAATCTTGCTCTGTTGCCCAGGCTGGTCTCAAACTCCTGGGCGTCAAACGATTCTCCTGCCTCGGCCTCCCACAGTTTTAGGGTTACAGGCATGAGCCACCGCGCCCAGCTCTGTGGCCTTCTTGATCCCTTTCCTCACCTCAATTATTGAAGCTGATTTGGTCTTTGACCTTTGTAACATGGTGGCATCTGAAAGAGTGGCCATTTCCCTTTCTGACACCTTTTCTCTAAAGTCATCTCACCTTCTTTGTCTTGTTTTCTTGATTTATGTGGCAGAATGGGACAGGGGACTCAAATGATTTCTGGCGGATTGAGGTTGTAAACAGAAAATTTGGAAACCGGATCAAAGTGCTAAGAAGTCGAATTCGCTTCATACATCTGGTCACAGGTTGTGTCCTGGGCTCCTCAGGAAAGGTTCTGCCCAAGTGGTAAGTCCCTGGGGTTTTGATGTCCCAACTGAGGCTCATGCTTTTCCTTTCACTCTACGAAGAATATACCAGAAGTTTTCATTTTACAGTGGTCACTGTTCACCTCATGTTTGCTTTTTCTTAGTGGTAGATGGAGGAAGAAAAGGCATCAGTGTATTATGGAGCACAGGGCTCCAGGGTAGCTTTGGCGTTCCATGTTTCAATAGTTGAACATTTGTACATCTGGCTTGTGGTAATAACTCTCTGGATCTACGTCTCTTTCTAAAATGGGAATACTGTATACTAGGCTACTCTAGGATAGTTGTAGAATATAAAAGTGAAAAGTTGGGAAAGTAGTGGCCACAGGGTTGAAAAGAGAGAGGTTCCATGGGAGCCCCTCCTTAAAAGCAAAAGAAACTGCTACCCTGGTGGATTTCAGGTCTTTTGAGAATCATGTGCGACTACTGTTCACAGGGGCTGGGAGCAGTTGGAAGTTACTTGCACTCCGTACTTAAAAGAAACCCTCAACTCCATCTGGAATGTGGAGGACCATATCAATCCCAAATGTGAGTGAGGTCACTTTCTGGGCTGGCTCTGAAGGGAAACATTTATAAGAAACTCTCATCTTAGAAAAATAAACCTTCATAGTCTCTGCTGTCACTTCATCTTGTTGCCATTTTCTTCCTTTCTTAAACCTAGTCTCTTCACGTGAGTTGTCTGTGACTACATAGCTAGCTCCTTTTTCTTCTCATCCACTCCCTTTTTAAACTCCTCTCCCCAAAGTGACCAGTGACCATCTGTAGGTCCATCTGTCTCATCTCCCTCTGGACTCTTCTCTCCCCTGCACCCTGGGCATCTCCCCAGCCTCAAGGCTTGGAGCAGGCTGCCACTTTCCCTTTATGTCCCTGTGTAGGGCTTCTCTCCCCACATCCAGCCACCACTTTTACAGAAAGCAGTAGCCACAGCCCTGATCTGATCCACGTGTCTCTACACGCAGGCTCCAAGTTGACATTTCCACTTTAGTATCAGCTTCTACTCAATAAGTCTTTGGATTCATCATCTGTTTTCCTAAACTACCCCCTTCAAGCGTGTGCTTGAGCTCTCCTCTTGTGCTTTCCATTTGTTCTTCTTACTACCTCATGTAGCCAAACCACCTCATTAACTCTTTTTTTAAAAAATAACTTTGATATAAATTATTAACTTTTATTGAGTATGCTAGGAACCATGTGTGGCCTGAATGTATTGGTGTAGATGGGTCCCTGTCCCCACAGACCTTATGGGGGAGCATTTGAGCCAGTACCACACTGAAGGACGATGGTGTAGAGGCCTGGTCATCTGTTTCCTTTACACTTCTCACAATGCCTGATGAGTGCTTAACACAAGCTGAATACGTGAGCAAGGATCGGGCCAAGCTTTCTTCTGTCTCCTCGACACTCTCGTCTATTTGTCAGCTTGTCGGAAAGGCTGAACTTGGACTCTGGTGGGAATGTGGATACCGTGGATTGACAGACTGTGGGGAGAGAATGTGTGACAAAGGCTTTTCTCCTGTCATTTTTTTTCTAGTGCCAAACATCAGCCTGGATGTGCTGCAGCCCAGTTTTCCTGAGATCTTGCTGGAGTCCCACATGGTCATGATCCGGGTACTATGGCCCCTTCTCATTCCCTGGCTTCTCTAAGAGTTCTTGGGCAGCCACAGATTTGGAGCACAAATCAATAGCCATGGTATAGATCCACTGCCCCCTTGTGGAGGACTTTGAAAGTGTCTTAATTTACTGGTTTACTTGCTCTTCAGAGGCATTTCCCTTCTCACACTGTGAGGAGGGTGGTGGTGATAAGGACAGCGATGAGACCAGTGAACACATCTGCAGGTCTCGTGTGCCAGGCAGTACTCTGAGCACTGTACATCGTATTAACTCATCTAATACTGCAGTCCTGTGGAGATTATTGTCATTCCCAATCTGCAGATGGGGGAACTGGGGCACAGAGAGGCTAAGGATCTTGCCCAGGGTTCACACAGCTAAGCGTAAGAGGTGGATCCAGTCTTCGAAGCTAGGCTGGTGGGCTTTCCGAGTCAGTGCTCATTCCCACTACACTCCTCTGCCTCTATGTGATTTTCAAATTTGTTCAAATGGCGGAGCCCCTGAAAATCACAGTGCTCTTGGTTGAAGATCATGAGACATTGCCGGTTCATTCCATCCTGTGAAATTAGGATCAGTTAGGATGAACTGCTAATTTGAGTGTGTTGTTTATATGCAGCATAAAATCCCAACCATGAGCCCACTCATATTCCTGGACAGAAACCATTTAGGTTGATTCTTTTTTAAGGTTTTCTGAGACGCATTATTTGTACTCTCTATCATTAGTAACTGACAGTAGTTGTAGCATCGAAGGTTTAAGAAAAACCGAGAGAGGAAATCTTTAAATTGAGAAAATTCTACCCACTAGTTTAAATTTTCCCTTGCGAATTGGGGAAATCCTGCTGCAGTTTTGATGGTTAGTGGGAGACCCCCTTCCTCTGGCTGTGGGAAACCTGTGTTCTGCAAGGATGGTGTATAAGAATCACTGTATCTCAAGCCGGGTATGTGATTTTCATTCCGCCTACAGGGCTGCAGGTAGGTGTGGCAGTTTTTATTTTTCCCTTGGGGAGCCAGTGTCAAGCGGACTTTCCTGGAAGTGATTATGGAAGCAGGACTCGGTAAATGTAGTTCACTTATTTCACCAGATTAAATTTTAAAAGTTCAAATTTTGTCATTTTTGCTCATTGGGAGGCAATGAGTTGACATTAAGCGATCTCTGGGTCACTTTTTCTCTGACTCTCTGCTCATAGCTGTCACTGTGCCCTAATGACATACCTCTTTGAATATGTGCCTGTCAGTCAGAATATCACTCTGGGTCTGGGTAGAATTTTAAGACTAAAGAGTTACATATCATCTTTCGTTACCTCACAGGTAAGGTCAAAGAGGAAAAGGGAGCTTCCTTATTCAACCGATATAGAGTCAGGGAGGGAAAAGAGACCAAAATACTGAGTCAGACTACAGAAACTACAAGGGCAGGGCCCTTCTGCCAGTCGAGTGGCGGCCGGAGACTGCGAAGGCTGGCTTGCCTGGCGAGGTTAGCTGGCAGGAGCCAATCTAGATTTTAAGCATGGAGAACAACTTACAAGTGCATATTCTGGTAGTGGTTATAGATTTTTTTTCTTTCTTCCATCACGTGGTTTAGTAAAGGAGCAAGATTTCTCAGCGTTTAATGTAGTGAATAGGATTCTCTTGGCTTATACAGTTCTGGCTAGAGTCCCCGAGTTTTTTAGGACTGAACTGTACTGGTTTGAAGAAATTCATTTCCCTCAGCAACTGCTCCAGAGGCCCAGAAAAATTCATTCCTCATCCCCAAGCCTTCAAATGGCCATAGTGATCCAGGGGCTGTGTAGCTGGCCCCTTGGGGTCTGACACCACCCATGGCACTTGTGATTCTGGAGGAGCAACTCATCCACCACGCAGAGGCCTGCAAACTGTTCCCAACCCCTTGATGAGTCGCATTAGTAAGGCATTGGCTGGCAGTTCACTGAACCAGGCGTCCTGGATATTTCTTGGGCTAGACCAGTGGTTCTGACTTGAGGGCGATTTTGCCTCCCAGGGGATGTTTGGCAATGTCTAGAGAAAGTTTTGGCTGGCGTAAGGGGTAGAAGTAGGGTAGAGGGCAGGGATGCTAAACATCCTACAGTGCACAGGAACCTCCACAACAACTGCTGACTCAGCCCAAAATGTCAGTAGTGCTGACCTAACTCAGTGCCTGAGGCCGCTTCCCAGGAAATGCCTTTTCAGTTTGTCCTGATAACAAGGCCTGCCCTAGTCCTGGCGGTTAATCTCCGGTATCCTCACCCTACTCCTTCCTGTTTTAGCAAAGGCCTCATTTTGCCCTGTGGAAACAGGTTGTTGGATATTTTTGGCTACTGGATTAGAAGGGCTGAGTCTGAGTCCTTCAAACTGCAGTGTGGGTGGCGAATGATTGCTCTCCCAATGGGCGAAGTGTCTTTCGAAGGGCAAAAAAATCTTACCTCTTTTATGTATAAAGCACAAGTATTCATACAGTATATAAACAGATATACAGTATAGCTATGCTATTAAAATCTCATAAAAGACATTTTTTAAAAAAGTCTGAAAGGGTTCCTGGTTGGGGGGGCAATAATGAAAAAAAATAAAAAGTTGAACGAGACTAGGCTAAAGTAACGTTTTCCAAGTGCAGGCACTCGTCAGAGTTTCTCCTTTTCTGTTTGAAGTTGGCCTCTGAAGGGAGTAAATAAGTGCGCCTGATTTCACATCCCCTCCCCTCCTCTCCTCCTGTGACGCTTTGTCCTCTGCTCGGCAGACGGGTATAGATTTTGTGCCCATCGGAACGAGTCCTTCATTCCTCTTTCTCTTCTTTCCGTTGGCATAGCGGCTGTGATGTGGCATGGGGGCTTGTCCCCGTGTGGGAGAGGTGGGGCGGTTGCCGTAGGCAGGCGGACAGTGGCTGAGAAGGAGCACCTGATTCTTCCCTGAGGGAAGGGAGGAGACACACTGGCTGTGTGTCGGGGATACCTGTGCCTCACATTTCTGTCAGCTCTCTAGAGCTCTGTCTTGACTAGTTGTTCTTTGCCACCTTCCTGCAGGGGAACAATGGCCTCAAGCCCAAGGACAATGAGTTCACATCCAAACCCTGGCACTGGCCTATCAACTATCAGGTAGGGCCCAAAGCTAGGCTCCCTCCCAGGAAATGGAGCCCAGGAAGAGGTGTGCCGGGGTGGCAAGGGGAGGCCTTGCCTGGGATGGGCTGACCAGAGATGGGGCTCTGTTTTCTGTCCTCATTCTGACCCTGCCTTCCCAGAGCACTCGTGTGGAATCTGCATGTTCTGAGCTTCCTTTCCAGCCTCCTTATCTGTGAGGGGGACCCGTCTTCCTCCCTTTGGGATGGGTGTGGCTGGGATGAGCTGGGCCCTGGATCAGCCCAGTGTCCTCTGATCCACAGGGCCTGCGCTTCTCAGGGATCAATGACACGGACTTCCGAGTCTATCTGCTTGGCAACCCGGTGAGTGCCGGAACGTTCCCGGCTTAGGCCCTTGAGCCCTTGCTTTCCTCTCATCTGCCTGTTCTCATTTCCATGCAGGTGGTTTGGTGGCTGAATCTGTTGAGCATTGCTCTCTACCTCCTCTTAGGGAGTGTCCTTGCTATAGCTATGCAGAGAGGGGCACAGCTGCCGGCGGAAGTTGAAGGTCAGGTCCCCTGGGCTCTCCCTCCCCTGACCTAGCAGCTGGCGGGGTGCTGCACTCCTGGGAGGGCTGTCCTGCCTGCTGGGCACCATCCTTTGCCTTCACCACCCTACACTTTCCCACTTCCTTTGCTCTTGAAAGCTCATGAAATACCCAGTCCTGTGTTACTTACATCCTCCCAGCAGCCCTGTAGAGTAGGGTATTACTACACCCATTTTATAGATTAGGAAACCAAGGCACAATGAGATTAAGAAACTTGTCCCAGGACATATACCTAGTAAGTGATTTTTAACCCCTGTGCTATATACAGAGCTGCCCATCTTTTCTCTTCTGCCCCCTCCTTGTTCCATGGCCGCGTTCTCTAGTGGGGTAGAGAGCAGTCTCCAGGGCACGGTGAGTGGGTTCCCTGTCCTAGAGCTGCTCCTAACTTCAGCTGCCAGGCCGTGGACTGTGGCATCTGAGACTCACACGTTGCCTCTGCAGCTCGCTGTGTGAACAGTCATGGTCCCAGATATCCACTCACTCCCCTCTCCATCCTCACCTCACCTTTACCCCTGTCTGTCTGCCGCTGCAGAGATCTGTGTGGCAGCAAAGATGTGGGAGGGCCAGGCAGGGAGGGAAGCTGTCTGCAGATGTACAGGAGTATGGTTTCTTTCGAGGCTGGGCTGCCTGCTGCCCAGACACCAGCATCAGGTCTCCTCCTGGTGTTTGGTGTACCTGCCATCAGTGCTGAGACCTCACTGGGCGGAGTAGTGACCAGGGCTCTCAAGACCCAGTTCTTCCATTTGCCACAGGGTGGTTTGGGTTGGTCCAGATGAGGGAAGGAAGGCCCAGTGAGGTGATGTGACTTATTCAGCAAGGAAGGGGCAGAGCCAGCCTGGAACCCGGGACCTCTGCCCCCTCCTTGTCTTCTGACTGGGGCTGTGCTGCTTGGGGCCCAGGACTGTCCCAGGTCCTGCTGCGAGGCGGTGGTCAGGTCCTACTTGGCTGGATGCTCCATTACTTCCCATTCTTCCTGATGGGCCGGATCCTCTACTTCCACCACTACTTCCCAGCCATGCTCTTCTCAAGCATGTTGACAGGTCAGCGCTGCCCAGCTGGACTTGGGAGATAAAGCGGGGGAGGGGATCCTGGCGGGAAGGGGAAGGAAGAAGAGGCTAGCCTGGAGGAGCAATGCTGGGAGTGAATCTCTGCTCCCTGACTAGGGGTGGCTCCTCTCTGCTGTATCCCAGAAGTCACTCTGTCACAGGCTGGTGCCAGGTGTCTTTCCTCTCCACTAGGCATTCTATGGGATACCCTCCTGCGGCTCTGTGCCTGGGGTGTGGCCTCCTCTCGCCTGGCCAGGGGCATACACGCGGTGGGAGTCCTGACCCTGCTCCTGGGAACTGCCTACAGGTGAGCATCTCCCTGCACCTCGCATGTGCCCCCAACATGGACACAGCCCTGGATGCCTTTGAGAATTCCCTGGGGTGCTCTTAAAGTATACCAGTGCCTGGGCCCAATCCCCAGAGCTTGTGATTCAGCTGGGCCCAGGTGGGGCCACAGTTTTCAAAGCCCCCAGGTGGTCCTGATTTGCAGCCAGGTGGGAGAAGCAGAGGGCTAACTCTGCATTCTCTCCTTTCACCAGTGGTTCCCAGCTTTTGTACATCCCAGCCCACCTGGAAGGGGACCCCTCCTTAGTCACAGTGGCTCTCTCCCAGGACTGCGCTTGGTGGGGTGAGGGAGAGGGTAGGAAGAATTACTGGGTGGCGGGGGGTGGCTCAGAATTGCTAGAGGAGAGTGTTGTTTGGAAAGCCCCCTCTTCTCTACTTCTGGCAAGTCTCACAGATCCCCCGCTGAGAATCACCGGCTTCCGTGGTGGGGCCTCACAGGTGAGCACATGCCTGTCTTAAGAGGGTTAAATTCACATCTTAACAAACACCCTGGGCCAAAATAGCCCAGAACAAACCCCTAGACAGGTCCCTCTCATGGGCCTCTTGGGAAGAGCCCTTGCCTTTATTGTCATTAAGTCAGCATCTGCTAAGCTCTCGGACTGTTGTGCGCGGACCCAGACAGACGTGGCAGCGGAGGAGAATGGGGCTTGTGGGTGGAGACTGCCTGACACCCTGCAAGGAGGAGCTGACTTCACAGCTCCCCAGCCCAGGCGCTGGGATGCCCAACTGCTCCCTCTGGATTCTCTCTCACAGCTTCTACCTCTTCCACCCTCTGGCTTACGGGATGGTAGGTCCCCTGGCCCAGGACCCCCAAAGTCCCATGGCAGGACTAAGGTGGCTGGAATCATGGGACTTTTGAAGCCACTGCAAGGACTCCAGCCTATGTCCAGGAACAGCCCAGGGACAGCCAGCTGTGGGGCCAGTTCCTGGACCCTTCCAGCTGTGGAGGAAGCTGCCTGGGAGCCTCAAGAATTCTGCTGCCTGTCAGACCAGGCTCTGGGAGTGAACCCGGAGTTTAACCCAACACTAGAGAGCCACAGCTTTGTCTGCTGCACCTACAGAGAGCACAGTATCTCTCAGGCCCGTTTGCCCGAGTGTACAACACGGAGGATGAGTGTGCGCGAGTGCGTGTGTCTGTGTGTGCGTGTAAGGGTGCATTGTCCGTGTCTCTGTGGGATCCAGACTGTGTAACTGTGGATAGCTGAGTGTCATAAACACTAAGAAATAGTCTGGGGCTACAGTAATATCTTCTGGTATTTTTTTCCACATTGGATTTGGTTTGGTTTTGGTTTGTAAGATCATCAAAAATTCTCTGACCTCCAAAAGATCCTCAAGTGCCGACCTCACCTTGGCCCTCACCAGAGGCCAGGCAGATGGGACCACCAAAGCTATGCTGCCCTCCCTCCCACAAACGAATCTAGTTATGGAGGAAAGCAAGCTGCCCTGAGCTCCCCACTGCTTCCCTGAGTGGCTGCTGCTGCAAGTGACTTCAGTGGCCACAGGTGGCTGGACTTCCTGCCTGCAATATACGCAGACACTGGGCTCTAGGCAGTAAGCAGCCAAGATCTCTCCAGCCCTTGGTCAGCCTGCCTTAGCCCTCGGTTCCTTGTTCTCTGGGAATGTCACACTGTGAGACTGGGTGGAGGAACAGCGTCCTGTCTTGGCTGCTCTTGTGTTCCCAGGGCCGGGGTGCCAGAGGCTGTTTCTCTCAGTCCATCCTTTTCCCTCCGCGTCTGGCCTGGCCGCGAGGGCTGGGTCAGGTGTGTTCTCCTGATTTCTGGGAGAGCCTTTGGGGACCTTTCCTAACAGCTGAGGTAGATGAGAGAGCAGGGAATCTGTGTGGTGCTGGGGCGTGGGGTGCTCTGACCTGTCTGGACAAATGTTCCTGTCACCTGCTGAGCTTCCCCAGTTTTCGCTCCTCCAGGCCTCCCCTGCTCACCACCCCCCCTTCACTCCACTGGCATTTCTCTTTCTTTCTGTCACTGTTTCACCCATCTCTTTTCCCCAGAGACCCAGAGCACCTAGAGACACATGACAGCTTCTACTCTGAGGCTCATACAAGCAGCTCAGAGCTGTTCCTTTCTCTTTCTCCCCAAAAGGGTTTACAGAAACCCTTCAGTCGGAACCAAACCAACCCAAAGCCAGCCCTTCAGCCTGCCTGCTTCCTCTCGGTGTATGACAAAATATTTTGTCTCAGAGGACTTTGATGCTTCAAGATTTCATGATGAATCCCTGCCACACTCCATTTTCCCTCCTCTGTAGCTCCCACCAACTCTGACAGGGTCAGAGCTCTTTAAAGCATCTTCAGGAGGCGGTTGCCACGGAGACTGGAAATTGGTCCCAGGGACAGGCTGTGCTACCTACTGGGTGGTGGGGAGGGAAGCTTCTGGCCGTGCTTGGCTGTTCAGACCAGCCATCATTAATGTTAATAGAGGAAATGCAGCAATGTCAAAAGCAAGGCAGGTTGGTTAATTAGATCTGGGGCCTGATGACCTCCCTCTCCCAGGGCTCTACAGCCCTTTTGACTTCCCCCAGCAGGAAGCACTGCCCCAGTGCTGAGTCTGGGTGGCTTGCTTAATTGCATTTCTGGCAGGGAGGGAGAGAGGGATGGAGAAGCTCTGCTCCACCCTCCAGCCCTCTGCTCTCCCTCCCCTCCTCCCCACAGGCTGAGTTGGTTTCTTCTGAGCCCCTTGGGACAGCCATCCGGGTGGGCTCTCACTGCAGGGAAAATGCAGGAGTCTGTGCTTGGCTCCTAGCAAAGAAGGTGGTCCACAGTAACACCCAGGAGGTGGCTGATTTTCCCTTGTGCCTTCTTATTTGCCAGTAGGAACTTGTTGGAAGGGAAGAGCTCTGAAGGAGCCCAAGGGGGCAGCCACTCTGAGTGAGGGCGAGCAAGAAGAAAGCTCAGACAGTTTCCTACCCATCCTTCCCTCCTAATTGGCCACCCTGGGGACAAAAGCTTCCTTGGTCTCTTCCACTGCTTTCTGGGGATGAAAGAATTCTCTGCCCATCCCTTTTCCTCCTTGCCCAAACTGGCAGACACTTCTCTGGGGACAAGGCCACTTGATGCAGCTTCAGGTGCTCAGGTTCAGTTGTTTGGAAGCTGCTGGGGAGAGAGGTTGTCAGGGTGCTGCTGTGGGGGCTCTAGCCCCCAGGACTTGGCGGGAATGTGATATGTCCTACAAACTGCTGGTGGAGGAGGAAGACATTTGTCAGCCAGCCCAACCTCCAGCCAGCTTCTCGAGCCACATTTTATTTAATAGGAAAAAAAAAAAAAAAAGGTTTCCAGAGATAATTGGAGGCCATTTAGTTTTATAATAAATAGTGCTTGTTTTGAATACCATGTTCTTGTTGTACTTAATTGAATCTGACTTGCCCGCTGGCTCCCAGAAAGGCCTCCCTAAGAGAAGAAAAGAATGTTTTAAGTTCAAGAACCATTCATTGTGTCTCATGTCTGAGGTGACTCTAATTCCAGGAGAGGCCCTGGGCTGGCAGGTGAGTCTGATTATCCCAGGGGGCATTGGGGCCTTCCCATGTACATGGTTACTGGAGTAATGCTGGTTGTCATTTCAGTTTATTTAAACTTATTCCAAAATAAGTAGGAAGCCAGACCTCTTACTTTTCTTTTAACCTGCCCATACAGTATAGAAAGGAGTGGGAGAGAAAGGGTAACAATTGTCCACTTCTGAGGCAGCCAAGTGGCCCAGCATTGTAGCAACTTGCCATTCTGCTAAACAGTGGCCTCCGTGGTGACAGGGGGCCTCTGTTATCAGGACTGATGTTAAGGATCTGGGGGAGGTAAGAGCTGACTGGAGTGCTGGACAGAGGTGGGGAACGAGGGCAGTAGCGCCGCGCTGTGAAGTTGGGCTGCCCACCCCCAGCTTAGGTGCAGGGGCAGCTGCTGTGGGGGAGGAGGAGGGCATGCAGGTGTTCTGGAAATGGAAAATGCCTAGGACAGGCCGGTTAGAAAAGGACCAAATAACTCTTCTTTGAATGGCACAGCTTAATTTACAAAGTCTCGACACATCTGTGACATTTAATCCTCATAAGGGCCCATTGAAGTCAGTGATGTATTTTGTCCCCATTCTACCCACGAGAGATTAAATTACTTGCTCAAGGTCCCGTGATTAGTAAATAGCGCCAGGACTCAGAGCCAAGTTGGGTTTTTTCTGTGTCTTTAGCCTGGTCCTGGGACTAGAAGCACCTTCCCAGAACAACCTGGCCTGAAACTCAGCTCCGGGTATCTGGATCCTGCGTGTTCGTTTGCACGTTCGGCTTAATGTATCAACAGCGCATCTGGAGCCCAGTTTGTCTTGGCTCCCCCAGCTGTGCCTTACCAGTGGTGGCAGATGTTCAACAACAGGTTTTCTGGAAGGAAAAAAAAGCCCTGATTTACAGCATTTGCTAATTTCCATGGTGTAAATACTCCCACCGTGGCCTATTTCAAGCTACCGACTTGTTATCACTGAATAAGAAGTTGGAAAGAAATGCATACGGTTGGCTCTTGTGTATATGAGCTGGCTCCAGCACAACACTGACCCAGACCCAGTGACTAGGGGCACAGGTCACGGTCACAGCCCATTACATGAGGGAGGCATGGAGGCCTAGAGGATGGGCCTGAGAGACCCGAGGTCAAATCCTGGCCCCACCTCTTACTAACTGTGTGATCTTCAGCTAGTCACTTGACCTCTTTGCCTCCATTTCCTCAACTATAAAACAAGGGAATGATGGCACCTGCTCCCAGGGTTCCTGAGAGGATGAAAAGAGTTACTCATGTACAGTGCCTTGGACAGTGTCTAGATGTGAGTGCTCTATAAATGCTAGCTCTTTTGTAAATTTTTAAAATTGTTTATAGACAGGTCTTGCTATGTTGCTCAGGCTGGCCTCAAACTCCTGAGCTCTAGTGGTCTTCCCGCCTCAGCCTCCCAAGTAGCTGGGACTACAGGTGCACCACTGTGCCCAGCAATAAGTGCTCTTTATTAATGTTATTATTAATGGTAAACCGACCTCAGTGGCAGCGCTGGCTCTAGGACAGTACTTGAACTTTCTTCTAGATTATAACCTCCTGTCCAAGTGCCAGACAGATGGCCTCCAGGGAGGAGAGCTCCTGTGACTCTCCCCAGCCCCTCAGATGTGGATTCAGACCCTGGCCTGCTGGTTGGATAGCCTTAGCCCGCAGCCCAGCCAGACCCTCAGGCCTTTCCTCAAGGGGAGCAGAGGTCAGAGTGCACTCAGCCTTCTCCTGCCATCTGGCCCTGTGAAGGCAAAGAGTGAAGCCATGGGTTTGAGTGCTGACTCCATCTCTAACTAGCTAGGGCCGTTAACTCCCACTAACTCATCAGACCCCAGGCCCTGTCCAAAGGAGAAACGAAGCAAGAAGCATCCTGAGTGTAGACTGTCGGCAGGAAGCACAACCGGGGTGGAGCAGGGAGGAAGCCTTAGACTAGCCAGAGCAGTGGGCATTTGGGCACTGGAAGGTGAAGGTCACTAGAGATGCATGTGGCCTTTCCCTGTGACCTGCTGCACTTTGCTGTGGGGCCACAAGATCCCAAGGTGGAAGTTTAGTCCCTTCTCCCTTCAGTCCCCATCCCTTTGTGCTCTTGCTTGGGGACCTCCCCGGCTCTTTAGGACACAGGCTTTCCAGCCTTGCTTTCCTACTCCTGCCCAGAGATACATGGGGAGATGGGGAAGAGCAGAATAGGGTGTACCCCAAACTCCTGAGCCCTTGGAAGCGGGAGAACAGCTAGATGGTTTCATGGGCTTGGCTGGGAGCAGGAAGGCGTTCTGCGGAAGCCCTCAGTCCTGATTCAGGGCCAGAAGGGGAAGTTTCACAGGCCAGGACTCCCTCAGCACTTCAGCTGGGCATGGAGTCACAGGCTGTTCATAACCAACGGCCCAAGAACACCCACAGGTAGGCGAGCTGGCCCCGCTAACCCAACCCGGGATTGGAGAGTTGGGGTGTGGGGGAGGAAGGCGGCAGCAGTCAGGCATGATTTGAGCAGAGACGGCGTGCCAAGGTCATGGCAAACTCAAACGCTTCCAGGCAATGGTTGAGTGGGCTCGTGGAGACGTGGCTCAGGCCGCGCCTACCCAAGGCAACTAAATTCAACACAGTGCCCTCGGGGCTGGGATGGGGAACTGAGACCCACAGAGACTACGGTTTCTGTTCAGCTCTGAAGCCAGAGCACTTCCCAGACCACCAGGTCGTCCTTGGCCAGAGCCGGCTGTGGAGGGGGCGCCCGCCTTGCTGGACGGGAGGAGGGCGGGGGCCGCGAGTGCTTTAAAGCGCCCCAGCCGGGCTGCGCGGGGCGGCGCGGCTCTCGGAGCTGCGGAGGGGAGCGCTGTGGCAGCGGCCAAGCGGGGTCCCCGGAAGTGCCCCCGGGCCGGCACCGCGGGGGCGCCGCCACCTACGCCGGCTGCGGGCATCTTTTCTCGGCTACGGCCAGGGAAGGAGCGGCTGCCGGACCCCGCCTGACCGAGGCACCGGCGCCGTAGGTGGGCGGAGTGGCCCGCGTCGCCGCGGAGATGGCACGGCACGTGCGGTGACGGCGCCCGCGCCCCGAGGGTCCCAGCTTGCGCCCTGCGTCCCCGGGAGAGGATGGAGCGCCCGGAGCCCGAGCTGATCCGGCAGAGCTGGCGGGCAGTGAGCCGCAGCCCGCTGGAGCACGGCACCGTCCTGTTCGCCAGGTGAGGGCCGCCCGGCCCCGGGGGTGCGGGTGGAGGGGCGCCTCGCTGGGAATGGGTTCGCGGCGGCTGGACCCGCGACGGAGGGGGGAGAACCGGCCCGCCGCCGTGGCACCGGGGTGCCGCCAGATGTGCGCCAGAGGAGCGGGGCGCGGCGACGGGCGGCGCAGCCCCTTCTGCCCTTCCGGCCGTAGGTGCATCTTCCGAGCCAGCGCTGCCCACCCCGCGCCCCGCCGGACTCCCTGGGGGCGGGCGGGGGTCCTCTCGGGCGGATCTCATTATATTTGGGCGGGCCGACGCCGGTCCCGCGCTGAGCCCCCTCCCGGGCTCTGTGCCTCCCGAGCGTTCCTTGGGTAGTGACTGCAGGGGTGCCCGACGGTGCCGGTACGGGGACTTGGGTGCCCCAAGAGCCGGTGTGGAGAAGGTGCGCCGGGAGGCCTCCCGCGCCCACATGTGAACGCTCGGGTCCGAGCCCAGGTGTGTGCGCTCCCAGCAACCAACAGAAGGCTAAACCTTTCCGAGGAAAGAACCAGGTTAGGACCAGAGAACTGCCAGGGAAGGGGTGACAGAGGCCCAAGTCTCACCACCAGGGAGAGAGGTAAGAGGGTGCACAAGCCCCACGGGGAAGGAGGGGACCCGTCTTCAACCTCAGCTTGGGGGTCTCTCAGTAACCCCTCTGCCATCACCAGCGGGGCAATGCTCCCTTTACTGTGACTTTCCCCAGCCTTGGCACCCTAAGCCAGCCCCGAACTTCTGACCAGCCTTTTGCCAAACCTCCTCAAAGAGGAATAAATTCAGAGTTGCACAAAACCCAAACGAGCTCTCCCAAAAGTGGCTGTGCACGCCTGCTTGTGCCTCCCAGCCCTCCCCAAGCTCACTTTTTTTCTCAGGCACCTACTGTGGCTGCACTACTTCTAAGCTGTGTGACCTTCGACAGGTTCCTTAGCCTCTCTGGGCTTCTGTTTCCTCTCTGTAAAATTAGGTTAACAGTTGTACCCACTGCTTTGGACTGAAAGGAATATACAATTACAAGTTAACCATTCGTACAGTACTCTGTGCTCAGCAAGCGTAAGGAGTTTGTTCTTGGTGTTATTATCATCGCTGCTCGGAGTCCCCTGAGACATGGTGAGACTGGGATGTTCTGACCCAAGAGCAGGAGGGAGAGACACAGAAGGAAGGGCTTTCCTTTCCCCACAATGTGACTCCAGGTTTCCTGTCTGAGGCCTCTTCCTGTCCCAGACCACACCCCTTGGCTGTTGATGAGGGGCGGCTACACGCCGGTTGGACACACTGCCCTGTCCAGATGCCTGTCAGAGCCAGGGGAAGGGGCAAGGAAAGGGCATTGGCAAAGCTGTCCAAGGAGCAGTGCCCGGTTGCAGGGTCTGCTATGGCTTCCGACTGCAGGACAGGCTGGCCGGGCCCGCACCCCGGGGCTGACAGCGGGGCCTCACCTCCACAGGCTGTTTGACCTGGAGCCTGACCTGCTGCCCCTCTTCCAGTACAACTGCCGCCAGTTCTCCAGCCCCGAGGACTGTCTCTCCTCCCCCGAGTTCCTGGACCACATCAGGAAGGTGAGGGGGAGGCGGAGCTGCTGTGGCCTCTGGGATCCAGCAGAGCACCTTCCTGGGAGAGAATGGGGGGCTTGGGACAGGGAAAGCCGCTTCCTGCCCCAGGCCTGGTCTTACTCCCCTCCGTCTGCTCCTGCGTGCAGGGGCCTCTGCTCCTTTCCCTCTGGGCTGGGCCTGGTCTGGGACATCAGAGCCAGCCAGCCTCCTTCCCCACCCTGTGCTCAGCCAGGTGGTCCCCACCTCTGTCATTGCCCTCAGCCTTGTCCCCTGTCAGCTTCCATAGGTTGTGTTGGTGCTGATCCTAGCCATTGGGGGCCATCTGTGTAGGACAACCAGGCTGGGGTTTTCTAGGAGGCTCATGACTCTCACAGAGCCTCAGTTTCCCCTCATCCTGTCACTTTTCAGCCTTCCGGCTAAGATCAAGTGTAGTTTCCCCTCGTCCCAGGCAGACAACACTATCCAGCAGGTGTATTTAGGGCTTGGAAACCCACAGAGGAGAGGGGCTTCCTTTGTGGGTGTAACATTAGTAGTTTGGCCAGCACACGTTGAATGCCCTCCATGTGTGGACAGAGGCTGCTTTTGACCTCTGATCATGAAGAACTGAGGATCCTTCTGGCTTTTCTTGCCTCTGAGGGTCTTTTTGGGACCCCCAGGTTCTGGGCTGTGGTTGTGAGCAGGTGGGGTTGCACCGGCCTCTCTGTTTCACTGCTGCCTCGGCCTTGGCAGGTGATGCTCGTGATTGACGCTGCGGTGACCAACGTGGAGGACCTGTCCTCACTGGAGGAGTACCTTGCCAGCTTGGGCAGAAAGCACCGGGCGGTGGGTGTGAAGCTCAGCTCCTTCTCGGTGGGTAAAGGAGCTCTTCCTCTCTCCAGAGCTCCTGACCTGGGGCCACCATTCTCTCCCAGTCCTCCCTCATCCACCTGTCCTCTCTCCCCATTCCCATACCCTCAGATGATCAGGGTTGGGGGCCGGTATCTGCTACTTACCTGCTGTGTGACTCTGGCACTGACTTGACTTCTCTGAGTCTCCAGGTTCTCTTCTCTGATATGGCTTTTTTTGTTGTTGTTGAGACAAGGTATGCCTCAGTCACCCAGGTTGGGGTACAGTGGCATGGTCATAGTTCACTATAACCTCAAACTTCTGGGCTCAAGTGATCCTCATGCCTTGCCACCCAAGTAGCTGGGACTATAGGCATGAGCCACCATGCTTAATTTTTTAAAAAAATTTTTTTAGAAATGGGGTCTTGCTATGTTGCCCAGACTAGTCTCAAACTTTTGGCCTCAAGCAATCCTCCCTCCTCAGCCTCTAAAAGTTATGGAATCACAGGTGTGAACCACCATGCCCAGCATGATATGGCTTCTTACAAAGCCATAAACATTAAGGAGCCTGTGGGATTTGCTGGTCTGCTCAGTTTTCTATTGCTGTGTATTAAACCACCCCAAAACATACTGGCTTAAAACCCTGATTTCTGATTTCTCATGGCTGGGCTCAGCTGGCAGTTCTTCTGCTCCCCATGATGTAGGTGGAGTCACTCATGTGTTGTGTTCAGCTGGGAGCTCAACTGGGGCTGGAATGTTCCAGGTGGCCAGTCAGCCTTTGAGCTCTCCCTCCCTGTGGCCTCTTGTCATTCAGTAGTTAAGCCGAGCTTCTTTACAGAATGGTAGCTGAGTTCCAAGAGGGAGTATTCCAAGGGGACATGCTCCAGTGTGCAAGTACTTACAAAGCCTCTGCTTGCATCACTCTTGCTAATGTCCCCTTGGCCAAAGCCAGACACATGGATGAGGCCACTGTCAATGTGGGAGGACCCTCCGCAAGGTGGACCACCAACATGACAGTCTACCACATAATCCAATCACCTTGCTAGACAGTAAGCACCTTGAGGAAGGGGCCATGTTGGTCTTGTCCTCCTCTCCATCCTTAGCACTAGCACAGAGCCTGGTTTGCAGTGGATATTCAGTAAACATTTGTGGAATAAATACAACTTATTTTATTATGATTAATAATAACAAATGAGAGCCATTATTGTTGAAGGCTTACTGTATACAGATGCTACACTAAGAGCTTCTTCTGGATTATCCCATTTAATCATCCCAAAAGCCCATGGATTAGAACTTTTACTTTCTCTGTTTTGTAACTGAGGCTCAGAGAGTTTACATAATTTGCTCAAGGTCACCCAGCTCATGAATGGTGGAGTCAGAATCTGAACTTGGGTCTTCCTGGCTCCAGAGCCTAGGCTCTTAACCCCGTGACTGCCACCTTGCAGATGAGGAAACTGAAGTCTGGTGGCAATGACTTGGTTTGCTCTGACCTGGGAGGCCAATGCCTTCACCCCATTCACGGTGTGGCTACAAGACTAGGAATGGGGTGAAATGCTTTGTTCACTATAAAGCCTCACATTTAAGGGGAAAGGTGGGCACAATGTGATACCCAGGGATTTGGGCAGGACCCTGCTCAGGAAGCATGGACTCTGCACAGGAGAGAAAGCAGGCCCAGGAGCCCTTACCAGCCTAGACCTCAGTTTTCTCACCTGTGAAATGGAGCCATGCCTTCCTGCCCTCTGGAATGACAAGGTGCCCCTTGCCTCTGCAGACGGTGGGTGAGTCCCTGCTCTACATGCTGGAGAAGTGTCTGGGCCCTGCCTTCACCCCAGCCACACGGGCCGCTTGGAGCCAGCTCTACGGGGCCGTGGTGCAGGCCATGAGTCGAGGCTGGGAGGGCCAGTGAGAGGCGACCCCTGGCCGGCGGCCCCTGTCTGTCTGTGTCTGTGGTAGCCCAGGCTCCCCCAGGCCTCCCTGCGTCTCCCTCGTCCCCACTCCCTCGTACTGGAGAGGGGATGGGACAGGGCTGCGTCTCGCCCCTCCCCAGCCACAGAGGGAGCAGCTTTTCCTTCAGGAGGGGCTTCTGGATGTCCCCTCACCCTGAGTAGCCTCCTCCCTGCCTCTTCCCCTCTCTGGCAACCCCTCTTGCCCCGTGAGAGCAGAGTTTGGGTGGCAGAGGTGGCGTGGGGCCGGGAAGGTATGGGCCTTCAGAGAATGGGGCCCTTGTATCCGTCCTGCCTTCTCAGGTGAGCCCCGCCACGCTGGGGGGTTAAGATGGCTGAGCTGCCCGTACCTTCCCTTCCTGCCTCTGCTGCTTTCCTACCCCAGGGCTGTTTGCCTTTCACAGAGAAGGAGAAGAGCAGCTTTGGCCTATGTGGTGGGGTCACAGGCAGTGGGAGCAGAGGGCCAGGAGAACTGCCAAGGAAGGGAGGGGGCACCTGGGTCTCCGTGGGGCCCCGAGGGGCTGCGCAGATGCCACCTGGCAGAGTCGCTTGTCTTCTGCAGTGTTTCCCCTTCCCTCATTCAGCACTCGTGGTGGGAGCCCTCTGCTTGCCGCTCTGTAGGAAGCCAGCCGGCCAGGCGGGGGTGGGGCTGGGGGAGGCCCACAGCTGCCACGGTTAATGCCCCGCGTGCCCGCACTCGGGCCGGCAGATGGCAGAGAAGGCAGCAGGAGAGGAGTGACCCTCTGCCCGCGCCCCGAGCCATCTGCGCTTTGTCTCTTGCCCCGTGTGTGGTTCTGTAAACTCATGTGGAATAAACCTGTTCTGTGTGCCTCTCTGACGCTCCGGGACTGGTCTTTTTGGGTCTTGGCCTGCGCCAGATGAAGCCGCAGGGCAGTGGAGCCCGGGGCAGGATGCGGCATGGGTTGGGAAGGCCAAGGCCAGAGTGGGTGGAAAAGAAGGGAGAGGCCTGGGAAGGCTGGAGCCAGCGGCGGAGACAGAGCTAGGGGTTTGTGGCCAAAACTGGCCACAGGCCACCAAACGCGGTTGCTGTTCCTCGTGGACGCAGCTGGCTACATCGCCCACCTCCCTTGCAACAGGTGGGGCGCGTGACTGCGTTCCGGCCAATGCACTGTGCAGATGTGTGACACGCCCTGGCCCGGTGCCCTAAGCTCCCGCACGCTCCTGCACACACACGTCCTTCAACCGGCGTGATGCAAACCTCACGATGACCTTGAGGCCCGTGTGCTGAATGTAGCAGAGCCACAAGGTGAAAGGAGCCCTGTCCCTGTATTGCTGCTTGGAGGAAGGGGCCCACTGACCAGCATCACCCACTTTGAATTTTGCATGAAGGAGACCTAACTTCTCTTGCGTTTGTGCCATTATATGTTTTGGGGTTGGTTACAGCCCACACCCACACAGCAGTCCGTGGGTCAGGGCTTTGGGAGCCCACAGGCTGGTGAGCTAGAGAGACAACCAGGGACATGGGGAAGGGGAGCGGCATTGAGTGGGTATCATCGGAGCAGGCTTGGGGTTGCCCCCACGTGCTCCCAATCTCAAAGGTGGGCCTGAAGTTGGGCTGTGAACGGCTGTAGGGGCCGTGCCTGGGCCTGCTGCCCTCACCCTGGAGCGCCAGTTTCTCAGCTGAGACCTCATGTAGCTGGTGCCGGCAGCTACAGCTGGGGGCCTCTTTTTTTTTTTTTGGGGACAGGGTCTTGCTCTGTTGCCCAGGCTAGAGTGCAGTGGTGTCAGCCTAGCTCACAGCAACCTCAGACTCCTGGGCTCAAGCGATCCTCTTGCCTCAGCCTCCCAAGTAGCTGGGACTATAGGCACAGGCCATAACGCCTGGCTGATTTTTCTATTTTTAGTACAGATGGGGTCTCACTCTTGCTCAGGCTGGTCTCAAACTCCTGGCCTCAAGTGATCCTCTCACCCCAGCCTCCCAGAGTGCTAGGATTACAGGCCTGAGCCACCGCGCCCGACCCAGGCTCACTTTTGTTAGGTTCAGCTGGCCAGGCCTGCCAGGCTGTGAGTCTGCGGTATGCTTGGAGCACCTTTCCCACCGTGGCTCTGAGAGTACTTTCTGGAGCCCCACAGGCTCTGTGAGACAGGGCCTCGTGCACTGCGCAACCTAGTAACGGCTCAGGTGTCCATGCCTGGCCCACAGCTCCCGAGAGTTTGACACCCAGTCAGGTGATGGGGTGACATGGCTTTGGAAAGGCCAAGCACCCTCCTCTGACCCGTGTCTTGAGCCATCCTAAGCATGGGCGCTTGCACCTCACTTGAAGGCTCCCCTTCCACTTGAGTGACTCTGTGTGGGGGGGTAGGGTGGGGGGAGGCAGTAGTTCCTTCCCTCCTCCTCATTCAAGGTCTTGCCCTGTGATCCTCCATCCCTCCTTCCTTCCTTCCCATTCCATCAGCCCACACCTCCCATCCTGTACAGAGGGCACCGACCCCCTTCCCTCTGCAGCGGCCGCTCTGGTTCCTTACTTCCTGTAATAGCAACGCTCTTCGGAAAGGTAGCCTTTCCGCGCCGTTTCCGTCTCCTCGCTTCTTGTGGAACAGTGGGAGCCTATTTCAACCAGGCTTTGTCCCGACTCCTAATCTGCTGCAGCCAAGGTCACCGACAGCCTCCATCGTGCCAAATTCAGGGATCCCGCCTTAACCTCAGTGTGGCTTCAGCCTGGGGACTTCAGGGAGCTTACCCCTAGGAGCTCTGGCTCCCTCTGGGTGGGGGAAGGACCTGCTGGGCCGGTCCATACGCAGGGGCACAGGCCGCGGGGTTGGGAGGACTTGTTTATTCAAGGCACGGTCATAGCATTAGTAAGAAGGTTCAGCATTCTGGCACATTCCTGTAGTGGTGGTGGCCAAGGTTAGTCCAGTCCCCCACCGAGGCCCCAGAGGACGCAATGCTGCTGATAGGCACTTTGCTCCCAGAGGCAGCTGGGGGACAGGCAGGCAGGCGTGAGGCTGCTGAGGCCCGGGGTGCGCTCTCGGAGGCTCTAGTCTAGGCAGCCCCAGCCCCCTCGGAGGCAGCTCCCTCCAGAAAGGATCCAGTGGGGGGGTGCTTTGGTGAATGGATGGGGGGCTGGGAAGTGGGGGGAGGGGAGAGAGAGGAAGGGGAGGCCAGCAGGTGAGACAGGTGTGGGCTGAGGGAGGAGGTGCCTGGAAGGCCCTGGATGTGGTGTTGTGGGGGGTGGGGGAGAACTAAAGGACACCCCCCACCCTGTAGGGACTATTGGGGGTCCAGGTGGAGCCGGCTGCAGTGGGGCCTCCCAGTCGCCCTAAGAGTAGACTCCGGAACTTCTGCGACATGCACGCTAGCTCCTCTGAGAACCAGCGCTTGACCCAAATTCAGAGGGGGCAGCCCCCAGCCATCTGCCGAGTTGTCTACCGGGACCCTCCCCACACGCAGCGTCCGCAGGCTGCAGGGGGAGGTGGGCAGCAGAGGGGAGGACAGGACCAGCAGCAGCATCCTCTGGGGGCGGCAGAGACTGTGCAGGGGCCAGCAAGTGGTGCCAGGGAAGCAGAGGCCCCAGGCCAGCTTCTGGCAGGACCCCCACACCCCACATACCCAGTGCACACTCTGGGGTCAGGCAGGGCCTGGGGCCGGCCGGCCCCCCACTGTGGGCATGCTCCCTGCCGGGCCTGGCCACTCTGCTGTGGAAGGGTCCTTTCCCCTCGTTGGCTGGTGGAATTCCAGGGGTAGGGCTCTGTGGGGCCTGGGTGTGTGAGGGCCAGGCTGGGTATAATTTCCCCCTTGCTCCTGGTTGGACAAGGAATGGGAAAGACAGCCCCTCCCCAGCTGACCCAAGCTCTCTGGCAAGATCCCCCATGGCAAAGTTGGATGATAGCTGCCCCCTGAGCACTATTTCTCATCTGGGCTGAAGCTTGGAGCTTCTGGGGCTGGGATGTGGGCCAAGTGGTGCAGGGACAAGGCTGAGGTGATCTGAGCTCAGGGCAGCCACGTGCCTGGGACGCGGTGGAAATGCTTGGGGCAGGTGAGCCTGGGGCCCACCGTTGGCAGGTGGTGGCAGGAGCCCGGACCTTGGGGAGGGCTCTGGAACATGCAGACCCCATTCAACTTGGTTAGTTCTGTTCACAGAGGCCCCAGCCAGCTCTTCTGTGAGTCCTCCTTGGCTTGGCTTCGTGGTGGTCCTGATGGGGGTCTGTCCTCTGCCGGCTGTGGCAAAGGTGCTGTTGGGTGTCACCAGCATTGTTCAGGATTCCCCTCTGCCATGTCTCAGGTGGTGGCAGCCCCAGGTGGGGGGGTGGCCTTGCTTCACCAGAAAGGGCTTCTCCGTGGAGGACACAGCCCTCACCTCCACCCCACCCCCAGCAGGCCTGGGGTGACGTCACTGTTGAAGCATCTGCAGTGTCTGAACCAGGGCCACACTGGAGGCCACTTGGCTGTTCTTCAGAGCAGGGTGCAGGGCGGCCCCAAGAGGGGAGGAAGGGTCCTATCTACTTGGGGCGGGGGTAGCCAGTCCTTCTGTCGGAAGCATGGGTTTCTTACCCTACGCTGCTGCCCGTCTTGGCCAAGTGGGGGGTCCAGGCACTCAGCAGTACGAGGCGGGAGAGGCTCATAGTGGCCACATCCTTGGCTTTGGGCATCTTCTCGTTAGGCCCTGGGACTTGGGCAGTACGTCTGGTTTCCCAGCACTCAGGGTTTTGGGGAGAAGACCCCCCTCCAAGAATTCTGCCTCTGCCCATCCCCACCTCACAGTACCCAACAACGACCAGCCGAGGTTTCCTTCTTCAAAATGCACGTAGGTCTCGTTTAATGAGCCCGAGTGACCATGCCTCATCTACCCTTGTAAGAACAGGAAGGAGAAGGGCCTCCGTCCTGCGGGTCCTGGGGACATCTGCCCAGGGGCAGAGGAACAGGAAGGGGCTCAGTCACCTCTTTTCAGGTCTACGGGTGCAGAAACTTTGTCTTCCCAGATGGTCGTCTGTGTCTCGTAGCGAGGCCCGGTGCACGTACTTTTGCCTCCTCAGACTGCGGGGGACGAAGGGGCCAGAGGTGGGGGGCACAGCAGCAGAAGCTCCTTGGAAGGGCAGCTGGTGCAGGGGCGGTGACGACCCCCAAGAGCCTTCAGCAGGCTTCCTTCTGCCTCCTTCCTGTGCATACCTTCTCCATCTCAACCCCAGGCAGGTGCCCCAGCCTTCGGTCTCTGTGCCCAGGGCTTCCGCCACGTCTCCCGAGACAGGGTGTCTGCCTGATCCTCCATCTCCCCCGGGTGCCTCTGCCCAGCCCAGCGCCTCCAGTTCCAGCCGCTCAGCAGGGCAGGGCCTCTGTGTAGCCATGGCTTGGGTGGCAGATGTCTCCACTCACTGGGCGCTTCCCAAGGTCTGCAGGAGGTAGTGGGGAGGTCCAGGCCACCCTCCTGCCTCCCCCTGCCAGGCCCTCCCCTGGCCCTCAACGGGTCACCAGTGGAGGCCCAGGGTCCTGGTCAGTGGTACTGGCTCTGGCCCTCTAGTTCCAGCCCCTCCTGGAACTGGGCCGAGTCTAGCTCCCTCGCAAAGCCCCTCAGACCACTCTCTTCTTCGCCTTCCTCTGGCTGCTGGCTGTTCATGGTGCCGTAGGTGTGCCTGGCTGGGGAGGACGCTGGGGTCAGATTCAGCTCCGGCTCTTGCAGCACGGTGGCCACGTACAGCTGCTCGGGACAGAAGGGAGACGGGAGCAAGGTCACATCTGGAGCGAGGCCCTGGGCACACCCTCTCCCCTCACACCCCACCCCCATCACCTCTGTCCCCTCCAAGCCATGGAGCTGTCCTTCCTCCCAGCAGCCTGAGCCCTGTCCCTCCCACCTGCCTCGTTGTTCTTGGTCATTTCGTGAGCATCCAGGGCTCCAGGCATGGCTTCGAGGGGGGTCTCCCCCCACTAAGTCCACGTCCTTCACAACACTTTCCATTCATTCTTGGTTCTAAGTCAGGCTGAACCCAGGGGAGATGACCTGAGGTTCCCCTCAGCTGGGGTCTGGAGAGACCCTCATTCCCGAGCTAGTGCACTTTCTTTCTTTCTTTTATTTAAAATATTTTTAATTTTAATTTTTTTTTTTTAGAGACAGGGTCTCACTCTGTAGCCCAGTCTGGAATGCAGTGGCATGATCATAGCTCACCACAGCCTTCAAATTCTGGGCTCAGGCAAGCCTCCCACCTCAGCGCCCAAGTAGCTGGGACTTCAGGTGTGCACTACCTTGCCCAGCTAATTTTTTTTATTTTTTGTAGAGATGGGGTCTCGCTATGTTGCCCAGGCTGGTCTCAATTCCTGGCCTCAAGTGATCCTCCTGCCTCAGCCTCACAGAATGCTAGGATTATAGGCGTGAGCCACCATGCCAGGTCAGATGCACTTTCTAATGCGGCTTCGGTGGTGCGTCCAGAATTCCCTTGTGGGGTGTGTCACTGGTTGGCCTACGAATCAGGATTTGAAACTGAGACTGCCAGCTTGGTCATGTGGCCTGTCAAACCCAGGAATGGTCCTAGGAATGCCTGGGAGGGCAGCAGACTAGAAAATCACAGCAAGTACCAGAGAGGAGAGCAATTTGTCATCCTTTGAAGTGGCTTTCAAAACAACTCCTTATTTTGAAAATAGGTAATGATGGACTATAATTAAACTTTTCCCATAGGAGTTTATTTCAGTGAAACCAACAGCCCCAGTTGATGAGGGAACAATTTTCCAATAAAAAGATCTAGACATTTGCATGGTGCCAAAGTAAACCCCAAAGATGACCTTTTGGTCCTAAAGGGGAAAATGGTAACTGAGCGATGGGCAAGTCCAACTGTCATTCCCCAATCAGGGGGGTCACGTTAGCGTCATTAACGGGGATGAACGGTGAGAGGCACAGCACTACCTGTAATGTGTTCTCGTGCCCATGTTGAACTTGAATCTATCAAGCCTTCAGATCTAACTTCTAGTTTTCATGGAATACGGGAGATAGTGGAACCTGCTATCAGGCACTATGAAGAAATAGCCAGAAAAATCTAGAAGGTGGGCTATTCCGCAGGACTACTGGTTTGCTCTCTCCAAGTCATGAAAAAAGGGCTGTGCTAAAATAAAAGGCACCTAACGACCAGATGCACAGGCACCAGATCGGATCTTGGTTTAGACAAACTGTAAAAGATTTTAAGGTAATTTGAATATGGACTGGGTATTCGAAGAGATGAAAAATTTATATATATGGAAAGACAGAGATTGTTAACTTCAATGCAGGTTATGAAACAGTATGTACAGTATTGTTTCATTTTAGACAAACTACATATATACACATATAAAATTATCTAGAAGAGATAAATAATATTTATTTATTTTTTTGAGACAGAGTCTCGCTGTGTTGCCCGGGCTAGAGTGCCGTGGCATCAGCCTAGCTCACAGCAACCTCAAACTCCTGGGGCTCAAGCGATCCTCCTGCCTCAGCCTCCCGAGTAGCTGGGACTACAGGCATGCGCCACCATGCCCGGCTAATTTTTTCTATATATTTTTAGTTGTCCGATTAATTTCTTTCTATTTTTAGTAGAGACGGGGTCTTGCTCTTGCTCAGGCTGTTTCGAACTCCTGAGCTCAAACAATCCGCCTGCCTTGGCCTCCCAGAGTGCTAGGATTACAGGCGTGAGCCACCGCGCCCGGCCGAGATATATAATATTTAAATGTCTGGAAGAATATATACTAAGGTATCAGTGGTCATCTCTGGGTGGTGGGAATTTGGACTTTTTATTTCCTTATTTTTGCTTATCTTTTTTCCCTATTATTATCTATAATGTTCATATATCACTACTGTAATAATGAAAGATTTAAAAAAATAAGTTCTAGTAATTTTTTTTTAAACCACAGGCTTTTGAGTGAGGCGAACTTGGTTCAAACTTTGTTCTGTCACTTCCTGGCTCAGTGACCTGGGGCCTCTATTAACTGACATTTTGAGCCTCAGTTTGGGGATAAAAATCCCTACCGTGTGGGTTTATCAAAAGATTAGGAGAATGGCAAAACACCAGGTTTGTAAGAAGATTTCAAAAACTCACCGCTAAGGACATTTGAGAGGGGTCGTATGGGAAGGGTCCCAGGAAAAGAGCGACTTTCCTGCTTCGAAATCTTTGTCGTCTCTCGAGTACCCGAGCACCTCCCGCCTGCCCCCGATCAGAGGCGATCTGATCTGTGCAGTATTTTTTTCAAAGTGAGGCAAACCTGGAGTTCTGGTGACTTCTCGTGTCTGCACCATGGGTGGGCACGTCCACTGCTGTGGTTTTATCTACATCTCTCTCTGTCACTGTGCACTTCAACCCAGCTCTGCCCACGACTAAAGAAAGCCTCGTGCCCCACTGGGCCCCGCCGCCCACTCTGACTTCCACCTGCCGGGAGACTGTCTTCGGCTGTCCCGGTGGATCAGATTCTCTCTTCCAGGCCTTCACACAGGCTGTTCCTCCTCCTGGAATGCTCTTCCCAGACACCCTATTTCACCGGGCAAACCCCCACTCCTGTTCCTGGGGTCAGATGCGATGTCCCCTCCTCTGGGAAGCTTTCCCTGAGTGCCCAGGCTGGCTGGCGCCCTCCTTCAGTGTTCCTCCTCGGTGCCCTGGCATCGGGCACAGGCTTCCCGGTACCCAGCTCAGTGCACATACTGGGCATCCGAACTTGTGGCAGGGATGTGGGCGAGTGCTCATACCCCTGCAGGCCGAGCCACCTGTGACAGCCAACGCCCAGCCTTCCTGCTGGGCCCCTGCACTCCGGGTCGGCCTCTCTCTGCGGGCCGATGGGGTCACTCATGCGCGCCGCCCCTGCCTTACCATGGGTGCAGAGCTCCGCTACCGCTCCTGCGGCGCTGCCTGCGCCTGTGCCCTTGGGGCAGCCTTGGGTCCCGAGGCCCAGCCTCAGCACGCCCCCGCATCTACACAACTGACGTCGCTGAGGTCGGGGTCGCCCTGACCGAGTACTTCCTCTCTGAGGGCCTTCTAGACACTGCCGGGGAAGACTGGGTTCTTCTCTTGTCCTCACTCTTCAGCCAGGGCCACGGCAGCAGTTGGACCTGGGCCAAGTCCTGCTGCGTCAGAGAGGGGAGCCCAGGGGGTCCCCATCTCCTCCCCAGTACCCAGGGTGGACACCGAATGCTGGTGCCCCCCACAGTGCCGCTAGAGTAGACCGCCCCTGCGGGCACCACCCTCCCGCCTGTCCCCGCGGTGCAGGCGGTGACTCACGAGGGAGGTGGGCGTGGACGAGGTGCTGCTCGGCTCCATGTCGAACACAGTCCGGATCTCCTCCTCCTCAGGCTGCGCGGGGAGAGGGAGGTGGTCACAGATCGGGGTGTCTGCTCTGCGGCCTCCCTCCCACAGGAAGAGGAGCCCCCGCCCCGCACCTGGGCCTCTCACCGCCCTGAACTCGGCTCATATTCCGCCTGCCCAGGGGACAGAGGGAGGGCTGGGATGCGAGAGAGTCCCTTCTGGAAAGTTCTATCTCAAAGGACCACAATGGGGGAAAGGAAGTAGAGTTTGGATTGGAGTTCAAAGAGGAGCCTGCTTGGACTGCAGGAAAAGCCTTGGCTTCAACACTGTCTTCTTTTTTCCTGGGATTTCCCTCCATATTTGGAACGAGTCCTACAGCAATACGGGCTAAGTCCCCAGCTGGCCTCCTTCCCTAGAGTGGACATTGGGGCAACCGGGCCACATGACGTCGTCGTATTAGAGGGACAGAGCTGGAGGGTCGTTCATGCTGGCCCCTCAGTCGTGGCACTCCAGCCCCGTGACAGAGGACGAGGGCCGGGCAGAGGGGGCACAGGTGCCTGTGCCCAGGGCCCTGGAGACACCGGAAGCCAGAAGATCCTCCTCCGAGAGGCTTTCTCTTCTGACTCGGCAGCGTGTCAGTACTTAAAGTCAACTGTGTTTTCTTTATATAAATTCATTTAAAACGGAAACAATCACTATCATAAACAGAAAACCTGTGCCAGTTGCCGTAAGCAGAAACTGGAAAAAAAATGTAACTATGAAAAATGAAAAGCTATGTCGTGGTCCACCCGCTTTGGGACATGCTGGTCCAGAACACAGTGTTGCCAGCATGGCTCTGAAAGGGCGGGGACAGGCTCCGTCTTCCCAGGCTGGGCCCCGCCACCAAAGAGCCAAAGGAGGCACAGGGTCGGGGACAGGGGTGCCTCTAAACACCAGGCTAGCTCACCAGCAAGTTCAATAGCCTGTATTTTTAAAGGTGAGTGAATGACTATCCCCCGTCCCCAGGTTCCCATCTCTCAGTCCTGCAGCCCTCGGAATGGTGCTCGCAGCTCAGTGGCTGGACTGGACTCACACTGGAGGAGCCCGGCTTGGAGGAGGTGTCAGAGGGCGGAAACGGAGAGAATGGCTATCTTCCGGGCGGGGGCCAGGGTCTGAGCCAGTGCCAGGCACTCTGCACACTGGGCTCGCACACCCCACGGTCAGAGGGAAAGGCGAGACCCTTTCATCCTTGGGTGCTGTGGGTACCCCAGCCAGGAGGGTGTCCTAGAGCTGTGTCCCCCAGGGGCCAGGAGAACCAGTGGAGGAAGGGCAGGCTGGCAACTCACCTCGTAGTCAGGGGTCATCCAAAACTTCCCCATAAAGATGCCAACAAAAGCAACTACTATGGAAATGAGGAGGTTGGACAGGGAAAAGATGGTGATGGTGTGGAGGGAACCTGCCGAGGAGAAGAAAAGGCCATGGACAGGCATCTACCAGCTGAGGTGCCACCCCAACTGACAGATGCCTGGGGACAGTCTCAGCACTTCAGCAAGGGCCTTGACCTACCCCATTCTCTTCTGAGAACAACCAGGACCAGTGAGTCTGACACGACATCGGCCCTCTGTTGACTTAAGTAGCCACTTAAGTGCCCATTAAACGTGTCCTTCCAACCTGTCCTTAGGAAGTCTCTTTGAGTCCCCATTTCTGCCACTGCCCCCAAACAATCTGCTCCACACCTGGCCCCCACAAGCCCTTCGCGGGCGAGCGTGCTCAGTTATCGGTGCTGATGGCACTGACAATGAGTCTCGAACGCAGAAGTCATTTACGTTTCCCATGGGGACCTCTGGTCCCCTTTTCATGGCAGTCATTACAGTCCAAGGCCACTGCTTCACGATGCTTCCTGCAGTATTTTTACGTGGCAAATGACGGTCAACAACCCCACTGGGAAGGTTAAGGTCAAGTGCCCAGAGGGAAGGGCAGTGGGATTGGGGGCTGCCTCGGGGGATGGGTGCCTCCCAGGGGAGAGAGCCCAATGACTGTCATCTGTGGCCCATGGGGACTGCTTCCGTGAGGTGTCTCTGAGCTCCCTGCAGGTATGGCAGCTTCGTGTAGCCAAAGAGTAAGTGAGAAACCAGCCACCCCTGAAGACTCTGATTCTTCCTCCAGGTTCCTGGCAGCCCAGGAAACCAGGAGGATCCTGGAGGCCATGTCACGGTCATGGAGCCTCCAATAGCTAAGATTCTATTTCCCGCCAGCCTAAAGTCAGAATGAAGGAATACGGTGTTTCCTGTCCTGAGGGGTAGAAAGCAAAATCCATACAACCTGGGCCCTGTGGGCCAGGCCCTCCCCTTGGCTGCAAAGCTCTGCCGAGACTCTGATTCCTGCCCTTTGGGCCCAGAGAAGTCACTGGACGTGACCCAGTCCAGTGAGCAGTGTCTTGGTCTCCCTGGGCTCTTCCCCTCCAGCAGAGTCAGTGTTAAGGGACTCGCAGAGCAGTGGGGACAGGCGGAGGTGGGACGGCCAGGCAGGCAGGGCACCTACCTAACCGCAGGACGGAGAAGAAGAGCATCCAGAACAGACCCAAGAGCGGTGCGAAGATGGCCTGGGAGATGGCGGCCATGTGGATCTGCTCGTTCAGCTTGGTGGGCACGTAGGAGTAGTACATGTTATAGCGATCTGTTAAGTGCTTCATGCCCAGGTAGAGCAGCCCTGGGGGGCCGGAAGGTGGAGACATATTCAGTGGCTACTTTAATAGTTGGGACCTGTGCCACTCCGATGTCCCCACAGGCCCGAGAAGCCAGATTCAGGGTTGTCAGGGTAACAAGAGCCAAGGACAACAGCCAGCTCTGTGATGCTGACCTCTGGCATCAGCAGCTAACCTTGAGTCCCCAGAACTTATTCCTCCAGCTTGGTGAGGAGTCATTCATTCATGCATTCATTCAACAAACATCTTGTGGCACCAGCCATCTCAGCCCCTCCCCCCATCCTGGCCCTGACACCTCCTTGCCACGGGGTGTCCCAGATCTGCTCATGCTCCAGGAGGTGGCCTGATGTTGTGGGGCTCAATCCTTCTCCCAGTCTGAGGGTGTGCAGCCCCAGGTGTGCCCCAGCAGTGACTCACCGAAAGGGACAATGATGGGACAAGTGATGCTGTACGCCATCACCACACTGAAGACGTTCATCATCCAAGCGTACTCTCGCCCATACTGGAAGTCTGTGGCCTGGTCCTGGAGCAAAAGGCAGGGTCACCCTGAGGTTGCCCAGTCCCCTTGGCCTGGCAGCTCCTGCAGCTCTCATCAGCCTCCTGGGTGCTGGCTGGCAGCTCAGGCCTGGAGACAGCCTCCCTCCCAACCCTGGAGTCCATGGCGCAGCCGCCCGGCCACACCATCCCTCCACACCTCAGGTCCCTCGGTGCCCCCAGCAGGCCCCCCTCCCTGACACTCGCCCAAGAGAAACTGAGGGCTGTGCTCAAGGAAGGGCCTGGCCCTCACCTTTCTGATATGAGCTCTCTCCGGCTCCGACCTGGAGAAGAAGAGGCGGGTGCTGTACCAGCAGAGCGACCCCAGGCGTAGCAGGTCCATGCTCGTGCCAAGGAGAGCTGCCGTGATCACATAGTTGACGAAGAAGGCGCCGTTGTCTGGCAGGAACACACACCTGGGCAGTGGGGGAGAGGGGAAGACAGCAAAAGCAGCCAGGGGGACAGGGAAAGGGGAATGTTGAGAGGGAGGAGGAGAGAGGAAGAGAAGAACAGCAGAGGAAGTGGAAGGCAGACGAGGAGAATGAAGTTTCATACAGATAGAGAGAGATGACAGATGGATCGATATGTCCCCAACCCAATTTCAGTTAACAAGGAGCCCTTTGAGCAGGGCTGGGGTGGACCACATAAAGTGTGGGTGTTTTAGGGGATATGTGCTGTGGCTTGATCTAAAGTAGGATGTCTGACCCGGGTCCATAGACTCTAGGGAGTTCGTGAGTGATATTCTGGGGGTCTGCGACCTTGCATGGAAAAAAAAATTACATCTTTATTTTCACTAATCTCTAACTGAAATTGAGCATTTCCTTCCATTAAGATTGTGAGCAGCAAATCCTAGTAATGTTAGCTGCTGATGTGACTGTATCACCAACCGAAATCGGATATTTTCACATCACGTTGCAGTCACGCCTGGTATCGTACAGCATCATTTGTGCTCGTCACCATTTCAAAACGACGGTAGGTATTAGATATGCTGCTAAATTACACACGATTGAACTTTTCCTGTGTGCAGATGTGTATTCGGTGTAACTGGTCAACTTTGACCAGGAGTCACTCGGCCCCCTGACGGCCACGTTGCCTGTTACGCTGCTGTTGCTTTCTGCTGTCCTCATCTACACAATTCTGTCAACTTCCTCAAGAAGAGATACCCGCAAGCCTCTGAACGTATTTCAGAACTCCTTTAGAAGCTATTCTTTCTTGATGGCATCAAAGTTGAGTCATAAACTCACAACCCTTTTCTTTCTCATATATAAACTGTATTGAAGATACTGGCCTAGCCAAAGACGGACCCATTCATCTTAGAAATAAAAACTTGTTACAATGATAGTTTAACCTTGGAGAATTCTGGTCCTTGCCTTATTGCGCAAGCTCGGGAAGCTTGCGTGTCATTTCCAACATATCTTTGAAAACTGGGATTGGCAACACTTGTAACCATAAACACAAAAGATCAAAATTGGCTAAATGTCCAACGTGATCTGCATGTCGCCTAGTCAAAGATCCGCCCCTAAATTGATGTTCTTATTCCAGTAAGTAAGATCAGCTGTCACACTGTTTTTAAAACAATAACATGTAACTTTAGCTTTCCTATATTTAAAAGGTAATACCTTGTTACCAGTGTGTTAATAAAGTCTGTGTCACAAATTAGTTTTTGAAATATTTTGATAAACATATTTCGGTATAGTTGGTTTTCTTTGCAATCCATGTATTTTGCACACTTAAAGACATCATTGAGAATCTATGTAAAATTGGCAATATCTGAATAAGTTTTTTGTGAACTGTACCAATGTGAATTTTACTGGTTTTGATACTGTACTATAGTTATGCAAAATGTTACCACTGGGGGGGACAGGATGAAGAGTACATGGGACCTCCCCTGCCCCCATACATTTTTTGGGCAACTTCCTGTGAACCCACAATTATTTCAAAAACGTCATTCTGAGAAGGGGCCCCTGGACTTGGCCGGATTGCCAGTGGGGTCCTGGCACAGGGAAGGGTAGAATGCTGCCTAACGAGAGTGTTCACATGCATCTGTCTCTACCTCTGTGAGCAAATTCAGGTGTTGGATTCAGAGAAGGGCACACGTGCCCACCCCGGTGGAACACACAGATACCCTGGGGTACACATGGGACTACTCACTGGAACCTGATGGACGCCTGCTCCAGATAGTAGACGTCAAAGAGCCAGCGTAAAAAGACATCCAAACTGGAAGCAAGAACAAGGCCGGCCCCTTAGATAAAGAATCTGTGAGCTAAGGCCTGAGGTTCAATTTCTCTTTGCGTGGCTTCCCTCCTTCCATCCTCCCTTCCCCTAACCCCAAAGACTCTTGCCTTATTCCAGCGGCCAGTCCCTCTTCCTTCTTAGTGCTGGGCCACCCCTGCCCTGAACCCTTGGCCTTTCCAGCTTAAGGCCACCTCCTCCGGCAAACCTTTGCCAGCCATTTCTCCCACCGTGCTCCCTCCCTCTTCCCAACTTCTCCTGCTTCTTGGCTGCATCCTTCCTAGCTTGGGCTGTCAGTCAGCTGGTGGGCTTGCCTTGTCGCCCCCGCTGGGTGACGAACTCTGAGGACAGAGTTCATGTCTGACACATTAGAGTTTGCATGATACCTGGCTTATCTACGCCCATGACAGGCACGGGACTGTCACACGAGGAGTGGATGGATTTGCAGCAACCACAGGTTGCTACAGTGTCTGAAAGAGGAGGGTCTAACTCTAAGGCCAGCCTTAGAGGAGGCATAATTGAAGGTGAGATACCTGGTCAGTCCCATAGAGGGCAGAATGACCACCATGAACACCAGAAAGATGTAGCACTTGTGCACTATGATCAGATTCTGACTTGATCTAGAAGGAAACAAAGAGAGATATTCATTAGTCTCACACACAATAAATATATGTGTGTGTGTGTGTGTGTGTGTGTGTGTGTGTGTATCTATATATATATATAGAGAGAGAGAGGGAGCGCAAGCTATCTGGGCTAGGAAACTGGTTTAATTGTGCAGACCAATGCTATCTTATGGAGCTCTATGAGCTATGCTGCACCTGGGAGCAGCAAGAAAGAACAGCATGATCAACTAGTGATGTCTGCCCTGCACACAGAAAGGGAAGAGAAGGCACGGTCATGCCACATATTTGACATCTCTGTGTTAAAGAGACATTACCAATGATACTCGGAGTCCCTGTGGAGCTTCTATGATCTATATAAGCCTTGTTCTTGGCCAGAGGAAAGGCCAGAAAGGCTTTTGGTTAGGACAAACCTTTTGGCTTGCTGCCTGGTAGAATGGTAGGAACTTCTGGTGCAGGAAATAACTTTTGAGACGCATGCAGCCTTCAGGCCAAGGCAATGCCACCCGCCCAGGATGTGGCAAATACTTTCTACCCAGTTAGCTACTACCATAGGACCATCAGGGCTAACAAATGGGAAAGCTCCTAATTGCTTAAAGTGCTGGCAGTGTGGGGCCAAATGTGTCAACAGTCAGAGTGAATTCGCAGGCCCCTTTGCCATGGCCACGGCACATTTCCTAGAGTCTTTTCATCTGCGCTTTCTGTCCCTATCTCCTGGCACTGCCGGGCTCCATCCCTGCAGCATGTGGCCGGGGGCTGAGGGAACAGCCTAAGGAGGGCTTGGAGGCCGGAGGCCCAGAGACAACCCAGGCCCTCTGTCCAAAGTGAAAACACCTGGCGGTGTTTTGGGGTGGTTTCAGGTGTTAAGACCATCCCATATCAATTCTCCTCCTTAGGCCAGAGGGGAGGCCCAAGTGCCAGGCTGGTGAGGGTGGCTAGGACAGGGGGAGAGGCTGGGAAAACGGCAGGGCTAGGGGAGTAGGAGAGGAGGCCCCCAGGTTACCTGGTCCAGTGGGCCTCTAGGAAGGCGGAGAAGTAGACGATCAAAGGCAGTATCACCGTGAAGGCCCAGAGCATCACGGAGGGGAAGAACTGGGTCACGATGGGGCTCTGAAAGGCAGAGGGGAGGAGGGCAGGAGAGATGTCAGCGCAAGAAGCCCCGTCCCCTCGCAGGCCTGTCCTGACTCCTCCCATGTCCCTCTTCTCCTCCAGCTCAATCCTAGGGCAGACTGCCTTCCTGGAGGGTGCATGGGGGCCTGGCCTCTCTCCCGTGCCTTCCTGGCCAGGAGTCTGCCTGGCTGGGGGCAGGCAGAGGCTGACACTCCAAGGTCAGTTGGAGTCCCCAAGGGGCCAGGCCTTCTATGCTGAGGTCACTGGAGGGACAGCCTGAGCTTTCCTGAGTGGCACTGCTCCTGCTGTGACGATGTGTGAGCAGGGGGAGGAGAATGCCCAGGGAATGCTGTGGTGCTCCCAGGATGCATGTCGCCTGGGGCCTATCATGAAGGTGACAAAAGGGAACAGAAGTCAGCAGCAGAAGTGGTGTGGCTTGACTTTGCTGTGTGGTGCTGGGATGGGGACAGCAGAGCAGGAGGGGCCTTCTAGGCTCCTTGTAACGGCCTTGAAGCTACAGACGTGGGAAAGGGCTGGTGCTCCCTCTGGGCCGCGCTGTCAGGACAGGGTGTCCCGTATCTTCAGGGACGGCTCCCACCGGCCGAGGGCTCCCCACCGGGAGTGGAGGGGTCTGAACACTGGGGAGGTGGGGACAAATCTGGAGTCCCCACTTCCCTCAGAAGGCCGTGCGGGGACTTACCTTACTCTTCCTCACCCTCAACCCCACCCCTCAAACCAGGAACTTTCAGCCCAAGGGAACTTGGCGAGAACAGAGCCGTTCACACCTGCCACACTCCTGGCTGGCCTGGGATGATGAAGCCCTCTGAGCCCATGCTGACCGGACCACCCGTCCCCACAAACTTGCCCCAGGACCTGCAGCTCCCCCATCTCCTTTCCTCTCCAGCCCCATCCCTAAGATGGGCAATGACCCGCCTTCATCCCTCAGCACAAAGAACACCCTGCCCCACCATTTGCACCACCGGTGTGTCGGCCCCACCCATCCTCGCCTGAGTTTTTCCTTGATCTCCCCGGGGACCCCCAGGCCTGGCCTGAGCAGAGGAGGCACCTGCAGGTTCTCGATGGGGCGGGTGACGTTGTACATGTCAATGGTGTTGATGATGATGGCAGGCGTGGTGAGGAAGAAGAAGAGGAAGAAGAGGAAGGTGTTGATCAAGATGAAGCGGGCCCACCAAAAGAAGCGGCGGACAGAGAGGTGTTTCCTGGGCAGGGAGGGAGTGGGAGGCACACTTAGAGATAGTCGTTAGAGACAGCCACGTGCTGTTCCTGCATGCTGACTGTGGACCCAGGCTGGTCTGGTCTAATTCAGCCCCTGGGTGCAGCCCTGCACGCAGTGGGCCCCTTGGCCAGCCCTCAGTTACAACGTTTGCAAAGGCTCTGAATATATCACACAGGTGAGCAAAAAGTGGACCTGGGTTCTTTCTGCAGGAAAAACCTTTTCCGCAAGGACTGGGCACCTTGCACACTGTGGGGGTGAGTTTGGCGGTCAGCAGAGGCTGTGGTGCTCAGGAGAGTCCGCGGCACAGCCAGTGGGGGCCATGTTTGGACAGCCCTGGGCATAGTCTCCGGGGAGTCTCTGTTGGGCAATAAAGTGGGGAGAGAAGGCCCTGTCCTCTGGTTGCCTTCAGTCTCAGGAGAGCTCGGAGGAGAGCGGGCTTACCAAATAATGTCTTTGGGGTGTGGGGCGAGAGCGACCCTCCAGTTGTAGGACTTGACGATGGTGGTCACTGAGGACTGCTGGGGGTGCACGCCACACTGGACGTACTTGTAATCCTCCTGGACGCTGCAAAGACAGAAGAGGAGGAGGAGACAGAGGTCTGGGGGTGGGAGGATGGGCTTAGGAGGGTCTCATGCCAGGGTCCCAGGGCTCCTGTGGCAGTCCCACGCATGGGAGCTCATCTCGAAGCCTTGGATATGCCTCCCGGGACCTTACAGGTGGACAGTCTCTAAGGCCCCGAATCTGGAGGAAGGGGCATGCGAGGGAGCCTGGGCTGCCCAGGAAGGGGAGGGTACCACTGGGTCTGTCTCCGCCTTTCCTTCTTAACAGCAGTGACAGCACAGACATGCTCTTTCTTTGAGAGGGAGGTACTAATTTTAGCCTCATCTTAATATCAGTAACTGCCAATTATTGAGTTCTTTCTGTGTACTAATTGGTGATCAATATCATCTCAATCACACATTACTAAATCGAGGTGCCTAGAGACACAAACGAGGAGGGCAGGTACTGGCCCTGGAGCCCCATCTTTGGCCTTCTAACTCAAGCCGCAGATCCTCTCAACCAAATGATGATGTCTCAGAAAGTGAACAATATTATCTTGTGTAGGTGTATTGCTTTATACAACACACACACACACACACACACACACACACACACACATTAAACAGAACACATGTTCCTGTCAACCCTCTGGGAGGTGGGCAGGCAGAAATCGGTCACCACATTTGAGAGATGAGAAGTCTGAATGCAAGCGACTTGCACAATGGAGCACCATTGCTTGCGACCACGATCTAGGCGGCTCCACTGTCCCTCTGCAGGGCTTGGGTGGGTGAGGACAAAGTTCTGTGCATGATCAGGCTGCCCCAGGGAGAAGAGGCCCCACAACGCTAGACTGATGATTCTGGAGCTCCCTTAGGACGTTGGCCCAGTCATAAGGATCCTTCCGGAACATTCCAGAGTGAACCTGATTCACTCCCTGTCGAGGTGGGGCTGCCAGAGGCTGGGGCAGAGAAGAGGGGGACTGGAGGGCTATGAACGGGCGTGGGCAGAGGCCTGCAGCAGGAGAGGAGGACAAACAGGGCTTCTCCATACTGACTCTCTGTGGTGAAGAGAGCGGGCGATGTGCGTGCCGTGAGGGGGAGAATGGATACCACGGGTGTCAAGGCTGGAAGAGGAACCATAAGGTCCAAGGCTACGCTGACCACCTGTGTGCTGGAGCAAGGGCATACGGGAGTGAGGAGCCCAGGCCTGGGCATCCCTACAGACCAGGGGGGCCGCGGCAGCTGGGGGAGACGGTACAGCCATCTCCCTGGGGAGTCAGACGTCTCGTCGGTGGTCCACGGGGGGTTGTGGAGGGGCTGAGGGAAGGTCAGAATATGGCAAACTGGAGGGAGGCTGGCTCTCCTCTGCCCCTTGGCTGGGAGAGGGGTGACAGAGGCCGGTGTCAGAGAAGCAGAGGCCCACTCTCAGGGCTGGGCAGGGCACCGCAAGCCACTGCCCTGGTACTCACCGCTTCGCCATCCGCGAGTCCTGGAAGGTGACAAAGATCAGGTCGAGTCGCTTCAGCGGGACACGGTTGAGCTCCGCGTTGAACTCATCGGTCAGCTGCTCCTCCAGCTCACTGTAGTACTGCTCTGCGTCTACCTGGGGCGAGAGGTGGCCCTCAGACCTGGAGAGGCCAGAGCCCCAGGAAGGCCTCGCCTGGACACGAGGCGCCTCTCCCCTCAGCAGCCTGTGAGTCGGGGGCCGTGAAGCCTGGCAAAGATCTCGCTCAGGACCCTGGGTGGGCTCCGAAGTCCCACCTCTAGAACAAGAAGAAGCTGTGACTCTGCAATTTGCTCCCTGCCCTTAGATCTGGGGAAAGTGAGGCATGGCTGAGGGTAAGGGGGTGCTTTCAGACTTGGGGGGCACCCCAGAGAGGTGATAAGATGTGTTTGCACCATTTTCAGGAGAGGGGGAACTATTCTTTTTCTGGACTGGCTGGAATTCAGTCCTGCCTGAAAGGGGCGGCCTTGCAAAAATCCACAGGAAAATATCTAATCCTGCAATTTCCTAGTAATAGTGAAAGATCAGTCCTATCAGTTCTCTCACTAACAGCCATCCCGCGGGAGTTCCGTTTTGCAGAACTTTTGAAAAGAGCTGAACAGATGGAAAAAAGATGTAAATCTTTCTCTTTCTAGATTGACTTTGAAAATCTATTTTTTACAGTCTGAAAAGTTCCCAAGTGAACAGCAGGGTCCAAGCTCAGCCCTCAGCCACGTCTCCAGGGCAGAGTCACATCTCCTGCGATAATCCTGTCTCCAAGGAAAGGCCGGGGAGCTGACTCTGGCACTTTGACATCCTGCCGCCGTTTCTGCTATCATCCTGCCGCCGAGAAGAAAGAACGGAGTGGATGCAGCAGTACCCTGTTAATTTGGCTACAGCCACAAACCTTGTTCACCCCCTAAATAAAAGCCTGAATACCTGGTCCTCTCTGCCAACATCCTCTACCTCCTTCACTTCTGTGTTGGCCCTTTTTCTGCCAGGGAAAAGTAAATAAACTTTTCTTTTTTTTAAAATGAAAATGATTTTATTTTATATTTAACAAAATGTAGATTTTAATGATAACCATATGTTAGTGCTTAGAATAAACAAAGAATTTTGGCTATATTTTTCTGCCAGATTTTCAGGGTTGCATATTCTTTACTTCACACTTGACTTTTGCAGCTCAAGCCCAGAGTCTCTTTTTCGTAAACAGTTCTGGAGGGCTTCTCTTGGTTCTTTGATCTCCATGTCTTCTCTCTGAAGCCACCTCCTGTCCTCACCCTGGTCAGGTTTCTCTTCTTCAGTTGCTCACAGGCCTGACTCTGCCAGCCTCACGGCTTCGGGTTGGGTTTTGAGCAATTCGCTGGGATCACTGTCATTGACTCATGATATGCTGCTGCTTCTGCCAGGTTTGCACTTGTGCTTTCTGGTTGGTGGTGTGTATTAGTATTTGCCCCTTCAATCAGCAAGAGACTGACTAGCAAACCCTTGTGAAGCCAGGAGGAGTATTTGAGGGAGGACCAAGTCTATAACAAGTGGTTGCTTTGTTGATGAACACAGTCCTAATGCTGCCCTTTGTTCCCTGCTCTGTAACCTTGTCACCACAGAAATTTGGGTGGAGGGGACCCTCAGTGCAGAGTGGGGCAACTAGAAATTCATCTCCTGAGAACTTTGTGGTTTCCTGACTTGTTGGTTGCTGGGGGAGCTGAGTAGCTCCTGCTATGCTTGCTGAAGTAGCCACATGGAGCAGAATATGGTATTTGTGGAGGGATATTGTTGAAGGCATTGGCCATCACATACACACAGTCACCTGGCAAAGAGCCCATCAGAGGTTCCGTTTGGATTCAGCTGCGAATCTGTGTTTGGCACTTAGAAAGAGGCTGCTCTGACTTTAGAGCAGGAGGGGGAGGTCAGGCCCTGGGGTGTGCCTTCCAACCTCCTGCACCTGTTCCTCCAGCCATCCCCCTGGCCTGGGTGGGAGAGACTATCTCCTTCTTCCTGGAGGGATAAGCCAGCAGGCTGAGTCCGCCTGACCCCCAACTTCTTTTTTCTGTCCTATTCTTTGTCTGGAGAAATCTTTTCTCAAAACCCGCATGCACTTGCTCTCACACCCTAACACTGCCCTGATTCCAAGTTTTGAGGCCTCCTCCAGCCACAGTGGTCGGATGATCAGATGGAGCTTGTTGCCTTCAAACATTCCTGTCCTATCTCTTTGGAAGCTCAAGGCCTGACAGCCCACTGCAGCCAGCTGTGTTCTCTTTGGTCCTTCTCTCTGGTCCTCCCATCTAAGACCAGCCTGCCTGGATTGCTCCGGAGGTGGCCCCAGAAAGGCTATATCTCCTCTGCATGCTCAACAGGGAGGCAGGACGCGGTGGAAGGGGAGGGAGGAGCCAGGTGCCGCAGCACCGGAGCACACCTGATTGAGGCCTGGGGCCCAGAGCTGCGGGCAAGGGCACGGGGCTTGGAGCCCCAGGTCACCACCCACCCTTGCCATCCCCCCGATGCCCACACCAGTTACCTCCTTGAAGCAGGTCCAGCACTGGCAGAAGCACAGGCGGGAGCAGGGGTGGATCCTAATCATCACCTTCCCGGTCTTCTTGGCCTTGGCTGTGTAGAAGAGTCGGCCCCGCATGGCATGGCGCCTGCCAGCGGCGGATGAGGGGGAAGGACCTTCCAGTCAGGGGCCAGCAGAGCCCCATCCTCCCCTTCTACCCCACCCCAGACCCCGGAAGGCCCTGCTGTGGGCTCACCTCTGATCATCCAAGTCGATCAGGTTCTTGACGTCATAGCAGAAGTGGACTCTGGTCACCATGCACCCTGGATAGGCTTCACTACAGCCACAAACATGGATGCTGAGTCAGCCTGTGGGGTCGGGGATGTGCTGTCCCGGCCCCCTGCCCACTGCGACAGCCCACGAGGCTGGGTGGCTCAGCTTTCTGGGGCTCCCGGATGGGAGAGTCCATGCTTGCTCCTAAGGCCAAACTTCAGGGTTTGAACCCTGATAATCTGAGAGCTGCCGAATCCTCCCTACACGACTCAGAACAGGGCTGGGGGTAGATCTCCAACTACCGGGGAACCCAGCAGAAAGCTGCTCACAAAGAGATAATTAGCTCAGTGGACAGTGTCCCTGGGGCTAGGAACTTTGGGTCACACATGAGGTCTCAAGAAGATCTGCTCTAAATAGCTGTGACCCAAGGGCTCCCTGGACTCAGTAGTCGGAGCAGCGGGGGAAAGGAAAATTAGCATCACTCACATCACGCATGCCACGCAGGAAACCCCTGACTTCAGAAACCCTGCTCCAGCGCCAGCGGCCCTCCCCATTCTAAAAGGCCAATCCTGAGCTGAACCCAGGGAGAGCCACCATCTGGGGTGTCCCTAGCCCCACCATCCTGCGCCAATCCACTACCACGTGAGGACCCAGGCAGGGCTACCAGGAGGAGGCCATCCATGCCTCGGCCCACCCCAGCCACTTACTGAAAATGCTTAATGATGATTTCTGGGTCTTCGACGTCTGTGGGCACATAGGTGATCATTAGTGTCCTTGTGACCTGGGCGGGAAGGGTAAATGGAGAAAGAAGACTGTGCTTGCACAGGAATTCCAGATATCGGGGTCTTCTGGTGGCTGGGGGCTCCTGCTCACGCCAGGCTACCTGATGCCCAGTGCCTCCTGGGAGTAAGCCACGTGCCAGCTTCCCCAGCCTGTGGTGTGCCAGCTGAGCCTGGCAGCTCTGAGGTCAGCAAACCCGTGCCTCTGTTATTGTCTGTGGCCCTCTCTGGGCCCCCTGCCATGGGCGGCTGTGGGCAAGAGAGGGAGGGCAGGAGGCTGCAGACGGGGCCGGAGTGGAGGACAGGAGCGCATGAGTGAGAAGGGCTGTACACGCCCCCTGGCTGCCCACGATGATTTTTGGTCTCCCTGGAACTGCCACTGTTGCAGCATAAAGCCCCACGTCGCTAGGGAAATCCCTATCATTACGCTTGCCAGGGGAGCTGGGAGGCGAGCGAGACTCTGGGGAGAGCATGGGGAAGCCTCCCCAAAACTTAATACTTTATTCTGTGACTGGGAAATGCCTTCCTGAGCCATCACCTTCAAGATGACAGTCTGGTGGACCATGCCAAAGATTCAGGGATCTTGGCAGATGCCTCTGGTGACAATAGGGAAAACCAAAGTAGCCAAGCCCACGCTGGTCAGAGGAGACAAAGCCACCATGCCTGGCAGGCTGAGCGTTCGGGGCCACTTTTTAGGGTAGGTGCATTTCCACTCAGGCCGGCTAAAGGGAATCAGTCCTTTTGGGTGGACAGCCCCTGAGACCTGACCCCACTCCACTGAACCTTTGAAAGGCTGAGGAAGGGAGCCAATGACGTCACCCTCATTGTCACTGCTGCCCTTCCCCACCAGAGCATGGGTGCTGGGCCAGACAGGTGGCACTGCTAGTGCCTGCCACCGGCATTCATCGCTGTACACCAAAGGCACTGCCTGCTGCAAATGCTGAGACCCTGTCCACGGCCCCTTCCTGGCCTTGCAGGTGTGTTTGGTTTGTGTGCAGGGCAAGCAAGGAGTAGGGAGTTAAAGCCCCCAAATGCAGCCCCCAACTGATAAGGAAAACCTCCATCTATTACCTGGTGCATCAGCCACCTGAGGCCCCCACCCCTCACGGAAGACCCTCACAACATAACACTAAACCTATTACCTGGCACATCAACTACCCTATTACCTGGCGGCGCATTAGCCACCTGAGACCCCACCCCTTGGACCACCCCAACTTAATAAAAGTGGGAAAAATCGGGTAGATGGGGCTCGGACTTGGGTGGCAAGACCCCTCCGAGCCTGCCGGCGAATAAACCTTGATTCTCCGACTCTCTGTGTGCCGCTTGGTTTGTCCTCAGGACCACCCGCTGTAACACTTGCTGTATGTAACACAACCAGTGGTGGACAGGGAGTGTGTGGAAAAATACCAGAGTGCTCACCTCTAGGCTGGGAAAATTCTGGGGCGTGTGTTCCACACCGGCCCCCCTGGAGTTCCCCGCTGGGATTGCGCCCAGGGGCCCACGATGACAAGCTGCCACTCAGCATTCCCTGTGTCGGCTGCCTTCTCCTCCCCATCTCACTTCCCTAGTCCCCTACTGGCCTTTTCCGAAATCGTCTCCCAAATAAATGAATGCTACGCAATCCTTGTCTCAGGGTCTGCTTGGGCAGTGGGGTGGGGTCTCCCAAACTGAGACAGTGGGGTGCACAGGATGGGACAGGGGGTCTCTGACCTCAGGGAGATTGCAGAAGGGCAGGGCGCAGGCCCAGCTGGTGTGGGCAGGGCCAGGCAAAATATCCGCCCTGCAGTCAGCAGGGGGCCCTGGCCACTCGGAAGGTCCCCCCCTCCCCCCAACCCCCACCAGGGGCTTGTTAATCCTTTGGTTCGTGGATGGCGGGAGGTCCAGGGGGCCTTGGGGAGGGGCCGGGGCAGCAGAGGTGCAGGGATGGACTACATGGGCAGCAGCTATTTGCCAACCAGTTTGGAAAGTTTCAGCGGGGTGGGGGTGGCGCTGGAGAGGTGGGGGCAGGTGACTGTCCTCCAGGGCCGAGGGGTGGAGCTGGCCCCTGCTCAGGGGACCCCCCAGGATGTACCACGGTGGGACTCCTGGGAAGGCTGGGCAAGGGCGGCCTGGCCGGGAGGGGGATCTGGCCAGGAAGGGCCGCCCTGCTAGTGCTGCATTTACTCACCTTTTGGCTCTTCTTGGGCGCAAACCCCATGGCGTGGTGAGCCATGAATATGAAGTTGGTGATGAAGTACAGGAAAGACAGGAGGCTATGCAGCCACAGGAGCTTGCTCCTGCCGGAGGAGGAGGAGCAGCATGAGGGGCGCCCGCATGGCAGGCTGCGGGTATCACAGAGCCCACCATACCGCCCCTGGGCCCCCTCCCACCCCACACAGACCCCCAGACCCCCCTCACCCACCAGTCTCCCCGGATCCCCCTCTCCGACCCCTCAGTCTTCCTGGACCCCCCACCCACCCCACAAGCAGCCTTCTCAGGACCACCTTCTTGGAGTCCAGACACTCAGGTACCTTGGAAGGGACATCAGTGGGGAGGGGGGCCCGCCCCAGCTAATAAAGGCCAGCATTTATTGAGTGCTCACAAGGTGCCAGATCCAGGGGGGACTGAGTGTTGTATGTGCATTTGCTCACGAGACCCCCACGGCCATGCACGGTAGGACTGCGATTATCCTCATGTCACCCACAGGGAAATGAGGGTGGAGTGGGTGGGTGACACCTACGGTCACTCAGCAGTAGCAGGGCAGGGAGGTGAACCGGAGCTGCTGCAGTATTGAGACTTCCTCACTATGTCACCTTGCCCGTGCCGGCACTGTGCCCAGCGGGCCACATGAGGAGGGCCCCGGGGTCACGTGCAGGCCTGGAGAGAGGAGGGCCAGACAATTCGCTATGCCTCCCCTGGGGTAGGAAGAGTGGTGGCACTTTGGCCATGTTTGCCACCCCTGCTTGGGACTCACCTGATGCTGTCCCAAGGCATCTGGGCAGGATTACCGTTCAGAAATCGGGCCCGCCTGACTCGGTGTGGGTTGAGGAGAGAAAGCAAGGCCCACCTTGCTTCAGAACAACTGCCACACTCCCTGGCCCAGGCGTGACACTCCACAGGCCACCCCATCGAGCTAGATGCCTCGGTCCTCCATTTCCACAGAGGGGCAAGGTTACATGGTCTCCAAGGAACGTTCCAGCTCTCGGCCAGTATGGATTCGTGGATATCAAAGGCCTTTGCTGCTCTATTAGAATTCACTTTCTCTTGCTAAGGTGTGGGCATCTTAGGCCTGCACCCGGCGTAGGGAAGGCACCAGCAGCCCTGCTCTGGCTGGCAGCCTCCAGGGGAGGAGCTGGCTGAAAGGGGAGGTGAGGGGATGCCATGGCCCCGTTCTGCTGATTTTAGAGTTTTGGTGAAGCCAGTCTGCTCCAAGGTCTATCGCAGGAGTGCAGGGGGCAGAGGGGCAGGGGTGCGGGAGCAGAGTGTGGCGGGGGTGTGTGAACCCCACTCACACTTGCTGAAACTGCTTCCGCAGCTTCGTCAGGAAGTCAGCAAAGCCTGTCCCAGACACCTCGTGGGCCTCAGCGTGGACCAGCAGGGCCACGTTTGGCTCAGTACAAATTGATGTGGCTGCCAATTTGGCTGATGTTGAAACCCACGGGTTCCTGGGCTGCCAGGGGGAGGGGCTTAGAGATCATGGCCAACGGCCCTTCCCCTACTGTGAACATGGACAAGGACCAAAGCTCAGAGCGGATGGTGCGCTGCCCCAGATCCAGGGCCAGGTGGGCAAAGGTGGGCATGAACCCAAGTCTCCGATTCCTCCATCCCTCTGACACAGCATCAGAGGGGGAGACTGTCAGATCATGATTCGGTAACTCAGTTCTGTGAGGGCCGACCTGAACCTATGGGTGGGCAGGGGGACATCTCAAACCTCTCTCAGTGCAGGGTGCCTGCCTCTCCGGAGCTGGACGTCCTAAGCAACTAGCACCACCTCTCCATGTCTTCAGGAGTGGCAGTTTGGGTGGTTTCACTCGTGACAGATGAGGACGTGGAGACAACAAGAGTCCTGCCCCACCCAGAGGATGCAGCTCTGGCATCCCACTCGGGACCCGGGTTCCCGGGAAACAGCTTTTCTCATCAGCAAAGCGGTGCTCATGTTATGGACCGACGCCACAGACCTCTCCCCGCCAGTGCCCCGACCAGCAGAACGGGAGGTGAGAAGATCAGGTACCTACTCTGTAGAGACATTGACGATGGTGGTCCGCCCAAAGTGACTGCTCCGGTCTGAAAGACAAGGAAGTTGCCGACCTTGAGCCTGGCTCTTGGATGGCTGTGGGTGCCAGAATTCAGGGTTCCTGGATGAAAGATGCCTGGGGTCTAGAGATACTTTCCTACGTCCTGCTCTTCCTTCTGGGGCCCCAGAGCTTGTCCCCAGCTTCCGACAAAACCTCAGAGGCCTCGTCTCCCTGGCACTGCTGACTGGGGCTCTCGGTGGGAAAATGAGACCAAGTCTTTGGGTGGTATCTCCAACAACTGGCACATAATAGACACCCAGTGATTGCGTTTTGAAGGAACCGGCTATCCGGCCACGGGCAGAATGATGAAATTAGTAACACTATCATCATTGGCAGTGTCCAAAAATGTGACCGTGCTTCATTTCCGGCTAAGTGTATCAGTCTGTTGGTTCAAACATCTCACTAGCTCCGAGAATCAGAAAGACAGGACTCAGATGGCATTTACTCTGGTAGTGGAATTTGGTGGCACATTCAATGTGCTACACTGAATTAATTAAGGTCTACCTCTGGCTGAAGAGAAACCGGTAGAAACCTGGGGCATCATGGTACATCTGGCCACCACCTGGGCGTTGAAGGTGCTATTCTGCATGGCCCAGCTGCGCAGCCTCCCTACGGCTCCGTCATCCTCATGATTCTAGGGGCAATACTGGCAGCTGCCATTCATTGAGCACCTACTGTGTTTCGACCACTGTGCTAGGCACTTTGCACATTATCTCCAGTCCCCAAGACAGGTGAGGAGACCAATGCCTAGAAAGGCTGATTTGCCAAGTATAAGATTCAGTAACTTGCTAGCTTGGGCAAAGGTATTTTCTGGGGAGCAGGTGTGGGCAAACGTGCAGAGCCAGGATTTTTCTGTCTTCGAAGCCAAACCTTCATCCACGATGCTGCTCTGCCAAAAGGACTTGCCCTGTTCCAGTGAGCGTGGGTAGAAGTCCTATGAGACAAATTCTACACTTACAGTGCTGTGTCCATCACAGGGGGGCCAGGGATCTGTGTAGTGGGTCACATGTCACAAAAGGGCCTCCCTGCACACCTGGCCAGGTGCGGCATAGGGACACGAATAAACATTGAGCTCCAAACGGAATTAATACTGCATGCCTGTTAGGTGCCAGGCCCAGGACCAAACTTGTGACGAAGGAGGGGTCATCTTCAGTCTCCACACCAGAGAACCAAGCCCGGCTGGTCTAAGGTCACATGACAACAAGCTTCCAGAGGCGGGACTGAAATCCAGATTTCTGGCCCTCCCAGCTCTGCCCGGCCTCCCCGGCTGCCTGTTAGGTCTTGTGGCCAGGCCCCGGGGCCCACTGAGCTCTGCCTACCCAGAACGTTTCCCGTGTAGTTGATGGGCAGGATGATGCCCAGGGAGGGGATGCAGATGATGAGCATGAAGATGATGAGGTGGTACTGGAACGTGACGTAGATGCGCGCGTCGTCCCCACACTTGCTGATCAGATCCTCGTCCCTGCGAGAGACACATGAACAGGGACATGCCTCGGGAGCCAGTGTGGCCACAACTTACGCTGGGGGCAGGTGGAGGAAAAGGAGCACAGATTATCCCCTCACCCCCAAGTTTTGAGTTTTTGGAAAGTATTGCCCTTCTTCTCAAAGCCTCTGTTACGCCTGAAGCGCATTTCGCTGAATTTCCCAGACATACCAAGATAGACGCTGTGTTACAGACACACACTTAGGAGCCCAGAAGCGCTCTTGAAATCCAGCGTTCATTCATCCTTTCACTACTTCAAACGTTAACTCACATGCTTGCACTGACATGATTTTGTGTTTAATTATAGTAATAGTAATGGCATTACTATCCTCCCCAGAAACCAGACCTCCATTTCTCCTCCTTTCTTAACCAGGGCACAACCTACCGACTGGAGCCCTGTGATCTCCCTCCCATCTGTCCCCTCCCTCGGTTTCCCTGGTCACTGCCCCAGTTCAGGTCACCACCACCTCCCACCTTGACCACTGGGGTGGCCTCCTTAGCTGTTCACCCTGACCTTAGACTTTCCCAACTACTATTCACCCCCACGCTCTTGCCTGCACACAGGTATCATCCTGAGTTTCCTGCTCAAAATTACCACGTAATTCCCTGCTGTCTCTAGACCAAAACCCACGATTCTCAGTATGGCAGTCAAGACCCCAGCTTCCAGACCAATCTTTTACCCTCCCACTAACCAGGTCCAGACACACCAGATTCGCCATTTCTGGACACTCCCTCCCTACTCGTCTCTGCAACAGTCCTTTGCTCACACACTCCTTTATTTCTGATGTGCCTCCCGCATCGCACCTGTTGAAATTCTTCCCGTCCTTCAAGGCCCAGCTCAAAACTACACCTTCCCTGAATCCCGCAGTTAGAATTCATTTCTCTCCTTCCCAAACGCCATTCCCAGAGTAATAATCACCTCCCCGTTATGAAAGCTATGTAGGGAGTCTTGTTAACATTTGTTTCTCCAAAAAATGGGTTCGTGCAGGGGACTCTGGATGACTTGTCCCTGCTTAGTAAATGCATTAAGCCATCTTCCATGACACTGCTGTCAAGGGGTGCCGGACACAGTGCAATGCCCTGCCTTCCCGCCTTCCCAGACAATAGGTTCCCATGGGAGACCCTCCCCGAAAGGAGCCTTTGGGTGGGGGTGGGGGGTTTGAAGGATGGGCAGGGCAGGCAGGTGGGGCATATTCAGGGAGAGCCCAGCAGCATGCAGGGCTCTGACGTGGAGACAGCCATGTGCACAGCTGCATGCACGGACAAGCGTGCATGTGAGTGTGCACATGTGTACACACACGTGGTGGGAACATAGAGTTCTGGTGAGCTGTGCTCGGCTGAAGTGTCTGGCTGGTGGTGGGAACCAGGAGAAAGCGGGTGACGTGGGGTCTGCCTGCCTGCCAAGTGGGGCAAGCAGCAGAGAGAGCCAGAAGGTGGGGTGGGTGAGTGCTGTCCCTCTGCAATCCGGGCCAAGACAGGAAGCCTGTCCTTCTGCCCGATGTTTTTGCTCCCTCTGGACAAACATGATGAATGATGTTCACAGACATCAAGCCCGTGGCACGCAGGGGATTTCTGTTTCCTAGTGTGGCATTCACGGAAGCATCTTTGCAAGCATGTGAGTGATAATTCGGCTATTACAAGTGGTCCTTCCCTGAGGGCTGTGGCAGAGATAACATGGGTGGTGGGCGACGTCCAGTTCCCATTTCACCAGCTGTGACCCAGGAAAGCGTCGTCTGTCTGTGCCAGGCCGAGGTGGTAGGTAGGGAGTCGGGGGTGGGCTTGTCACTGGGCTGGGGGCTAATTCTGCCAGGAGATGCCATGCCCCCATCCCTAACCCCCAGGCAACACTGTCAAAGCTCCCAGAGCTCAGGCACTTACCTCATGGTGAGGCTGTTGATGAACCAGGAACAGAAGCCCTGCGAGAAAAGGAGAGAAATGTGAGAAAGCCCAGGCCCTGGGTAGCCCCGGGGCAGCCTGTGGTCACCGAGGCAGCTGCGACACTGTCGGAAGGGGCCTCCATCCCAGGAAAGAGCCAGAAGGCTTGTTCTGGAGCCAGTGGTGACTGTTGAAGTGGGTGGACATCTCCGCCATCCTGTTACAGAAAAGAGAGCCCAGAAGGTGGGCCTCGGATGGGAGGTGGAGAAGGGACTCCTTCTGGGGCAGACTCTACTGCTTTCCGTCCATCCCTCGTCCCTGGCTGCTTCCTTCTGGGAGATGCCCCTCCCTGGATGCAGGTGGTCCCGTGTGTTGTCCACCAATTGCCTCCAGGGATTGGTGGGCCAATAGGAACAAGACCAAAGTGGGGCCAATTAAAATTCCCTTAAGGGGACTAAGATGGATGTTGGGGGAAGGAGCGTCTCTTCTTCTCTCTCCCCACCCTCCCCCTGAGTTCCTGCACCTTCGTAAACACCACGAAGCCTAGAGTGGCTGGTGCCATCTTTGATGCCATGGGCAGACAGCTTGTCTGAGAAAAAAACCAGTTCAGCAGGAAAAGGACCAGAGAGGGGGATCCTGGCGGTACCGCTGGACCTCCTGGATCTAGCTATGCCTGAAGCAGTCACTTTTCTTAAATTTCCCCAGACTTTAGCCACAAATAACCCTTTTGTCTTAAAACTAGTCTGAGCTGGGTTTCTTCTCTTGCATCTGAGGGTCCTGTCTTGTTGAAGATGCCTTTTTCTTGGGGGTCTTGCTGTCTGGAGTTTCTGGGTGGTGGGGAACGGTGGCTGCGGCCACGGGGAGGTTGGTGGGGGGCTAGAGAGTCAGCTTGGGAAGGGTGTGCATGAGGTGGGCTGGGGCCTGAGGCTCTAAAAGCTGCCCGATCTGGTAGCTGGTTAAGATACCCTGGTGCACGCTTCTTTCTGGGATTCCAGGGGGCTTAGAGAACCCTTGGACAAGGTTGTAGCTCTTGATTGGCCTGATTTGGGTCACGTGTTATTTCTGTGACCCAGGCAGGCCCACTTAAATGACAGTCCCCCAGAACCACATGGACTGGGGGAGAGATATTTCCCAAAAGGAAGCCACGAGGACAGGCAAAAAAGAAACAGAAGGAGTCCCTTGCTCCCTTCTGCAGAAGGCCCACCTTCTAAGTTCCCTTCCCTGTGCCAGGTTGATGGATAGTGGGAATGGCCAACAGGGGGTGTTCCCTGCAGGGGCACCATTTCCCCAGCTATGTCCAGGGGAGCTAAACTAAGTACAGGTGCTCAGGTACGAGTCAGAGCAATGAAGGGAAATAGCATGGCGGTGGCAGCAGCGACCGAGAACATCCCAGGGAAGGGTGACTTGCTAGTTAAGGCCTCTCAGCCCAGCCACCCCTCCCCGCATGGGAAGTCTTTCCCCACTGCCCACCTTGGGCAAACACAGGTGCAAGTTATTAAGGGAACAGGTATGTTTCTTGACGGCCCCTCAAGTTTATGCACAACTGAGGCCACACCTTCCTGGGAATGCGCTGCTGCTCCTTCCCTGACAGTGCACAGGTGTGTACCGGAATATACACAGGACAGATCACCCAGGAAAGGGCAGAAGTCATCAGTAGCAGTGCGGCCCGTGTGCCCATGAAAATTGCACAGACATGGGAGCCTGTGTGGATCCATCCCTCTCTTAGTGTGTGTGCGTGTGCATGCGTGTGCGCACACACACCACACACACACACACACACACACACACACACGCCACACACACACACACACACACACACACTCCCTGCGCGTACGTTGCAGCTATGAAGGCACAAACCATTCGGAGAACTCAGCAGCTGAACAGTAGCATGAGAGGCAGACACCACCTCCCCTCTTCTCCTGCCCTGGGAGCCGGCTCAGTGGATGAGACAGTGACAGCGATCCGGTCCCCTGTCATCCTCATCCCTTCCACGTAGGGGTAACACACCTGCCCAGCTTGCTTGGGGCACTATGGCGAGACCGTTTGCTTTGCCACACTGCCGAGCCCTGGCCAAGGCCCCACCACCCTGGCTGGCCACGTGGGGGCTGCCTCGCTGCACTCTCCCCCCCTTGTCTAATTTAATTTCAACCCTCTTCGGTTTGACCTCCTCACTGCTGCCATAATGATTTATCTTCTTAGGTTTTTAAAAATAAAATGATCTTTCTGTCATTGTAAAAGGGGAAAAAAGCAAATCAAAGTGATGTTTCTAAAGATAAACCCGAGAGCCACCTTGCAAGGCAGGTGTTGCTGTCCTCATTCTACCAATGAAGCCTCCAAGAGATGAAGTCACCTGTCCAAGGCGTCACACTTTGTCCAGGGCAGATCCTGGTAAGTAAAGGACCCAGTCTCTCGAGGGATGACATGGAAGGAATACAATTCTCCTTACTGCATCCAACAAATATGTACCCGATGCTAATTACGGGACAGGCTGGCCTGGATGCTGCGGTGCAGGGGTGACCGAATCCAAGTTCGGTGCCTGCTCTCACTGCTCTTACTGGGGGAGGCAGGCACACCAGACTGATCGTGCAGACGAGGGCTCAGAGGCAGGGTAAGCACGTTAAAGGAATGCATTTTCCTGAGTATATGACAAGAGATCTGGACCCACACGGGGTGGTTAGGCTCCCCAGGGAAGTGGTGCTTACAGTGAAATCTGAACAAAGGGTGGGTGACTTGGAGAAGGGCCACTGGGGAGGGGGAGAGGGAAGAGCCTGGGACAGGTCTGGTGGAAAGGAGGAGGTGGCACCTGGAGGAGCTGAACAGTGGCCAACATGGTAGGACTGGGGGAGCAGGGAGGGGAGAGAGAGGCTGGACAGGAGGACAACGGACGAATTCGTGGGCCACGGCTAGGCATCTGCAGTTCGCTGCAAGGGTATTAGGAAGACACTGAAGGTTTATGCAGAGGAATCTGTGTCCCCATTCATGGGGACCGCTCTGAATGCAGGTGGAAAATGGATGAGGTAGGTCAGTTAGAGCTATTGCGGTCATCCGAGCAGGAGACTGATGGAGGCTGGGCTGGGAGGAGCTGGAGGGACAGAGAAACAAAATGGAGGGGAAAGCAGCACAGCTCGGTAATGGATTGGCCATGCTCAGGGGCCTGGGCGAGAGCGAGGGGGGACTCCAGGAGGACAGTGAGAAGAGTCCGTGTTCAGGGCCATGGGGACGGGGGAGTTGGCAGATACCATGGAATGTTTTGGACATATTGAATTCAAAATGCCTTTACCATGTCCATGTGGAGACAGTCTGAAGGCCATTGGATGACTGGGGATAGAGGCCGGAGAAAGAGTTAGCTGGAGACAGAACGTAGAAGTATCAGTGTAGCGAGAGCAAGTGCAGTTGTGAGCATGGGTGTCAGGAGAGTTGGAGATTGGAGAAGAGAAGAGAAATTACTTTACCAAAATCTCTCTTAGATGTTCTAATCAGTTAACACTTACTGGGCTCCCCAGAGGTAGGTATGGTTAATAGCTCCATCTTTCAGATGGGGAAACTGAGTCTCAGGAGGCTGAGGAGTTTGCCCAAGGTCACACTTCCGGAAGGGGCTGAGTCTGGCTGACTGCAAAGCCTCAGAGTCCCAGCCGTGCCCCTTGCTGGCCACACCACCACTGCCTGCCCAGGCCTGGGACCCCGCCTAGGGCCCAGACCACTTCCAGCACTCACCTTGTCCCTGCGTTCCATCTCCAAAGAGATCTCCGAGGGAGATGTCTTCTCGCTCTGCTCCCCGTAGATCAGCGAGGTCAGGCTGCCAGCCAGGGAAGGTGCCAGAGAGGCAGAGAAGGAAAGAAAAGGCCTCAGACGCCTGCCTTGCTCCCTGTCTGCTCCCTGGGTTGCGGCGTGCCCCAGCTCCTTTGCTGAGCACACAGCTCGGGGACAGACCGCATCACCCCCGGTGCCAGGTGCACGCCACACCTTGGGAGTCCAGCCACGGGATCCAGAAAGTGTGAGAGCAGAGAAAAGACTGCCCTTGTGCCCAGACATGGCCGCCCTCCAAGTCCCTTTCTAACGGAGGGCAGAGCAGGGGCAGGGGATGGTGCTGAGTTGCCACCTGCTAATGAGACGCCTGCTGCAGCGCATGACCCGGCAGAGCCACGTCCTGGTCCTGGTGGGGGGAGGGGCACGTCCTCCCCAAGGGAGTAAGCAGCTCCCCCACCCTGCCCCACCCTCACCTGTCATTGTGTATCAGCAGAGCCAGGCGCCCGTAGTCCCACGCAGCTTTTCGGAGGAAGGAGTAAACCACCAGGATGAGCTACGGGCCAGGGAAAGCCATATGAGGCGGGAGAGTCCACGGGTACCTTCCCCGTGGCCAGCCCCCTGCATTCCCAAGGGGGAGAACCTGTCCCTGAGGTCCCCAGAGAGCCCCCCTAGAAGGTGAGCTCTGTCAGGGCAGGGCCCTTTCTCCTCTGCGTCAGCAGCTTCCCGGCACAGAGTGGGTGCCGAGTGGGTTGAATGAAGGAGATAATGGCATGTTTAAAACTTGGGACAGGCATGTCCCTTGAACAACAGAAAGAGGAAAGAGAAGGGAGGCCCAAGAGTGCCAGCCAGGTGGACCTTTGGACAATGATGCATGGAAGAGAATCCCAGCAATTCTGCCTGTTCTTTTAGCCCCCTGTCCCTGAGGCCCCCACCCGGGCCACCCTGGGCAGGACTGACATTCAGGCAGTTCGCATCACTGTGGCTGGTGCCCATTTGGGGCACTGGGGCCCCCACCGCATCAACTGTGAAAGTCTGACCGTCCACCCCTGCGGTTACAGGACTCACCACCCACAAGATGATGTTGAGGAACAGCACGGTGGGGATACCCCCGAAGGGCTGCCCCTGGAGCACTGTGTTCCGAGACTGGAAGCACTCGTCCACCGTCATGTTCTTTAACTTTCCCACCACGCTCAGGTTGTGCGCTGAGGCAGGCATCCTGGAAGGCTCCCTGGGGAACAGAGGGGTCTCCAGGTCAGGTGCAAAGACTCCCCCACATTTTGTGACACAGAGAAGGCTGCTGGGGGGCTGGGGGGATGGGCACTGCGCACGGGCCGGGCTGGACCCGATGCCAGGCTCGTGACCGTTGGTGAAAGCAGGAGAGTCAGCCCATGAGATGGCAGCAGCCCTGTCCCGTAGGAGAACAGCTGCCTCACACCCAGGGCCGTGATAACAGAATAGCGCAGATCCCCGGCAGAGTTCTTATTTTTGTACCACTTGGTCTCTGTGAAAAGAGGTGTAAAATGCACATCCAAATGGTTCTTCTATTTCTGCTTCGGGAAGCTCTTCTTGTATAGAAATGAACAGAGATGGGTCAGACCCCGGAGTAGAAATGTTCGGGCTGGAAGACAAGAGCGCTGCGCTCACACGCAGACAGGCTCGCTGACGGCATCTCCACACTCGACAGTTCTCGGATCCAGTTCTCGTGGGTAATTTTAAGCAATGGCCGTGGAATTTGAATGAGGAAAGGAGAGAAATGAGACCCAGGATGTGTGAGGAGCGGTGGGACTGCCGAGTGCTGGGGGTGCGAGCTGACAGGCAGGGGGCGGTAGCGGGAAAGCGGGCTGTTTGGCACTGAGATGCTTGAGGGATTGTGGCTGTGGGACTGAGTGGGCACGGAACTGGGAGGCCAGAGTGTCGGAAGGATCGTCTCTGTGGCTATGTGGATACTGACATCAGTGAGAATGAAGACAGGAAAAGTCCTGGGGGAGGGTGAGGCAGGAAGTGGGGCGTGGCCTGGGGGAGTCCTTGATGACTAACAAAGGGGCAGGAGATGTCTAGGCTGGGAGCTCCAGAGGGAGGGAGGAAGAAGGGTCTGAAAGTTGCAAAGAGGAGCAAGAGACATCTCTCCAGCCCCAGGCCGGTGGTGTTGGGGAGAAACAGAAACCACCTCCTGGGAGGAGGTAAGGGAGGCCAGCCTCAGGTTTCAGTTCCCCACGGGAAGGTGAGGAAGGGGAGGAGCTGGGGGTATTTCTGGGCATTCCAGGCTCTTTGACAACACTCACTTGCCAGGTGACCTGGAGCAAGGTACTCCAGGTCTCCATGCCTCACTTGACTCATCTGTAAAATGGGGACGGCAGTGGCCATGAAGAGGAGTGAGCTAAGATTTGTCAATCTTGTACATGATGCCTGGAACACCAGAAGCATCATAAATATTTGTAAAATGAAGAGTGGACGTGGAGCTCCAGGGGCAGAGTGGAAGGGTCTCAGGAGTTGGGGAGGGCTGGGAGATGGGATGGAGAAGGGGACAGGGCTGAGGGACTGAAGTGAAGGAGATGGGAGGTGGCCTGGGAGTCTGGGGCTCTGAGGGCATGATGAGATTAGTCCTGGAAAAGGAGAGGGGACACAGACACTTCTCACCCGCCTAGCCTCTAGATTAGCGTCTAACGGGACCAGGGGTCTCTGGCCTGTGTTTCTAAGTTTCCCTGCTTTCTGCTCCTGGTTTTCTTGTCTCTGCCCCGGGAGGCTGATTAACTCATGCGCTAGCATGTGTAGCCAAATGTAAACTCACAATGGTTTACATTGAGCACAGCGCACTCGAGCAGCGAGCCTTCTGCCAGAGCATCAGAGCAGCGGCAAATGGCATTTCCAGGCCCTCCTGGTGGAAAGAGCGGGCATCTGAGCGATCTCAGCCCGTGCTAAGGAAGCCCATGGTGCAAGGTGCAGGAAAGCCCTGGGAAGATGTTTCCTACCTGGTCAGTTCTCCAGTGAGGATCCAAGTCAGGCCTGGGGACTCCGCTCAGCTACGGGGTTGCTGCGAAGGAAAGATTTAGTGGAGAGATCACAAGACTTGGGGGCCTACAAGCCCCTCTCTGGCAGCATCATCCCTCAGGGCCCCCTCTGTCATCTTTAACTCACATGCATGTCCTTTAACAGACATGTGTTTTACAAATGGTTTCTGGCAGTCTGCTGCTCTTTTTATTTTCTCGATGGTGTCTTTTGAAGCACAAAAGTTTTGAACTTTGACAAAGTGACCTCCAAGCCGAGATGTGAAGGGGGTGCAGGAGTGAGCACCGTGAGACAGGTTCACGTGGGCAGGGGGCAACCGTACTGGCAAAGCCCCAGAGTGGAGACTGAGCACAGCGTTTTGGGGGAGTAAAAATGAACAGTACTGGCTAGAGCGTAGGATGGGACACTGGTTCGTTCATTCATTCATTCTTTCAACAAGAATCCTTGAGTATCTACTCTTGCCAGGCCCCGTAGGGCCCTGGAAGTACAGACGTGAGGTCCCCTTCAGGGAGTTGACAGCCTTTGGGATTTGGGGAGAGTATTGCTGTTGCGAGGCTTGGCCTGGGTGGCTGCTCTGCCCGGGAAGACCCCTAGCTACAGGGTTCCGGCCTCTGTGGTTGGAGTGGGGGATTCCTTCCAGCAGGCTGGTCAGGTACAGGCTTTCAGCTCAGCCTGGTCGCCCAGCCTGCAGGGCAGGTGAGGGAGAAAAAGAGAAGAGATCCTCACCCTCTCCCACCTCACCACCCTCCCCAGCTTTCTCAGGCAACAAGATAGGCAGTACCGAGGGAGGCTGTTGCTTGGAAACCTAAAGCAGCACCGAGCCTTTTCCCTGCATCCCTTCACCATCTCCGGTCTTTACTCCTTTCTGGATGGAGAGGCAGAAAGCCCTGATTTTGGCTCTTTGAAGACCAAAGCATCAGCACTGGAAAGGATGAAGCTTGCAACCCGAGGGTGCTAAAGGAACACCCAGCAGGGACACCAACCTGGCCCGGTGTGGGAGGTATCAGAGAACTCATCTCTCTGGACATCATTTTCACAGCAGAGGAAAAAGAAGCTATTTGGGGGTAATGGGGAGAATTGGGCTCTCTGAAGCCACTGTCTGGACTTAAATCCCAGATCCACCTTTGCTAGCTGTTTGTCACCAGGGACAGTGACATCACCTCTCTGAGCCTCAGTTCCCATACCTGGAAAATAGGGTAAAAACTGTTTTGCCTCACAGGGTAATTGCAAAAGTAAAGTAAGAGAATTCACACAATGTTTGAGAAATATCAGCCAGTGCCATCATCCTCATTGTCACTGGCTTGTTGGTGAGATGGGGATGACAGGCCCGGACTGGAAATCCCTGGGCTCCTTCCTTCCACCTTCTCTGTACTGCGACAAGCAAAAGGAGAGACGTGAGGATGGGAAGGACTTGCCACTATCCCTCAAACTGCAGCGGTAGGTGGCGGTGGCCTCTGTCCTTCCTGGGCCTGAAAAGCAAATGTCAGCCTTGCTTTCGGGGCCAAAGAGGGGCAGTGGGAGATGACGTGAACACTGGCTGGTGAGTCAGGGCTCTCAGGTCCCCGCCTAACTGCACGTCTCACCTGGGGGGAGAACGGCCTTCCTCCCGTCCCATTTCTCCCCCGTCTTGGCTTCCCAAGCCAAACGCTCGAGGCTCGGCAGTTCTAGGCGTGGGAAAGTTCTCCCTGGCGACTGGGCAAAGGCTTCAAAAAGAACTGGCTTTGTCTTTCTGACTCCCCCACCCACTGCTCACTCTCAGGCTTCCAGACCGAGCCTGGTTTCATCTACTGCCGCCCTAACTGGCCAGGCCAGCACCTTGCTCCCCACTTCTCCTTCCAGACGAGCTGGGCATCTCAAGGCCAAGTCTTGTGTGTGGGAAAACCCAAATCTCAGGGCTGACTCCAGAGTTAGGATGATCCAGGAGACCCTAGGGAGGGGCCAATTCTATCCATAGCTAACATTTACTGAGCACTTAGTATGGGCTAATTATTTCCTATTTAAGTACTAGCTCATTCAATACTCAAAAGTACATTGGGGTACTAGGATCACCCTTAGATGACACAGAAAATTAAGGCCCAGGGAGGTTAAACAACGTGCCCAGGTCATGGTGCTGGTAAGTGGTAGAGCTGGCCCTCGAACCCAGGCAGCTCATAACCTTTTGCTTTGCTGCCTCCTGGGGCCCCTGGCCGTGCTGGGCTGGCCGGGCTGGGCAGGGGGCAGAGGAAGGGATGACCTTGCTCAAGCCCTAATCCAGGGACAGAAGCTTCCCTAGACTTTCAGGGCAATGCCATGGACAGCTTGGGGGCTGAGCCAGGATCCAGGCTGGCTCCGGCAGCCCCCAGCCTGTGTTTCCTAGCACTGCCCGGGGCCCTGTCCACCCCACCACCTCCATGAGTTCTCAGGAATCGTCCACGGGGCCTGCATTTTGGTTTGGATGAGACAATCATTGTAGCCACAAGCCATGTCCTAGGAAAAGATACTATGGATGGGGCACCAGCCCCCGCCTCCCCCGACCCTCTCCCCAGAGTGCCCAAAGCCCCTGTCCTGCCCCCTTTGCCTCCTCAGTCTCTTTAACAATTCATCACCTTTTTGATCACAACAGGGAAGATTCTCTCCCACGGTCCTGGACTTAAATAAACAAGCTGGAGTTCCTGGCCAGGGGCACCCCTCCCACCTCCCCTTCTCCTCTAGGACTTCTCACTGCTGGGGGGCCAGGTACTCTTTGGAGGAGGGGAGGAGAGGAAGAGGGTGTCACTGGAATGAAGGGTTCTGGTTCATGTCCTTCCTCATCTGCCGTGTCAGCTGGACATGAAATCTTCCCCGAAGTACCAGTAAGCCCTTCCTTGCTCTAAACTGTCCTCAATTTCTTCACATCTTCACAGCAAAGAATGGTTTGCTCAACTTTACCTATGAATAAACTGAGTCTCTGGCAGACAAAGAGATCTGCCTATGGCTGGGGAAAGTGGTGGATTTGGGATGAGAACTGGAGTTTTTGGCTCCCCATTCAGTGCTCTCAGTGACTCCTCAGCCTGGGAGGTGGGCACCGGAATCACCTGGAAGGGGTTTTGTAGGTCCAGATACTCATGTCCCACCCCACACATTAAGAAGGAAAATCTTCAGTTCACTCTTGTGTGCAGCCAAGACAGAGAACACCAGCTGAAGATGTGCAGGGTTATTTGCGTCTAGACAGGGAGTTCTTGAAGACCCAA